AAATTGCTGGGATTACAGATGTGCACCACCATGCCTGGTTCTTATTTTGTTTTTAAAACAGGGTCTCACTGTGTTGCCCAGGCTGGTCTCAGACTCCTGGGCTCAAGTGATTCTCCTGCCTCAGCTTCCCAAGCACTGGGACTACAGGTGGGTGCACCACACTCTTATCTTTCATATTTAGATCTGTAATCTACCTGGAATTGATATTTAGATGTGGTGTGAGATAAAGGTCCAAATACTTTTTTTTTTTTTTTTAACACATGAGCATCACTTGGCCTAGTGCCACTTAATGACAAGAGTGTCATCTCCTTAGTGAACTGCAGGGCCACCCTTGCCCTAAGTTAGGTGAACATGTATGTTCAAGTCTAACTTTTATCAGTTCCATTGGTCAATTTGTTTCTCTTTACCAATGCAGCACAATCTTAATCACTGTAATTTTATATTCCTGGTCTTGTTTTATGAGTGTATGTGGTATTTATCTGTATAAGGATTTTCATAAGTATTTAAGTTTTCTTTTGCTCCCTACCTGGTCTTTATTTCCTCCCAGCCTTCCCCCCACCCCATCCCCGTTCTTCTTGGTGTCTGTTTTCAGGCCAGTTGCTTTCCTTAAAGGTGAGCAACATAAGCCAGGCACGGTGACACATGCCTGTAATCCCAGTGACTTGGGAGGCTGAGGCAGGAGGATCAAAAAGTTCAAAGCCAGCCTTAGCAACTTAGCAAGGCCCTAAGCAACTTAGTGAGAATCTGTCTCAAAATAAACAAAAAGGGCTGGAGATATGGCTCAGAGGTTAAGGACCCCTGCGTTCAATCCCCTATACCAAAAAAAAAAAAAAAAAAAAAAAGCCAGTTGGGAGCCCTGCATCTGTGCGTAGTAGCATGTGTTGAGTACCAGTGTCTTTGTGGTGGCTTCCTGGGATGATGGAGCGGGGCTGCTGCTCTGAAGTTTTCCCCTTTGTTTCCTCTTTTGGTTGGGGATGGAAAGTTCACGCTGTCTTGGGTGGTGAGTGGGGAAGGGTAGGCCAACTTCCTCCCAACTCATCACCCTGCAGGGCCTCTGTGTGCTATCCCCTGGCTGCAGGGAGCTGGGTGGGACCTGCTCCCTGGAGCTCCTCACCCCAGTCCCTCTTGGCCTTTCCCCCAGAGGATCCAAGTGGGAGCCTGTCCTTGGCCCTGCTGTGTGGCGCCATGTCTTAGCAAAGATCTGGGCACTTTCTGCCATTTCTTGCTATTCTCTAGTGGCCTCACTGAAGAGCAGGAGAGGAGAAAGGGTGTGAAGGCCCAGGGTCTCCCCTGCGCCCCAGTCCCCCTTCCAGATTTCCTTGACATTTCCCACCTGCTCCTGTCCCCTCTCTTGTCCTTTTGGGTGTGCCTTTCTTGGCGTGAGTTTTGAGAGAGCATCAGAAGGCACCTCTGTGCGTAACTGGGACCTGTTTACGCCTTGGCCTCCCGCTTCCCTCCCAAGGGCGTCCTCTTCCGTCACCGTCACCCTTCTCTCCAGTGGCCCAGGGTCACCCTCATCAGGTCCCCTCCCAGGGAAGCCTTTCCCTTCTCTCCTCACCATGGGAGTCAGTGGCCCTGAGCTGGGTGGGGGCTGCTGGAGGCAGCCCTCTCCCACCACTTTCTCTGCTCCTGAACCGGCCTCCTCCCCTCCCTGCCTCCGCTGTGCACTGGCACAGGGCGAGCCTTGCTGCGCGGCAGAGACCTGTGGCACTGCCTGGGCAGCACCAGCATGGCGGGCTGGCAGGGTGGGTTTGCAGTCAGCTACCCATGTCAGGCACAGTGGGGAGGGCAGGGCCACAGGCCTTTGGGACAGTGGGCGTCTGACTCGCCCAGCCTCCCCTCCTCCCCTGTGCAGGCCGACCCGGTGCGGCTGACCCAGCTGTACGAGCAGGCTCGCTGGGACCTGCTGCTGGAGGAGATCGACTGCACCGAGGAAGAGATGATGGTGTTTGCAGCCCTGCAGGTGCCTGGGAACCTCAGGGTGGGCAGGGTGCAGGCCAGTCCCCAGGCAGGAAAGGCCTCCCAGAATGGGGCCCACCTACCAGGAAGCCCAGGCCGGGCACTGCTGGCAGCTGGACTCAGGTCCCCCTCACCTGTGCCCCCAGTACCACATCAACAAGCTGTCCCAGAGTGGGGAGGTGGGCGAACTGCCCAGTGCAGACCAAGGGCTGGATGACCTGGATGCAGCCCTGAGCAACCTGGAGGTGAAGCTGGAGGGCTCGGCGCCCACGGACGTGCTGGTAAGGAGGGGCTGGGACTTGGGCCAGGGTCAGGGACAAGGGCTGGGAGCCGGGGATCCCCTCTGACTCCTGACCTCCCCAGGACAGCCTCACCACAATCCCAGAACTCAAGGATTATCTCCGAATCTTCCGGTAAGTCAGGAGCCACATGGAGAGGGAGCTGGGAGGGAGGCAGCCCTCACAAACCGCCCACACACCCTCAGGCCCCGGAAGCTGACCCTGAAGGGCTACCGCCAGCACTGGGTGGTGTTCAAGGAGACCACGCTGTCCTACTACAAGAGCCAGGATGAGGCCCCGGGGGACCCCATTCAGCAGCTCAACCTCAAAGGTGAGGGGGCTGGTGCAGGGGCGGGAGGGGCCACCCACAGGCTGAGCCTCAGTCCCTCCTGGACACCAACGAAGGTGCCCTCTGCCCTGTGGTGGCCGTGGAGGGCAACCTTTCCACAGGGGGACCTCTCGGGCAGGCCTCCGGTCCCAGATGTCCCAGCCTACCCTTTCTTCTCCCTGCAGGCTGTGAGGTGGTCCCCGATGTCAATGTCTCAGGTCAGAAGTTCTGTATCAAACTCCTAGTGCCCTCCCCTGAGGGCATGAGTGAGATCTACCTACGGTGCCAGGATGTGAGTGGGGCTGAAGCTGGAGGGGGCTGGGACCAGGGACCGGGCAGGGGCTTTGGCTGGCACTGAAGTGGCATTCAGGACAGGTAGATGTCCAGAGCTTCACTGGCCCCTATCGTTCCCCGTCCTCCTCGTTCCAGGAGCAGCAGTATGCCCACTGGATGGCCGGCTGCCGACTGGCCTCCAAGGGCCGCACCATGGCGGACAGCAGCTACGCCAGCGAGGTGCAGGCCATCCTGGCCTTCCTCAGCCTGCAGCGGGCAGGCGGCGGGGGCTCGGGCAACCAGCCCCAGGGGCCTGACGCCTCTGCCGAGGGCCTCAACCCCTATGGACTTGTTGCTCCCCGCTTCCAGCGAAAGTTCAAGGCCAAGCAGGTGCCGGGAGAAGGAGGGTGGGAGTGAAGTTCGTCTGGCCACCTGACCTCCGGGAGGCCTCCTCAAGAAAGACACACACACACTGCTCCTCTCCCGCTGTGTCCCCAGGAGCTCTTTGGGAAGGGTTACAGTCCCATTGTCAGTGTCCTCCTCCAGGCTTGTTCAGCCCATATGTGCTGAGTGGTGAGACACTGCACTTTGGTGGCCCTACAATAGACACTGTCCCTTCTCAGGCTCAGCATTCGGTCTCCCTGACAGGCAGGTAGGGGTCTCCGGGACTTTAGAGCAGGGAAACCCTTCCTGGTCCCTCACCAGTATGACCCCACAGCTCACCCCGAGGATCCTGGAGGCCCACCAGAACGTGGCCCAGCTCTCGCTGACCGAGGCCCTGCTGCGCTTCATCCAGGCCTGGCAGTCCCTGCCTGATTTTGGCATCTCCTACGTGTTGGTTAGGTAGGCTCTGTCACCTCTGCCCTCACCTGCTGTCTGCTGCTGCGTGTACTAGCCCAAGTGGGTCCCAGTCACCTTCCCCTGCTCTGTGGGTAGACCTGATTGGAGGGATTGCGTCCCCTCCCCCACTGTGTACACTGGCAAATACAAGGGACAGAGCTCAGGCCAAGAGAGCCGGACCCAGTGTCTGCCCCAGCTCTGCCACATCCCCGTCCCCCGCTGGGCCTTGGTCAGCTGTCCTGTAGGACAAGGCTGACACTGGGTGCTTCCCAGGAACTTGGCCCCTTGATTCTTCATTTCCCAAACGTGCAAAGATATAAGCGAGACAATGAATGATGGTGACAGTGACACCGACAAAAATAAGATTTAAAGGCATCGGCTACTTGCCTGGTGCTCCAAGTGCTGTTTCTGTGACTCTGCCCCCCACTTTCCCTGTGAGGAGCTGGAGGCACAGACCCAAATGACTCTCAGGTGGCCCAGCTGGCGGGCCAGAGCTGGGATGTAAACTCGGCGGTCTTCCTCTGGTGTGCTGTCTGGGTGGGCTCTGGGCTATGCAGGGGGGAGTCCTTGCTCACACCCTCCCCCCCCGGGTCAGGTTCAAGGGTAGCAGGAGAGATGAGATCCTGGGCATTGCCAACAACCGACTGATCCGAATTGACCTGGCCGTGGGCGATGTGGTCAAGACCTGGCGCTTCAGCAACATGCGCCAGTGGAATGTCAACTGGGACATCCAGCAGGTAGACTCAGAGTGAGCGTAGGGACAGGGGACAAGCATTGCACCAAACCTGATCGGGACAGAGCAGGGGCTGTCTCCATTATCCCACCTACCCACTGACCCCTCTGACCACCTGCCCCACAGGTGGCCATCGAGTTTGACGAGCACATCAACGTGGCCTTCAGCTGTGTGTCCGCCAGCTGCCGCATTGTGCATGAGTACATTGGGGGCTACATTTTCCTGTCAACTCGTGAGCGGGCGCGTGGGGAGGAGCTGGACGAGGACCTCTTCCTGCAGCTCACGGGGGGCCATGAGGCCTTCTAAGGACAGCCTGACTGCCCCTGCTCTTCTCACCACCTGCCACAGCCACTCCCAGGCCACACCCACAGGGACTCGTCCCACACCCTCTCCAGGCACACACCAAGCTGGGTATGTTCACCTGCTGTCACAGTAGACCAGAGCCCTGGCTGGGCCCTCACCCAGGCAAGGGATGGTGGGCCCGACCCATAGAACCTTCCCTTGTCCAAGTGGCCTAGGCCAACAACCTTGACCTATCTGAGTCCCTGAGCACACGAGGAAGACCAGATATAGTAAAAGACACAGAATCTTGGTTTAAAACTAGAGTTTCTTGATACTTTTTTAGATTTTTTAAAATAAATAAATATTTTATTGTTGGATCATCCTCCTTCCTCTCAGGCTGTGCTTGGGGCCACTCTGCTACTTTGTCCCTTTATCACCAGCCAAGGAGAGAGGCTTTCCTGCAATAGAGAGCAAGCAGCAATGCTTAGAGAAAGGGGAGATCGAAGTCAGTCTGGGTTCGGGAGCTGGGAAAGGGGTACAGGCAAAGGGCACAGCTCCAGTATATTGGTGGAGGGGCCAGTTCTCACGGGTAGGGCGCAGCTGCAGGGCCTCCTTGAAGTACTTGGGAAGCAGGAAGCCATCAGCATTCCCTGGAGTCAAGATCACCCCGTTAGCAGAGCGGAAGAAGGAGATTCCATCTGGTGGCAGAACTAGAGATGTGACCCATGTTTTACCCCTCAAAGAAAGGCCTAGGGTAGTCCGTGCTGCTTCTAGACTCACCTGACAGGGCCAGGGGTCCATTGATGAACACAGCCACTTCACAATTTGGGCGCATGCCTATAGGGACAATTGGGGCTGGGACAACAAATCTGGACAGACTGATGTCCTACAATGAGGGGTGGGAAGGGGTGCTGTTCCATGCAAGGGAGAGGGCAGCCTTGGACAAGGGAAGCTGTGAACCTTGAAGGGAACCTGGAAGGACAGAGTGGGTAGGAACAGGTAGGTGGAGGGGGGACCTGACCACTGATGACGCCAGAGTCTCCAGGCAGTCCTGGAGCCAAGTGGATGTGTGTCCTTCCCTGGCATGACAGGCCCTTGAGCAGGATGGATGGCCAGTGCTTCCAGAATGTACCATGTACTAGTACCAGAGGCAGAGCTTGTGGCGTCTCCAGAGGCATCAGCTCCAACTCGGGTACCTGGGATGTGTGGTTGAATGGGCAGCAGTGAGATCCTTTTCATTGACAGGGGTCCCATCTGGCTCTCCCACCTGTCCCCCACCACTCCCACCTTCAGGGAGTGGCCCTGGTTGGCTCGGATGAGGGGGCCAGTGCTGGGATCTCCTGGCCGCAGAGTGAAGCGCTGCTTCCTGTTGGTGTTCACCACACGCTGCACATCTTCAGTGGAGAAGCTGTGGAACTGGGGCAGCTGCAGAAGGGTGCCCAGGGGGACAAAGCCATCTGAGGGCAGAGAGGTGCTCAGGAGCTGCCCTTGCCCTGGCCAGGGCCACAGTTAACAGGGGGAGCCACGGGAATCTAGACCAGAGGCTGGGCCTAGAGGTCACATGACCTCTAGAAAGTCTCTCTTTTCTAGGTTTCTGTTTCTTTTACCTTGAGGGGTTAGGTGCCCACTCTTGGGATAGGTGTTTATTGAGCCACTTGGGTGGATGAGATGTACTCAGGCTTGGCCCAGACAAGGGCTCCTTTCCCAGGGGACAAGATACCAGACTCCACTCTGGCCTTCTTGCACATAATGTGCCTCCTGCACCTTCCCCTGGGGCTGTGGTGCCTCCCACTGCTCCCTGGGCTCCAGCCACTCCTCCCCTAACTTTCAAGACCCTCACTTACCAGCCCCCATGGGAAGGCCCAGCTTCAGGGCCCCGTGTCGCAAGGCATATGACAGAGCCTTGGACAGTTGCACATCTGGGTCCTGAAAGAGCCCAATGGTGGTCTGGATCTCAGTAGCGACCCCGCCCTGCAGCCCACCCTGAACCCTGAACAACCTGCGGCAGAGGAACACCAAAGGGAGCGGAGTCCCTTTGGTGTCTGGGATTCATCAGTCCCCCCCACACCCCACCAGGGGTCAGAGTCCTTTCCCCTGTCCTCCCACTGGAAGGCGGGGAGGGGCGCACCTGCTCCCGGGGTTTGTGAGCCTTTCTACCCGTGGGCCTTGCTGCTTCCTGCCTCTTTCCTCCAGAGGAGTTCATGGTCAGAAACTGTGGGGGAACAGTGACATGTGGAGCTGCTTTAAGGACCCTCCCATGTCCCCTCTCTGCCCAGAAAGTCACAAAGTCTCCCGGCGGGAGAGCTGGAGGCGCTTCCCAGCATCAAACCCCCCCGATGCACATAGGGAGCTGGGGCCAGGCTGGCGAGACTTGCCCACGGTCACACTGCAGCCCCGGGACCCAGGCCCGTCGCTGGCCCGTCGCTGTGCGGGCAAGGCGGCCGGGAAGGAGGGGCGGGCGTTGCGACCGACTCCGGGAAAGGTCGTGCGCACCGGAGCCTCGGACACGCTCACCTCGGCGGCCGGCGGCCGGGCTACGAACCCCACGGGCCCAGGACGCCAGGACCCGCCAATGAGAAGCCTTGGAATAAAGGGGCGGGCACTTCCGCTTCGGGGGAAAGGGGCGGAGCCTGCGGGCCCAGCTGGCCGGTAAGTTACTAGCGCCGGTGAGGCTGGAGGTTCCGGATTTGGGAGGGGTCCTCGCGCGTCAGGGGTTGGAGGCAGGCTCTCTGGGATTGGGGACTTGAGCCTTTGGGGGACCCAGAACCTTTGGGTTATAGAGATGCCCAAGAGTCTTAGGGATTTCTGGCAGCACGAGACGTGGGCACCCAGCGGGCTCAGGACTCTTGCCCGGATGATAGGACTCCAGCTACCCAAGGCAAGGCCAGGGAGGTTCAGCGAGGTTGGTGGTACCCCAAGAAGATATGTGTCCGAGGAGGCCAGATGCTTGGGCCAGGGGGTGACTGTGTGACACCCCACCCTGCCTCCACCCCACGGGTGACAGGCCTACCTGTGTCCTCCCCCATAGCTGCCCTGTCCAGGCCATGGATCCTGAGGTATCCCTGCTGCTTCAGTGCCCTCCTGGGGGGCTGCCTCAGGACCATGTAGGAGTGGAGCTGAGCCCAGCCCATGACCGTCGCCCACTACCAGGAGGGGACAAGACCATCGCTGCCATCTGGGAAGCCCGGCTACAGGCCCAACCCTGGCTCTTCAATGCCCCCAAGTTCCGCCTGCATTCAGCTACACTGGCATCCACTGACTCTCCTGGTCCACAGCTGCTTCTGCGCCTGGGCCTTACTTCCTACCAAGATTTCCTGGGCACCAATTGGGCCAGCTCAGCCTCCTGGCTGCAACAGCAGGGAGCCATGGATTGGGGTGACAAGCAGGCCTATCTGGCAGACCCACTGGGGGTGGGTGCCGCACTAATCACAGCTGATGACTTCCTTGTCTTCCTGCGGCGCTCTTGGCAGGTGGCCGAGGCCCCTGGGATGGTGGATGTCCCTGGTGGGCACCCTGAGCCTCAGGTGAGGTGCCAGGCTGAATACAAATGCAAAAAGTCCCAGACAGCTCAGGGGAGCTGGAGTGCTAAGCCTTTCCTTCTGTTTTCTTCATACCTTAAAGGGAAAATTGGCCTAGTGTTTAACTGAGTCACCCCTGCTGCAGCACCTTCTCAGAGGGCTCCCCCAGGAGTAACTATCCACCTCTGTTGCCCACAACCCTCTCACATTCCCAATCTGCAACAGACCTGTGGGGAGGCCAGGAAACATGGGGGGGAGGAGAATGGGCAGAGGAAGATGTTTCACCCAACCCAACCCCCTGTGTGACCTATTCCTAAATTGGACCTCTGGTTGTCCATCTGGAAAATGAAGGGCCTAGGGATCACTAAGACTCTTACACTGTGTCTACCCAGGCCCTCGGGGCCAGCAAGTGGGAAGACAGGGTGGGAAGAGGATGGAGAGCAGAGGCTGAGCCTGACTTCTCACAGGCTCTGTGCCCTGGTGACAGCCCCCAGCACAAGGACCTCCCGGGGGAACTGGTGGTAGGAGAGCTCTTCTCCAGTGTCCTACAAGAGATCTGTGATGAGGTGAGTGAGGAGTGTTGCCCTTCACTCATGATGACATGAAGGAAGTGGGTAGAAACTGCTAGAATTCCATAGGTCTGGGTTGGAGGGAAGGTCTGCTGGTATTGAGGGAGCGGGGCATAATCAAAATGGAATTCTAGTTGTTAGTTCCCTAGGCCTCAAGTTCTTCCTCTTTCCAGTGGAAACAATATTGTTGATTCAAAAAGGAGTAAATGGGAATCTGTTACTAAATTCACTTCCCTTGAGTGAAGAGATTTCCCTAGGTAATCTGTTCAATCTCTTTGCTTCTGATTTTCCCATCTGTAAAATTAGCAGCTCAAGATCTAATATTCTGATCCAGGAAACTTGTTCTATGAACCATAAAATATTGTACAAGGGTAATAGGCAGTTCTCTATGGAGAGGGGCAAGGATATGGACAGTGGACATTGACAGGTGGGACCCCCTCCCCAGGTGAATCTGCCGCTGCTCACCCTGAGCCAACCCCTGCTGTTGGGCATTGCCCGAAATGAGACCAGCGCCGGCCGTGCCAGTGCCGAGTTCTATGTCCAGTGAGTGGGCTCTGGGACACAGGATCTTGAATCCTGGGGAAGATGGGTGGAAAGCATTGGGGATGTGACAGTTGGGGTTCCATAGGGATTCTACAGGACTGAGCTGCTCCCCAAACTATCCTCATGTCCTTGCCCAGGTGCAGCCTGACTTCTGAGGAGGTGAGGAACTATTATCTGAGTGGGGGACCTGAGGCCCACGAGTCTACAGGAATCATCTTTGTGGAGACACAGGTGCGGGGTAACTTTCTGCATCTTGCTTGGACTATAGGGTTAGGGCCTGCAAAGAAATCTGGTGATGCATGTCTGGTGGGTGGGACTGGCTGGTACAGGAGACTCCCAGGTTTATTCCAAAGTCACAAAAAGAGACTCTCCTCCAAAGGGAAAGGCCCAGGGAACATGGTAAGTCCTCTTAACATGTCTCCCTATAAACAGTGCTGTGCAGAGGGCTCTGAGGCTCAACCCCAACAGGAGACAAGGGCTAGATGTGTGGGTCTCACTGTCTTCCCCACAGAGAGTGCAGAGATTGCAGGAGACGGAGATGTGGGCTGAGCTCTGCCCCTCAGCCAAAGGCGCCATCCTCCTCTACAACCGAGTTCGGGGAAGTCCCACCTGAGTTAATGTAGAGTCCCAGCCCTGGGGGACTGTCATCACAGCTCTGAAGACAATAAAGAACTTTATTCTTGGATTCCATTGGCATTCGCTGTTTCCATGACAGAGGGTTCGCTGGGAGAGCCCTGGGTGGGTGAGACCGAACGCGTCATAGAAAAGGAAAAAAAGAAAAACAAACACAAAAACACATCAGCTCGGCCTCAGTTTTCTCCCCCTGCAAGGGGGGATGAGAGATGTGCCTCCCATGCCAAGACAACGCGGGGTGGAAGCAGCTCTGTGAAACGTGCCTCGCTGCTGAGCAGACCAAAGCCGTCTCCGCGGCACCGAAGGGCTGCGGCTGGGCCAAAAGGCTCGTTGAGGGTCGGGCTCAGCCCCTCCTGCCGCCCGGGACTGGGGGCCCGCGCATTTCGGCAGCTCCGGGGACCTCCGCTAAGCGGCTCGGGCTGCAGAAAGCCGGTCGAGGGGCCGGGGGCGGGGTTTAGCCACACACTCGCACCTTCCGGTAAAGTGGGCGTGGTCTGAGTCTAAGCCAATGAGAGCTCGGGGGCGGGACCCGCGGAGGCGCAGGAAATGGCGGCGACTGCGGAGTTCGTAAGTGGAGTGAGGGCGGGACTTGGTTGTGGTTCCTCCCTCAATTTCCTTCAATCACTCTGGGTGGTTCCGGGGGTCCAGACCTGTAAGCCAGAGCCTGGAAAGACCTGGAGGCAGGGCCGGGTCCAGACATGGGGGACTGACCCTGAGGTAGGAGGCCGCCCCCGGGCCTGCCTCGATCTTCTTTTGCAAGAAACCCCTGGCCAGGCTCCTTCGCTCTGCCCGAGCCGCGAAGAGTTTGATATCTGATCGGATCTGGTCTCAATGCACCCCTCTTGGTGGGCTCCTTTCCCCAGCTGTCCACCCGCCGCCATGCTGCCCCTGTTGCCCCTGCGCCTGTGCCGGCTGTGGCCCCGCAGCCCTCCCACCCGGCTCCTCGCAGCGGCCTCTGGGCAGCGGTGAGTTGGGCTCCTGGGGCCCTCGGTTGTTCAGCGGGTTTCTGTTGAGGGCCTGCCCAGCTTAGGCGCTTCTTTGCTTGCTGAGATAGATACCTTGCAGTCTTGTCTTAACCCTCACTTTCAGGTTGAGGACATTGAGAATCTCATCTGAGACTGAGATGAGCCTCAAGGTCATCAGCGAGTTAAATGGGAGATCAGAAATTTGAGCCCAACAAAACCCCAATACTCTTCCCATAACTCCACTGGTAGTCAAGCATAACTCACAGAGGTGGGGAAGTTGGTTACAAAGATGCAGATTCCTGGGCCCTGTTTTGGAGGTTCCATCCTGGAGGAATGAGATGGGTCTTCAGAAGCACCTTTGTCGTTTTTGAGAGGGGGTCGTCCTATGTTGCTCAGACTGGCCTTTAACTCCTGGGCTCCAGTGATCCTCTTGCCTCAGTGTTTCTAACTGGGATGGCAGGCATGTGCCACCATGCCCGGCTTGGGAATCTGTTTTAAAAAAACGTTCAAAGTGTTTGTGATGCAAGGATCTGAGGACTACACTTAGAATCCTGATTCAGACCATCCCTGAAACACTCCGAAAAAGAGGGATGGTCTGAGGACAGAACTGTCTTGGGAACTGCCTGAACTCTCTTCAGCTCCTTCCTAGTGACTGAGTTGAAGGGTGTGGCCCAGGGAGGCTGGGATGGCAGGGAAGGGTACCTGTTTGGGCCTCTATCCACAGGTCTGGCCCCAGGAATTATTATGAACTATTGGGCGTGCATCCTGGTGCCAGCGCTGAAGAAGTTAAACGAGCTTTCTTTACCAAGTCCAAAGAGGTACTAGTGCTCCCAAGGCGGGGAGAGAGGAAGTGGAAGTCTGAGCCGAATAGGGGGGTCACCCAACTTCCTAGGAGTAGGCCTGTGTCTCTGACTGGAGCCCCATTCCTTCAGCCTGCCTGGAGGGTGGGTGCTGTACTCAAGGATCTGCCCAGGTAGGAGGCAAAGCTGGGGGCACAAGACATCAATGTGCCTGATGAGCTTACTGTCTGCTCTTGAGAAACCTGCACCAGGGTATTTGGAAAGGAGGATGGCAGGTGTAGAGGGCTTAAATGAGGAAAGAGGGCTGGAGTCTGGGCTTCTTGACTCTTTGGCCTTCTAGAAGGGTGGGTCTTCTGGAGGGTTATTACAAAAGAGGGTCTCTGGGATTGATGTGAGCCCTTGTGGATCATCAGGATGGGAAGTGGGAAGGGTCACTGAAAGGGAGATAAGGGGAGTCCTGCCTTGCCTCTAGCTGCACCCTGACCGAGATCCTGGGAACCCGGCCCTGCACAGCCGTTTTGTGGAGCTGAATGAGGCATACCGTGTGCTCAGCCGTGAGCAGACCCGCCGCAGCTATGACCACCAGCTCCGTTCAGCTAGCCCCCGCAAATCTCCAGGGACCACAGCCCATCCCAAGTCTGCCCAACAAACACAGAGGTACAGGGGTCCTGCCCCTGCTTGCCCACACTCCCAAGTCTCCTGGAAAGCCATATCATCACATTGTCCCTTCCTTTGTCTTCCAGCAGCTCCTGGGAACCCCCCAATGCACAATACTGGGCCCAGTTTCATGATGTAAGGCCACAGGGGCCCCAGACGAGGCAGCAGCAGTACAAACACAATCAGCGGGTCCTGGGGTACTGCCTCCTGCTCATGCTGGCTGGCATGGGCCTGCACTATGCTGCTTTCAGGTGCATCCTTGTCCTCCCCAGGGTGATGGGCAGAGGGTAGGAGGGTGGTGAAGCCACTCTGGTTATCGAGCCAGCTACTGCACCCTATGTCCTGTGTGCTTGTCTCCCACACTAAGCATTTCATGAAGTCAGTCTTTGGAGCCTTCCTTTACTTGATAAAGGCAGCACTGCATGACAGGCTAATGTTGTCATTTTCAGTTTTTCATAATTTGAATATAAATCTTTGATGCTGGCTGCCAGGGGGGCTGGAGCCAACCAAAATAGGCATGAGAAGCAAATGCTTTGTGACAGCCTCACCAGCGACTGTCTTCATTTGGCAGCTGTGGCCTCCCTTCCACTCTCTCATGCATGCCTTGACATGGATTTTTCTATTAAAAAGATGCCTTAAGGCCCCCTGCCACCTCCAGCAGCCTGCCTAGTTCAGAGGAGGAGTTGAACCTTTCTAGGATCCTGGGAAGAGCATCCCTGTGTTCAGAGCTGCTTCACCACTTTCAGCAGGACAGAGACTTGGGTTCCATTGCATCCTGGATGGGCCTCTGCCACTCTGTGCCCCTCTCCCCACCTGTCACAGGCACTGTTGGGGCAAGGTTTCCACAGACGTAAAACAGAGAGAGACCGTGGAACAGGGTGGAGGAGGGCTTCAGGAACTGCAGGAACTGGAGTATCAGGGTTAACACCAAAGGTCTTGCAGGAAGTTGGAGCAGATACACCGGAGCTTCATGGATGAGAAGGATCGGATCATCACAGCCATCTACAACGACACGCGGGCCAGGGCCAGGTCTGTCCCTGCTCTATCCTGCCTCTGTTTCGTGTCCTTGTACTACTGTCCTGGATCCCTGACCCTAACTCTCAGGTGCTCTCTCCTTCAGGGCCAACAGAGCCAGGCTCCAGCAGGAGCGCCGGCAAAGGCAGCAGCAGCCGCTACCCTCTGGGCATCCCCAAGGTCCAGGGATTGTGCCTCCCAGCACCGGCCCCTGAGGGGCTCACCTAGATGGGATCTGTACTGTATTCCCTCCTTGCGCCCCGCCCAAAACTCCGCACTCCCCAAGACGCGTGCAATAAAGTGATTCTTAGATCTCCGGTCCCGCTCGCTCCTTCAAGCCCAGCGCCCCCCGCCCGGGCCTCGCGCTGGTACAGCGCCCCGCCCAGTGGGTTCTGGCGGCGGCGACCAGGGAGGCCGGCCCCCTGGGCGGCACGTCCCCTTTCCCCTGAAGCGGCGGGAGGGGGTGTGTGGAGGGGGCGGGCCCCGCCGGCGCCTCGCCCCCCCCCGCCCCCGCCCCACGGCCCGGTGGGGAGCGCGTGTCTGGGTCACATGAGCCGCCCGCCCGCTAGCCCGGGCTCGGCCCCCCGCCGCCCCCGCCGCGCCCGCCGCCCGCCGCCGCCACCGGCCGCCCGCCCGCCCGGCTCCTCCAGCCGCCGCCGCTGTGCTGCGCTGCGCTGCCTGCGCCCAGGGCTCGGGAGGGGGCCGCGGAGGAGCCGCCCCCCGCGCCCGGCCCCCGCCCGCCGCGCCCGGGCCCGCGCCATGGGGCTCTGGCTGCCGCCGCCCCCGGCGCCGCCCGGCTAGGGCAATGCGGGCGCCCCCGGCGCGTGGCCCCCGCGGGCACCATGCGCCCCCTGCTCCGCCGCCTGCTGTTCGCCGTGCTCCTGCAGCTGGCTCCAGCCCAGGTACGTGCGTCCCCAATATCCCGCCGGCCCGCCGTGCCCTCTCAAGGTTGGCGGAAGTGGAGAGGAGCCCAGCGGCCTCTGCCGAGGGGATCAGCAGGTTAGGCCTCCAACTTGAGCAACGTGGGGACCCCCGGCGGCCCGGGCATCCACCAGGAGATACCCCTCCTCCAAGGCCCGCCAGTCCAGTTCTGGAGCCACTCCTCCACCCCACCCCATCCCCTGGGTGCTGTGGGGGGCGGAGCTGCTTCAGTGCCCACAAGACCTGGTTGGGCGCCCACTGTGCCCGCTCCTGACCTGCAACACCAGAGCAAGCCTGGCTCCAAGGCTTGGAGGAGATTTGATGGCACCGGTAGGGCGCATCTGGCGGGTCTTGGGCCAGGGCAGGCCCAGGTGGCCAGGAGACAACAGGTAAAGCTACAGTGGAGGCCCTAGGAACGAGGAATCTGGAAAGATGTCAGTGAGGCCGTGAAGCCTCCTGACTCAAGGGCAGAGCCCTAGGGATAGTCACAGGACTACTTTCTCCTGGAGGGCACCTTGGGTCCAGGTCTTTTCTTCCCCACAGGCCCCTGTCTCCCAGCCTGATGTCCCTGGCCACCAGAAGAAAGGTAATTGTTACAATAATTTCACACAAGCCAGTTCTAAGGAGTTGTCACATGCACTGATTCTGGGCTCCTGGTGTCTATCATCATGTGAAATCAAAACTCCCCTGTAAGATGCAAACTATCCGTTTCACAGAGGAGGACACTGAGGCAGAGGGGTTACTTGACAATCATGGGTGGGAAGACAGGTTAAGAGGGTAGAGGGGGTTTGCTAGTGGAAGGTGGCTGTGACGACGTGGGAACTGGGGAAACAGCTGCTGGGAGCAGCTGCAGGAAACCCAGTGGGGATTAACCCTTGTGGGTCTGCCCGCAGTGGTGTCATGGATAGACGTGTATGCTCGTGCCACCTGCCAGCCTCGGGAGGTGGTAGTGCCCCTGACTGTGGAGCTCATGGGTACTGTGGCCAAGCAACTGGTGCCTAGCTGTGTGACTGTGCAGCGCTGTGGTGGCTGCTGCCCTGACGATGGCCTGGAGTGCGTGCCCACCGGGCAGCACCAAGTCCGAATGCAGGTACCAGGGCAAACGGGGCAAGCAAGTTGGGGGGACACTAGTACTCTGGGAGCTGAGCCAGCCCAGAGACTGGAGGACAGGAGGCTGGGGGTTGGTGGCCAGGCCCTGGCTGTTGGATGAGCTCTTCTCTCTCCAGCCCCTTTCCTGTCCCCCTCCCTGCTGTGTCTCCCATTCTTCTCCTGAGCACAGATCCTCATGATCCGGTATCCAAGCAGTCAGCTGGGGGAGATGTCCCTGGAAGAACACAGCCAATGTGAATGCAGGTGCCAGCCAGGCCCAACTTCTGAACTTGCAGAGTCCAGGCATGGGGGTGTCGGGCGTGGTGATACACCACGGTGGGGACCAGGTTTCTAAGAGTGGAGCCTAAGATAGGCCTGGGATCTTGGGCAAGAGAGCAGGATGCATGAATTTTCTGACCCTGTTCCTCTTTGTGCCTTCTCTTTCCAGACCAAAAAAAAAGGAGAGTGCTGTGAAGCCTGACAGGTGAGTCCCTTTGGGCTCCTGCCGAGCTGGGGTAGGAGCTCAGGCCCGGCACTCAGAATATAATATGTGGTGGCCAGGGAGTGCAAGAGCCAGTCAGGAAGCTGTGGTCCCCTCTTCTTCCTCCCACTTGGTTCCCCTGTCCATTTTCTTCTGCTCCTTGAATCTGTGCCTTCTCTCCAACCCAAAGTCCTGGGAAGACTCTTCCTTCCCGCCCCAGACATGTCGCTTCTCCTCCTAGGGCTGCCACTCCCCACCACCGTCCCCAGCCCCGCTCTCTTCAGGGCTGGGACTCTGCCCCTGGAGCACCCTCCCCAGCTGACATCACCCATCCCACTCCAGCCCCAGGACCCCCTGCCCACGCTGCACCCAGCGCCGCCAGCGCCCTGACCCACGGACCTGCCACTGCCGCTGCCGACGCCGCAGCTTCCTCCGTTGCCAAGGGCGGGGCTTAGAGCTCAACCCACACACCTGCAGGTGAGGGTTTGTGGGGTGGCACTTGATTGGGAAGGCATCAAGGCCACATCCTGGAGCAGGTCCAGGGCGAGCCTGCCGGTGGGAGAAGGCCAGGGAAGGGGAAGCTGTTGAGCGCGTTGAACAAACATTTACCAAATGTCTGCTGGCACTGGGATCAGCAGGAACACAGCTCGCGTCAGAGTCGGAACTCATACAGGGGAAAGGTGGTGCCAGCATAGAATGCTAAGGGTGGCAGTGGGGCACCTGACATATCTGAGGTGTTAGTCAACTCCTGGAGGAGGTGACATTTACCTAGAATGGAAATGAGGAGGATAGTGGCAGAGGTCTGGGCCTTCCTAGAAGCCTATACCACAGACATTTTCCCCATTATATGGGTGCTGAGCAAACGGGATATATTGGAACCCCTTCTTCACCTTTTTCCGCGGTGTCTCCCACCACCCTGTTCCACACTGAGGTCATGGGATGACATAGGCCAGGCTGGGGGTAGAGGGATTCCTTGGAGATTCAGGGGAGAGTAGGGTTCACAGGAGGTCACAAGGGAGTTCATCAGGAGGAGCTGGGGCTGCATTCCAGCCCTCACAACCGATCTGTTCCTTCCATCTTCAGGTGCCGGAAGCTTCGAAGGTGACACATTACCTTTCAGACTCAGTGGGCCACTTGCTTCACAGGCCACACCCCAGTGGGAGAAGAGAAGAGCCTGGGGAGAATAGCCCAGCCCCAAGTCCTGGAATCTGCTTTAGGACCTGGGCTTCTCAGAGGGCTTTCCTGCCATCGTTTGTCTCCCAAGGCTGCCATCTAACAAAGTTGATGAGGAGACTTGGCAGGAGCAAGAGGGGTCACATGCCAGCTTGGGGGGATGGGGTGTTGTCTCAGTTTTTAACTAACTTGTGCAACTGATTGTCTTACACCTGGCTCTTGCCTCCCCTAAGAAGACCCCAACCTCTGCAAATAATGGGCTTTGATACAAAAACTGTGACCCCCCACACACACCCTGATAAAAGAGATGGAAGGAGCTATCCCTGCCTGTGTCACTGTTTGTCACTGTGCAGACTGACTGGTTGGGTTAGGAGTATCTGTATTACTCACTGCCTGCTAGACCTTGAGCTCGTCTTGTGTCATGCAGATGGAGGCAGTGGGGCCCGAGCCCCCACAGCAGATCCCAGATAGCCAGAACCATGGATTCAGCACATTTCTTGTCCCCTGCTTATTACAAGGGTTCTGTCTTCTATGGTTAATGAACTTGAAGTTGGACCCAGATCTGCTGAGTGACCTTGGCTCCCTCTGCCCATTTTTTTCTGAGTCTCAGTTTCCCCATGGGCACATGGAGGGAACAGTGGATTTCTGTGTTTGGGGCCCCCTAGACTCCAGACAAAATCTGAGTCTTGTGTTCACCTGATCATTTTCCTGTTAGGCTCTAAGGCTACCATCTGTCCTGTCCTTCACTCACTTCTGCCTAAAAGGAAAGTACCAAAGTTTTGTGGCTGGTGGGCTCCTCTCAACTCAACCCACACTATCTTCTCCACCTTCACCTCCTTGGCACCTTCGTGCTCCCTCATCTGTGGCTACATGAGACTCCTGACTTGTCTGAACCAAGCTCAGCACCCACTTTTCTTCCTGTAGCCTTCAGTGCCCAGGGCTGGGTGGCAAGGCAATGGACCCAAAGTCAGTGTTGGGTACCAATGTTTTGCCTTGCTAAGGCACGACATCCAGAGGCAGAGTTAACCCAAAGCAGATAGGTATTGGGTCAGAGGGTGTACTCATGGTCTTAGTGGGCCCAAGAAAGAAGTGGGTTAAACCGTAAGAAAGTTCCTGGGGCTAGAAATGTGGCTCAAGCGGTAGCTTGCTCGCCTGGCATGCGTGCGGCCCGGGTTCGATTCTCAGCACCACATACAAACAAAGATGTTGTGTCCGCCGAAAACCAAAAAAAAATAAAAATTCTCTCTCTCTTTAAAAAAAAAAGAAGAAAGAAAGTTCCTGAATGTGATTACTGCTTATAAATCATTTCATTAGCTGTGAGGTCAATTATGCCATAGGCCAGTTAGAGTGGGACAGATGAGGATTAAGGCCCTAGAGCTACCACTTCTGGGTCCATTTAGTCCCACTAGACATGGATGATGCTGCGCTTCACCTCCTGGCTCACTCAATTCTTAAGGTCTGTGTCATGATTTTTTTTTTTTCAACTGAAGAAATGGACTTAGGCAAATTGGCCTGGAAATTAGGCCTTAAGTATTTCCCTAACACCAAACACTGCACCTAGGTTTAGCTGCTTCTCAGCTACAGGTTGAGCTACTTGTTGATTCCACCAGTTGGGCACTAGTGGGTGATGGGGTCCCTGAAAATTAACTTTGTCCTGTAGGAACGGGCCCAGCCAGACTACTGCAGTCATGACCCGGCGCTCTCTTGGTGCTCGCTCGGTGTGCACAGGCAGGTGGGCATAGATGCTGTAGGAGAGGGGAGGGGAGGAGCCTTCAAGAACTCCAGGGCCTGGCGCTGCACATTGTCCCAGTCCTGCAGAGGCCCGTGGGGTGAGTGTCATCAAGCCCATCTACCAGGCGAAGGAAACCGCTCAAGGTCACACAGCCACAACCAATGGCAGATCTGGACTTCAAGCCCGAGTGTTACTCTGAAGCCCAGTTCTTCCCACAGGAGTGTACGAAGAGGCCAGTGGCAAGCAGGATTGCTGTGGAAGAGGCCAGGGACTTCAAGACCTCCTGGGGAACCCATGACTGTTTGACTATAACGTCACTCTGACCCTTTTTTTTATAATTTCTTTTTGATTTTTTCTCTTTTGACATACATGACAGTAGATGTATTCTGACATATACATGCATGGAAAATGTCACTCTGACCCTTTCAGAAGTCATTTTGACCGAAACTAAAGGACTACAACTCCACCGGAAGTGACGTATAAGTCACGTGGCGACATGGGAGGCGGAGCCAGGGGAGAAGCGGCGCTCGGGGGTGTGGCAGCGGGTTTCGTATGGTCCAATAAAGGAGGGCGGCGTGGCCTGGCCTGCAGCGACTTGGACGCGCCTGCGCAGAGGTGGCAGCACGACCGGGGTTGACTCCGGGGGCGCGGCGAGGAGGTGAGCGGGGGCCACAGCCCGGGCTGGGGGGAGCCGGGGTGCAGGAGGGCAGGCTGGATCAGGCCGGGCAGAAGCGGGCCGGGGCTCCGCGTGTCAGCGAGGGATAGGTGACGAGGAAACGGGCTGGGGTCGGAGCTGTCTGGAGATGCCGCAGGGGGAGGGTTCTCACGCCGCACGGGGCGGAGCCCTGGAGCTCGGGGCGGGACGTGGAATAGAAACGGGTGGACCTTCCGAGCGGGTGCGGGTGGAAGGCGGAGCTCGGGGACGGGGGGTAGAGCTAGGACGGCTGGGGGGCGGAGCCTATCCCTTGGAGGAGGAGCTGGAACAGGTGGAAGGCGGAGCCTCGGGTTCGGAGACCGAGGGGGACGGAGCCCAGGCACTGGGGGCGGGGCCTCAGCCGGTGAGTGGCGTGGCTCCGGTTCAGGAAAAGGGGTCTAGTTCGGCTGAGGGCGGAGCTTCAGGGCCGGGGGCGGAACTACACTCTCTAAAGGGCGGAGCCAAGGAGCCAAGCGAAGGGCTAAACCCGAGTAATGGCCCGGGGCGTCCACGCGGGGGCGGTCTCCGTGGTGGCCGAGCCTGGGGACGCGGTAGGCCAAGAACTCCCCCGGGAGAGGTGGTATGGGTGGAGCGGGCTCGGCGGCCAGCCGACACCGGGCCAGTCTGGGTGCCTCGGAGGCCCCCCAGGGCGCAGAGCTGGGGTGGAGCCTCCGGAGGAGGCACAGGGCCAGGCTGGGGGGTACCTCCGGAGGACCGGGCCTCCCCGGAGCCACCCAGTGGGGATGTGTGGGTGCCTCGGGGCCGACCCCCTGCAGCGGCCTCAGAGGTGTGGGTGTGCTGGGCAGGGGGCAGCTGGGTGTGGCGTGAGTGGGGCCGCTCAGTCGGGGCAACTGGTGTGCAGTCAGATAGGGTCTGGACTTTGCGTAAAGGGACGGGTGGGAACTGAAGAGCAGAGGTGGGGACCGCGAGGGAGGGAAGGTCTGGGGGTGAGCAAAGGGGCGGGGCCCTGGCTGCTGTGGCCTCCCCTGACCCCCTCCCCTCGCTGCTGGGGTCCTCATCCAAGCCCCCTTCTCACTGGACTGGTAAGTGTGGCCGCGGAACCTTGGGGGAGAGGGTGGTGACCCGGGACAGGGGGGTCCCCAGGGGCAGGCAAGGTTTCGCTGGGGGTGGAATCCTTTCGGTATCTGGTGGTGCTCCATGCCCTCCCCACCCTCTTCCCGGTCTGTCGGTCGGGGTCTGTGCCCGCAGAGACATGAGGCTGAGCTGGATCCTAACAGTACTGTCCGTCTGCCTGAGTGCCCTGGCCATGGCCACGAGGGCCGAGGGCAAACGGAAGCTGCAGATCGGGGTCAAGAAGCGGGTGGACCACTGTCCCATCAAATCGCGCAAGGGAGACGTCTTGCACATGCACTACACGGTGGGTGAGGGGCGGAGCTCCTGGGAGTGGGTGGGGCTTCCGGGGACCTGGAAGAACTTGAGTCTGGTTTCTTCCCCAACCAGATGGGTGACATAGGGCAAGTCCTTTCTCACATATAAGTACATTTTCATAGTTCTTTCTCATCCTTCACTGTTTGCTGCCCAACTGGACACCAGAAGGATTCTTTTTTTGTATTGGGGACTGTACCTAGGGGCACTAAACCACACCTCCAGCCCTTCAGGGCCACTAAGTTGCTTAGGGCCTTGCTAAATTGCTGAGGCTGGCCTTGAACTTGTCATCCTCCTGCCTCAGATTCTTGAGTTGCTGGGATTACAGACCCACACCACCATACCTGGCCACCAGCAGATTTTTTAGAATGAACTATAAGCAACACCAGGCTCTGTGCCCTTAAGGTCTATGGCCACAGTGCTATGGGGGCAGGCCTGATGAAGGGCAGGTGAGGAGGGGGATCAGGAGTGGTTTCTGCTCACAAGTCTTCCCATGGTTCCACAGGGAAAGCTGGAAGATGGGACGGAGTTTGACAGCAGCCTGCCCCAGAACCAGCCCTTTGTTTTCTCCCTTGGCACAGGCCAGGTCATCAAGGGCTGGGACCAGGGGCTGCTGGGGTGAGTCTGGGGTTGGAGGGATGGGGTGTGCATGGCCATGATCTAGGAGGTGAGCTGTGGGAGGCAAGCCCCACCAGGAGCCTGGGTATTGCCCTGGCTGAGCATGTGTTCTCCTGCAGGATGTGTGAGGGGGAAAAGCGGAAGCTAGTGATCCCATCTGAGCTGGGTAAGAGTCCCTGTGGGTCTTTTGGGGGAAGGGTGAAGGTAGCTTCAGCCTCACTGATCCCCACCCTATCCATTCACTACAGCACATGCCTCCTTCCAGTCTGGCTGTGTCCAGCAATGAAGACAGGGCAAGGCTTGGGCGTTCAGCTATAGTGCCCATCCTCTGTCCTCTAGCAGGCCTGTGGTATCCCTTCCCGTCTTCATCTCACCCTCCATTTCTGGCCTTGCTGCTGCAGGAGCACTCCTCTCTTTGCCTGAGTTATTAGAAGAGAACGTGGCACAGCTCACTTTGTTTCTTGTGTGTTTTTGACAGGGTATGGAGAACGGGGAGCTCCCCCAAAGATCCCAGGTAATAACCCTTCCTACCACCCCACCCACCCTCTCCCTGGAGCCCAGGTTCAAGTTTAACCCTACTTCTCCCTCCAGGTGGCGCAACCCTGGTGTTCGAGGTGGAACTGCTCAAGATTGAAAGACGTTCAGAACTGTAGCCAGCTGCCATGGAGGGGCAGAGGGTGGGGGGCCATCAGGGACCAAACTTTAAAAAACAAAAAAATCCTTAAAAGCCCAAGGAGTGAACCTGTGTTTCTTTGTGGGCTCTGAGAGATTAAGACGTAGCTTCAGGGCTGGGGCATGGTCAGTGGTGGAGTGCTCGCTTAGCATGCTCAGGTCCCCTCAACTCTGGCTTCACAAAACAAAAATAAAATACCATAGTTTAGCCTCTCCCTTTTCCGGGTATCTCCCTACCCTGCTCTCCTTTCTGACTGCAGAACCTTGGAGGTCTAGGCTCAGTGGCATGGTGACCTTGCCCAGGGGAAATAGTGTTCACATCTGTCACCAGCAACTCTGCTTCCCCAGCTCCTTTGAGTGCCTGGTCTGGGAGGCAGCACAGGTATATTGCCATGGCTACATGGCCCTTAGGAAGACCTGTGGTCACCTGGGGAGAAGCTGAGCTGGCAGCAATTGTAGATCAAAGTGTACCCCCTAAAAGACCAGCCAAGCCTATCAGCTGCTCCAAAGGATCCTAGCTTTATTAAAGGGCCCGCGCCGCAGTCAATATAAAAACACAAAAAGTCCCATCAGTTTAATAACAATAAAAAACCCCAAAAATGGAAAACTGAGGGGGCAAGGGAAGAGGCCCCTAAGCCAGGGGCATGGGGAACCCTGCTCATGGCACCAGGCCTGGCCACAGGGTCCTCTGATATTGCTGTTGCTACGAGGTCGGGGACAGCGATTGTCCTGTGGGAGCCACCATTCACCTGGGTCAGGGACCCTTATTTCTTCTGGGGTGTGCTCAGCTTCTGCATGCCCCGGATCTTGTCCAGCAGGCCAGAGATGAAGGCCTAGACAGGAGGGGGTGGCATTAGGGATACTAGACCCCCAAGGTGACAGGAGCTGGGGCTCCATCCCACCCTCTGGGAAAACCACTTACCTCGGTGGGTTTGTAACAGTCAACCAGCAGCTCCTAGTGGGTGGGGTGAAGGAGGGGTAAGTACACTGTGAGTTCTCAGGGATGGGGGTCTAGAGTTCCCCTATACCCACTTCCAGGGAACAGGGGCCAACTGGAGGCAGAAATGTCACAGTTAGGCAAGTACCGTCAAACCCATTTTTCAGAGGCAGAAACTGAGACCTGAGGTAACAGCTAAATGACTCAGACCAGAGAAGGCCTGGCTCCAGGGCCTCCAGGCAGCCCTCTACCTGCTGCCCAAACCCCCTCACCTTGACCCTGGCAGCCCGGGTATCATCGGTCTCCATGTCCAGGAGCTCATCCACGTCAATCTCCAGCTCTGGGATCTCTTCTTCCTGGGGTGGCAGTGGGGGAGGAGGGCGAGACAAGGGCCTGAGTCGAGGAGTGAGAGGGGTTTGGAGTTGAGGTCCCTGGCTACCTCAGCACCAGCCAAGCCTTTGCCCAGCAGACAGGGCAGCTGCTCTGAGAAGGAAAACAGATCAGGCCTGTGCCAAGGCAAATTGCCCAATGGGGGGAGCTTCCTGTCCCTGCCAGTGGGCACCGGGGGTGCCAGACAAGGCCAGACAGCCAGGGCTGGGGACCTTGGGCTGGGAACCTGGCAGATGTGTCTCCTGGACTTCCGGGCCCCCCATCTCAATAGAGCACTGGTGGGACCAGCTGTCCCAGTTCATCACAACCCCTCCCCTCCCCCAAACACCTGTCATAGCTTCCTGGGAGTGAGGAGGAAGTAAAGGGTGAGGGGTCAGCGGGAAGAACCCATGCCTGAAAAAGTGGAAACAAAGAGCCCATGCTTTGGGGAGGGAGGGGGGGCGCCCACCACCCCTCCCCCTCAGGAAGCAGCTATCCCCTTCAGAGCCAGCTGCATTCCAGGGCTAGGCTAGGGTAGGCGCACCGGGCAAGCCCACTCCTCCACCCTGCCCCGGGGGGCCTGAGTCACCATCTGAGCAAACAGGGAGTCATGGGGTGGAGAACCAGAGACCCGAGACCAGAGATGGAGCTAACTTGCCTGTACACCAAGACAGGGCTCCAAGCTCGCCCATTAAAACAAGCAGACCCTTTAGAGTACCCTCACCAGTCAGAGCAGCGCCTTTTAGCAAGTCTAAGCTAAGCCGGTGGGTTAGATCTCCTTCCACTACCAGCCCAGGCTCGCCCCTGTCCTGCCCCATGCCAGGCTATCCCTCGAGGTTTCTGGAGGACATCACGCTTGACCTGGGGAGTGGCATGAAGGAGGCCGGGTCTGAGGCAGCGGAGAAGGCTGGAACGACTTAGGTCAGACAAGAAAGAGCATACACTGGGGGCGGGGAGTGCCGAGAAGGGTGCGCGCGGAAGCGGAGCGCCCATTGACTCCGGTGACAGGCGGACTCACGGTGGGGTTGCCTGGCAGACGACTCGGGGACTGATCTTAGGGTGTCGGCGCGGGGTGGGGAACACACCTGGCAGTCGTAGAGGCGCGTGAGCTGTTCCAAGATCCACTCCTCTAGGTTGAGGCGCTTCCGTAGCTCCTTGCGGTCGTACTTGACGGTGACCTTCCCTTGGCGTCTCACTGGGCCCTCGTCGTCCGCACCGCCCGGGCCCTCGCCTGCCGCCCCAGGGGGGCTCTGAAAGTACACGCGGGGCCCAGGGCCACCACCGCCCGGCCCAGGGGCCGGGGCCGCCAACGCAGCGCCCCCCGCGGGGCCGCTGTCCGCCATGGCGGCCGCCGGGGCCACGTGCGCGCCGCGGGCCCCTCCCTGCGCCGCCGCCTCCCGGACGCCCGCCGGCTGGCTCCGGGCCACTGGCTCAGGTTAGCTCGCGGGCTCGGTTCCGCGCGGCTCCGCGGCGAGGGCGGCGGAGGGGGCGCCCGGGGGCAGCTGCAGCATGCGGAGCCCCCGGGCCTGGCCTGGCCGCGCCCCGCCCCCTCCCGCCGATCCGCCCGCCCTTTGTCCCCCGCGGCCGCCGCCCGAGCCGCCGCCGCCGCCGCCGAAGCCGCTTTCTCTGTCTAGCTCTCTTCCTCCGCCCCCCGACCACACCCCCTTAAAGGGCCAGCCCCGCTTTGGGCCCCTCACCCCCACCCCGCCTCCGGGTAGCGGGTAGGGGAGGGTCCAGTCCGCGGAGGTCTGGGCCTGGCTGTTCGCACGCCCCTAATTTAACCTCCTAGCCCCAAACCCAGGCTTATACTAAGCATCTGATACCAGGACTTGCGCACCCGCCAGATCTCTAGCCCTCATTGGATCCGGTCTTATTCTGTGCTCATTGAGACAGAATGGGGGGCGGGGGCGGGCGCACAGAGGCATGGAGGGGAGAGGGTCCTGGGAGTAGGGCGTGGGTCCGTGAGGAGTCATGGGAGACCCAGGGGTCTGGGTCCTTAAACCCCTTGGCCTGCAAGGGACGAGCGGGCTCCTCTGAGCGGACCGACACGTGGACCGGGTTCCCAGGAATGGAGAAGTGGAAAAGGCGGGCAGGAGCTGCCCAGGTGCTCAGACGTCCTACTTGGCGGGGGTCCCACGCCCCCAGTGGAGGCGGCTCTGGTTGGGGTGGACAGAGCCGGCCCTCGGGCTAGAAGGGCCCGACCCAACGCAGCCACCGCCCACCGGCCGAGATGGCGGCGGACCGGGATTGTGGGAAATGTAGTTCGCCGTCGGCCCCTAGAGGCCGTCCCGCCCCCGGGGCGCAGCCCGGCCGGGAGGCGCAAACTTGTCTGGGGCGCCCTCCTAGGGCTAGCCGCCGCCCTCCCTGCCCCGCAACCTGAGCGCTTACAAAGGAGGAAACTCCAGAGCCTAGAACTGGCACATGGGGGAGCCAGGACTCAAAATAATACAGGTAATAATAACAGCTGACCCCTAAGGAGCGTTTATTGGGACCCTCACCCAGTGGTTCTACCGTGAGGGTAGCTCCTCTGTCCCTCACACCTCTCTTAAGCAGGCTGAGCATCCCGTTCCGTCAGTGTTTGATTCTCTGTATCTTCAAACTGACTCATTCATTCGTTCGTTCATTGTCTCCCACTTCTAGATTGCGGGGTGGAGAGGTGTGCTGGCCTTGTTGCTGATGCCCCGGATAGAGTCTGCTTCTCTGCAAACCCACTGTATTAGAAAATTACCTGGTTCCTGCAGAACCCCAGTCCCTAGAATTATCAGACGCTTAGCAGGCAGCTCCACACTGTTGGGTGAACAAATAACTGAGTTAAAGAATGAGTGACCTGGGCTGGAGTTGTGGCTCAGTGGTGCAGTGCTTGCCTAGTATGTGTGAGGCACTGGGTTTGATTCTCAGCACCGTGTATAAATGAATGAATAAAATAAAGGTCCATCAACATCTAAAAAAAAATTTTAAAAAGAATGTGTGACTTCCTCAGAAGGTTGTGAATATTAAATAGGAGTGTGGCAAGTTCAATTTTTTAAAATATCGTCCTTATTTTATTTATTTATTTTTAATGTGGTGCTGAGGCTTGAACCCAGGGCCTCGAATGTGCTAGGTGAGCGCTCTACAGCTGAGCCACAACCCCAGCCCAGGCAAGTTCAATTTTGATACTAGAGGCTAATGAAATCACACAGCTAGATAGAGGGGGAGCTGAGATTTTGAGCTGTGTGCCTCCCACTCCTACAGTCCCCAGTCAGCCGGCTTACCAGTTCCACACAGGGTCTCAGGATCCCAGATGCAGTAAGTCCCAACCCCTCACAGACACCTTTTCTTCCCATGCAGGATAGAGCCCTCTACACAGGTAGGGTTTAGAGAGGGCTGGGATTGGCTCAAGGCCACACAGCAGTTGCTGAGCCAATCTTGAACCCAGGACTTCAAGTTCATCCTTTACTCTGTAATTGGGAAAAGAGACAAAGAGAAGACACAGGTGGGGTCTCTGGTTGAGGCAAGGGGGGTGGGGCTTAGTCCAAGGGAAGGGTAGAGTGAGGGAACCTCGATCCCTAGCTCATGCCCTGGCCTTAGCCTCCTTCAGCCAGCCTGCAGGAGCAAGGCTGACCCTTGCTCTTGCAGATTAAGCAGGACCCACCCATCTAGAGCCTGGCCTCTGGCTGCAGGCCTGCAGCCAAGTCCAAATTCCCCACCATGCCCCACCTCACCCCATCAGAGCAGGCCAGCTTTCTGAACCCCAGTATTGATTCAGAATTTATGGTGCTCCTGGATTAGAGAGGGGACATACTTGAATGGATTTTAGTACCCAACAGCTATTGTGGGAGTAGTGCCTACAGATCTCAGTGTTCCCAAGTTGCTGATTATGAATACTGGTCTTGTCCCTCTTCCCCACAGGGTTGGTGTAAAGGTTTCCAGTCAAGTTCAAATGTTGGATCCCCCTTTAAGGGTTCTCTCCAGCACACCCTCTCTGCCTTTCCTTCTGGTCATCATCTGTACCACCCTGAGAACACACCCAGATTCCTCGGGTTGACTTCCCCGTCTGTCCAGTCCCTTCCCATGGCTACCCACCCAGAGAACAGAATGGGCATGCTGACCTGCGCCTTTTGGAAGCCAGGCTGCCCTGCACTGCCTGGGTTTGGATGTGGAGGACTAGGTTCAGATCCTGGCCAGGGGCAAGTCACTTACCTGTTCCGAGCCTCCTCCTGGAGGCTGACCACCCTCACCTTCTTGTGCTGGAGCCCAGAGCTCAGTGTTCCTGTGCCGATCTGGCCATTGCTCCTCTGACAGAGCCCTCCTGGGACTGGGGTGTGCTCCTGCTCCTGTTCCTTCTAGCCTCAGACCGCAGCCCCACCCCTCCCAAGGTTCTGGCCCCCTCCCACCAGAGTGCAGCTAAGGCTGCCCATGGTCCCTTTCCAAAGCAGAGGCCCTGGGGAGGGTCCTGAGGGCCAAGCCCGCTCCCTTAATCGAGGGTAGAGGCCGGAAGGACTGCCTTCTTTCCACCGTTACTGCTTGCCGAGAAACCCCATTACCATTACCAATGCTGGAAGAAAGTGTCAGAGGAGGAAGGAGCCTTCTAATGGGGGGGCTGCCTTGGTCTCAGGAGACAGGGGTGGGTGGAGAAGAGGCCCAGGCCCTGCAAGCAGGCTCCCATTCTGTTTTCCAAGGAGCTGCTGTGTGCTGCTTCTATGAAGTATCCCTGCCTAAGGCCTACGCCTCAGCTGGGTCCCTGACTCCATCCCTGCTAGCCCTGTCCTGGAACTGACCCATGCCCTTTCCTTGCACTGGTCCCTAGATCCCTACAGCCTTCCCTCTTCTCCTGCCAAACTACCTTAGGGGGTGGGGCATCTCCCACCTTTGCTTACTTCAGCTTCCAACAACCCTTAGCTTCTGAACAGTGAAACTGGGTTCTGCTGCTAGAAAGCACTGGATGTGAACTCAGGCCTGTGGAGCAGAGGCCAGCCTCCACCCTGCTTGGCTTTGTTCTCCCAGTGAGGTCTGGTGGGCACTGGGTCTGGGAGAAGTATGCTTTGCAGCTCTGATGAGAGAAGAGTAAGATCACTGGTTGTCTCCCTTTGTCTCCTCAAGGGCAGGGAGTGGGGACAGGAAATCAGAGGGCTGATATCCTCCTACAAAGCTGTGTGACCTTGGGCAAGTCCCTTTCCCTCTCTGGGCCTCATGTGGTGAAAATAATCACACCCCACAGAACCAAAGCCAAAGACAAGGAGATTCACTAGGTTGACGGCCAACAAGATGGGGATTTGGAAGAAGGCCAGTGCTGGTTAGAGCTCCCCGGAGGATCTGAGAGCCTGGGGCAAAGGGGCCTGCAGGGCAGCTCCTCCCTGGCTGACCCCTCCTCCAGGAGAACCAGCTCAATTGCTTTCTGGGTTTCTAGGTGACTTGGCTGGCCCCTCTGGATGAGTTCTACTTTAAACCTGCTGCTGCTGCTGCTGCCGCCTCTATATTGGGGGGGCTCCCACAGGGGCCCTGAGGCAGGAGCCCCCCCAACCAAGCCCTGCGGGAGGGGCTGCAGCCCCCACCCATCCCAGTGCCCATGCGCGATTAACCCCTCCTCCCATCACTGGAACACAGATTTCAGGGCACCTGCTGCGGGCCAGGCACTGCAGAGCCCCTCTGCAACCTCCTTCTTGGGGACACCCAGGAGGCTCTGGCCCTCTAGGCAAACCTTCAGTTTTCAGCAAAGAGGCCCACAGAGGCAGACTGCAATCTTAGGGTCGGCAGCACAGGAAGGGACTGTTCCAGGGCTCGCTCTGGAAGGCCGGGATGCTTAGGTCCTTGAAGGAGGTGTCAGGCGCCTGGTCTCCCAGGGCTAGGGAGGGGGGAGGGGCGCCTGCCGGCGGGAGGCCCATTAGCTAGCTAAGTGCTCCCAGGGAGAGGGACCGCCTGCAGCAGAAGGGGATAAGGCGACGTACGGGCACGTGTGTGTGTGTGTGTGTGTGTGTGTGTGTAGTGGCTTTTCCTGCACTCAGCTAAGTGCAGCCGCCTGCCCCCTCCTCTGGGAACCCCAGGCAGGCTGACCCTGGTAGACGTCTTCTACACCCAGGCCCGCTAGCTGAACCCCCAACAGCTCCGAGGACCCAATCGTCCTCCAGTCCCCGCATGGCACCCGAAAAATGAGTCTTACAAAGCCCGACACTGGTGCAGTAAGCCCCATCCACCTCTGGCTGCAGTCGCCGCCCCCGCCGCCAGGGGGAGCCGACGCGGGGCGGGCGGGCCCGGACGCACCGGGTGGGAGGGGGCGACGCGCCGGGGCGGGGCGGGGCGGGCCGGGGGCGGGGCCCGGGCGCCGAGTCTCTGGTCCGTCCGGGACAGGCTGGCGGGCAGGCGGTCGCTGACGCCGCGGGGCTGGAGCGGGCCGCGCGGGAGCGCGCGGAGGGAGCAGCTGCGCCGTCGGTCCCCGTCGGTGCTCCGTGGGTCTCCGAGCCGCCCCTGGTTCGGCCATGGCGGGCGCCAGGCCCGGCGTCCACGCGCTACAGCTGGAGCCGCCCACCGTGGTGGAGACCTTGCGGCGCGGGAGTAAGTTCATCAAATGGGACGAGGTAAGTGCAGCGGTCCCCTGCTCAGCCCAGATCCGGGGACTCCTTCACTCAGGCTCAGGCAGATGCCGGGGACCCTCAGTCAGCTTCGCCTGACCACTTCGCCTTCTCTCCCAGCCTGTCCGGACTCCGGAAACTTGAGTCCCCAGGCGTCCCGATATTGAAGACTTTGTCCCCCCAACCCTGTCCCTTGGGTCTGGTAAATTGTCTCTTCTCCTTGGCGCGGAGACTTTGAACCCCAATAAATCCCGCCCCGCTTTCATTCGCCCTTCCCACCCCTTCCTGCCAGACTAATTCTGGTTCCCCTATCCTGGCCTGGTCCCCAGACCCCTGCACGGCCCTGGACTCCCGGGCCGGCTCAGGGCATCCTGTCCTGGGTGCGTACCCCTGGGACTTCCCGCTTCCCGGTGCGGTGGCCTGAGTAAGCCTCTTCATTCATCACTTCTTCACCCTCTGCTAGCACCCCTTCGCCCTGCTTCTGGATCCCAGCCCAGCTCCCTGGTCAGGTGGGAGCATCAAGTCACCCCCTGGTGGAGAATTTGCCCCCTAAGTTCCTCCACCCTGGGAACTTTACTCCCCACTCCTTAGTCTTGGGACTTTGAACCCCAATAAATTCCGGCCCCCCTTTCAGTATTCCTGCCCCTGGTGCTTTCCAGATGTCCAGGCCCCCACCTGCGGCTCCCCATCGGGGTTCTGCGCCCCGCCTACAGTTTTCATAGTGCCCCCTCCTCTGCCCCTTGGGCCCCTCCTTCCCCAAGGCCTCCACGGGCGGCCAAGAGAGCTTCCTCGCTGTTCTTCCCAGTGAGGCCACAGGCCTGGAAGACGCTGGGCTCCTTTCCGGCTGGGTGGGGCGGGAAGGCGTGGGAGCTGGGGCGAGGGGAGGATTGGGGGCGTGGCCTGAGCGGCAGGTGTGCTGGTGTCGGGGTGCCTGGTCTCCCCCTTGGCCTGGGAGACCCCCCTCCCCCTAGGCCAGCCTGAAGGGAAAAGTTTCTTCTTTTCCTTCCAGTGTGATAAACCCAAATAAGGAAGTGGGAACAGGGAGAGGGCCCTGGGGGTGCGGTGGGGTTGCTGACAGGGCTTGGAGCTGGAGAGTAGGGGACCTGGGGCATGTCTAAACGCCAGACTCCTGGGGAGGGTCCCAGAGAGGCCCTTGGAGCAGTACTCCCCTCTCCTCACACTACTGGGAGTCCACAGCCCCAGGGCAGTGTTGGGAATTCCCAAGAGAGGTTGACCTGGGTGTTACCACACTGGGATGAAAGGACCACACATCCCAAAGATTTGGGGGCCTCTGTCCCTGTGTCCCCAGATCAGCTGCTGTCCTTTTTCATCAAAGCCTGCAATGGGTGGGGCTGGTGCAATTCCCATTATACAGAAGGGGAAACAGAGGTCTGGACATTAGAGGACTAGCCAGGCCCCACTGTGGGTTGTGGCTATGGTTAGGAGCTGGGAGCAGGGGACTTGGAATCCAGCTTCCCAGGTCAATGGGCCCTGGAACTTCACTGCCGGCAAATCCTGGCTCCTCTTTGTGACCTTGAGCAAAGCCTTAGCCTCCCTGTGCCTCAATTTCCTCATGTGTAAAATGGGGATGACAACAGTATGTCCTCATAGGGTGGTCAGGGGCTGAGTGGGCTTGGAGTCATTGTGTGCACCCAGTGGAGCAGCCAGAATGTGGGCCACCATGTCTTCTCTGAGGGGATTGTCCGTCAGACTGCAGTTCAGGGGGGTGGGAATCCTCTAGCTGCAGAGGACTTTTTCCTATGGCCACCTGGCCCCTCCACCCTGGCTGATTCTAAGCCCTTGATGACACCCCTCTGGCTGCTGGTCCTGAGTCACATGAGGTGGCGCTGGTAGTGTGCCAGGGACTGGGTCCTCCTCAGAAAATGGGACTGATGCACTCGCTCTTCCATGTCCCCTGGCTTGTCCTGCAGGGGGGACTCGTGTTTTTGTAAGAAGGGGACAAATCTGAAGGCTGTGAGGATTTCCTGTAAGGTACACGGTGGCACATGCTGGACTTTGAGACACAGTGAGGGGTGGCAGGCCAGGCATCGTGGGTCCCCAAGGGATGCAGGGGAGCCACAGGGTCAGACTGCTGAGTCCCCAGCTCTCCTCCCATCAACATTTCATAGTAGATTCAACTGGGGGACAAGGCCCCCTGTCCTGGAGCTGTGGCCTTCTGGGGAAGCCAGTCCCAGGGCGGGGTCGGAGAGGCCTCCCAGCAAGTGGGTGGGATCCCATGGGTAGAGAAAGAAGGAACGATGAGGCAGGAGCTGGGCGCTGGGCGAGGAGGAAAGGGCAGCTAGTGGCCCATGTGACTGGGTCTTAGGGAAGGGAAGCGAGGCTGGGAGGGGCACGGGAGCCAAAACACTGTCTGTCACACTGAGGACCTTGGCTTTGTTTTAGGGGCTTTAGCAGCCGCGGACCTGAGGGCTTCAAGGTTTCCTAATCTTAGCTCACTGGCAGAAAGCCGGGTGGACAGCTCCCTCAGACCTTACTCCCTGACCCCTGTTGTTCTGTGCTGTGCCTAGGAAGCCTCCAGTCGTAACCTGGTGACCCTGCGGGTGGACCCCAATGGCTTCTTCTTATACTGGACAGGACCCAACATGGTGAGGGCAGATGCTGTTCCGGCTCATGCAGGCCTAGGTCTCTGTGGAGACCCCAGCCCTGCATGACCTGCAGGTCTGCCTGGGGGCTGGGACCAGCTGCTGGCTGACCCCTCGCAAACAGCCATCCACACAGGAAGTGCTAGGGGTCGGGGCTGAGACTGGGGCTGCTGCTGGTGGCCAGTCCCCAGCCTGGGTGGGGAGCTTGGGGGCCCCTGCTCTCTTGTCCTGCATCTCCTCAGACCCACCCTGGCATCTGGTTTCCCCAGGAGGTGGACACACTGGATATCAGTTCCATCAGGGACACGCGGACAGGCCGTTATGCCCGCCTACCCAAGGTGAGTACCAGGGCCCAGGACCGAGGGCAGGAGGCCTAGGGGAATGGGATTGCCCTTCTCACCCTCAGCTCTCATTACTCAGGACCCCAAGATCCGGGAAGTGTTGGGCTTTGGGGGTCCTGATGCTCGGCTGGAGGAGAAGCTGATGACGGTGGTGGCCGGCCCAGACCCAGTAAACACCACATTCTTGAACTTCATGGCCGTACAGGATGACACAGTCAAGGTGGGCTGGGGCCCAGGAAGCCCCCGGGAGACCCTGCTCATTCGCTGAGTTGCTTGTCACTTAGGGTCGCTGCTGCATTCTGCACTGTTTTCTGATCTGTGCATCAGATCCCGCTCTGGGCGTGGACTGGGGCTGGGCCCGCCTCTCTGTCCCTGCTGCTCACCTCCTCCCACTCCCACTGAATGCCAACCCCCCAGGTCTGGTCGGAGGAGCTGTTCAAGCTGGCTATGAATATCCTGGCTCAAAACGCCTCCCGGAACACCTTCCTGCGGAAAGCGTGAGCTCCGGCTGCCCTGGGGGACATCGGGGATTCCGATGGCCTTTCACAGGGTGTGACCCCTGCCCCTACTTCCCCAGATACACGAAGCTGAAGCTGCAGGTGAACCAGGATGGGCGGATCCCTGTCAAGAAGTGAGCACCCCTTACCCCTCAGCATCTCTCCTGTCCTGACCTTGGTGACCTTTGCCCCCCACTGACCCTGAACCCTCCCATCTGCATCAGCATCCTGAAGATGTTCTCTGCAGACAAGAAGCGGGTGGAGACAGCACTGGAATCCTGTGGCCTCAATTTCAACCGGGTATGTGGAGTGGGGGCAGGTGCGGGCGGGGTGTTGCTTGGGTCCCCACTGCTTTGGAGCTAGCTGCCCCTGGGCTCTCACCTCACACTGCTTGCCCCCAGAGTGAGTCCATCCGGCCGGATGAGTTTTCCTTGGAAATCTTCGAGCGATTTCTGAATAAGTTGTGTCTGCGGCCGGACATTGACAAGATCCTGCTGGAGATGTGAGCGGGGCTGGACCCTTCTCCCCACCCCTGAGCTCCCATGTCTGGCCTCTGCATAGTGTGCCCCTAGCCCAGTGAGGAGAGGGGGGTGCTGGTGGACTAGGCCTCAGCGTCCAGGGTGAGGGGGGCAACCTGCGAGCGCCTCACAGTGCTCAGAATCTCAGTGTCCATAGCTGTTACGGGTAGCTGAGTGACAAGCCTTTGCCAGGGTTGGTTTCATCTCATCCACTCTGCAGATGAGAACCAAATGGCCCAGGTGTGTTGTGGGCCGAGATTAGCTCCAGGCTCTGGAAGTACAGGTAGTGAGCTGGATACAGAGCAGCTCCCAGTGCCTTAAAAATGCCAGTGCTAGCTCATCCTCTGCCTGGATGGCACTGAGCGGTCGGGAGCGTGGATGGGGTCCAAAGGGGTCGGCCACTTGCCCAGTGATCCAGTCTGTGGGTACTTGAGCCAGGCGCAGGCCTTCCAACTCCCTCTCCCAGGGTGAGGGCCTGGTGTGGGGGTGTTGTTGCAACTCCAGCCCAATCCGGCTTCTGCCCGCCCTCTCCAGAGGTGCCAAGGGCAAGCCATACCTGACGCTGGAGCAGCTCATGGACTTCATCAACCAGAAGCAGAGGGACCCGAGACTCAATGAAGTACTGTACCCTCCCCTGCGTCCTTCCCAGGCCCGGCTGCTCATCGAGAAGTATGAGCCTAACCAGCAGTTCCTGGAGCGTGGTGAGTGGCCTCTGGTGAGTGGCGAGAGGCAGGGGACGGTGGTGGTGGAGGGCGAGGGCCCTGCTGACCTGCCCCCGCCCCCACCCCCAGACCAGATGTCCATGGAAGGCTTCAGCCGCTACCTGGGAGGGGAGGAGAATGGCATCTTGCCACTAGAAGCCCTGGACCTAAGCGCGGACATGACCCAACCACTGAGCTCCTACTTCATCAACTCCTCACACAACACGTACCTCACAGGTGAGATACCTCACAGGTGAGCGGCCGGAGCAGGGAGCAGGCAGCCAGCTGCAAGCAGTGGGGAGTGGGAGCCCAAGCAGGGAGCTGGGAGCAGGGAGCAGGCAGCCAGGAGCAGGGCGCAGGGAGTGGGGCTCCCGGCCCCCCGCCCTCCACCCTCCGCCCTGCACCTCCTCCCTCCTTGAAGTGCAGTTCTTTCAACTCATTTGCCCGGGTGGAAGGAAGAGAACAGACAGCCCTCTGCCCCACTTGAGGACAGGAAGCTTCCCGGGGAGGGGCTGAGGCCGCCCAGCTGTGAGGAACAGCCTCTGCGGAGGCCTGGGGCTGGAGACCACTAGGTGGTTAAGAAGAGGAGGGGGCTGGTGGAGCTTGGTGTCAGGGCGCTTGCATGCGAGGGGGCCCTGGCTTCTGTCCCCAGCACTGCCAGAGAAAGAAGAAGCCAGAAAGGAGGCCAGGGAGGGGAGGGTGTGGGCTGGGGCAGGGGCGGGGTGAGGGGCTGGGGAGGGTTTTGGAGGCAGGCGGCGGCGGGAGGGGATGTGAGTGGTGTGCTGTCAGAAGGCTGAGGCCAGGTGCTCTGTGGAGACTGGGCTGCAGGCAGGGAGGGGCCTGCGGTCCCCTAGGCAGGAGGTGGGGCTGCGGGGAGGAGGCTCTGGGGAGCCAGGGTCGTTTGGGAATGGCTGGTGGGGCGTGTGAGGGCTGGGGGTTCATCTCAGAGGGGGTGAGCCCTTGAATGGGGACCAACCTGGCCACAAGCACTGGTGGATGCCTGCTCTGCCACTTGGGTGGGCGCCAGGGGCAGGGGTGCAGGAGGTGCTGTTGGCTCCACAGTGAAATGAGCAGGGGCTCTGCAGAGTGTCCCAGGGCTGGACCATGCTGCTCCGGGAGCCTCTGTGTCCCTGGCACAGCTGGCTCAGTGTGGAGTGGGGTGATGAGGAGCCAGACTGGCAGGCAGCTGAGTGACACGGCCTCACCCCCCAGCGGGACAGCTGGCCGGAACCTCGTCGGTGGAGATGTACCGCCAGGCGCTGCTGTGGGGCTGCCGCTGTGTGGAGCTGGACGTGTGGAAGGGGCGGCCTCCCGAGGAGGAGCCCTTCATCACCCACGGTTTCACCATGACCACCGAGGTGCCGCTGCGGGATGTGCTAGAGGCCATCGCTGAAACCGCCTTCAAGACCTCCCCCTACCCCGTCATCCTGTCCTTTGAGAACCACGTGGACTCGTGAGTGGGCCCCTGACCCAGGACCCCCGGGAATCTCTAACATGGAGACCTCTGATGGGGACCCCTGGTGGACCCAGAGACGGCCCTCCCACTGTGCTCTGGTGACCTCTGACCTGCCTTGCTGAAGCTCCCCAAGGCACCTCTGACCTCTGACCTTGCCAACAGGGCCAAGCAGCAGGCCAAGATGGCCGAGTACTGCCGCTCCATCTTTGGGGACGCGCTGCTCATTGACCCTCTGGACAAGTACCCGGTATGGCGGCTGGAGCTGAGGCGGGGTGCGGGGTGGGGAGGGTGCCTCAGCAGACCCTGACCTATCCACCCCCTCCAGCTGGCGCCGGGCGTGCCCCTGCCCAGCCCCCAGGACCTGATGGGCCGCATCCTGGTGAAGAACAAGAAGAGGCACCGGCCCAGCACCAGCGTCCCTGACAGCGCCGCGCGCAAGCGGCCCCTAGAGCAGAGCAACTCCGCCCTGAGCGAGAGCTCTGCCACCACTGAGCCCTCGTCCCCCCAGCTCGGTACGCTGGCTCAGCCTTGACCCTGCCTGACCCTAACCTCCTCCTTCTGAACCCTCATGGTACCCTAGACCCCCGAGCCCTTCCTCGCATGCCACTGAGCCTGGCCCCGTCCAACCTCCTGGTGACCAGCCTGCACCGAGGTCCACTGGCTTGGGACCCTCACTGACCCCAGCACATCTGACTGTGGCCAGCTGGATTTGGCTGTAGCCAACTCCTGACCCCTCAGCCTTGGCCCCCACAGAGCCAGGCTAGGGCTCTTAGTTCTGACCTCTGACCCTCAGGCCCCTGGCCCCTGTCCTATGACCACCCAACTCTGCCCACCCAGTTGGGTGTAAATTCAGTTAACCTTTAGCCTGTCGTCACTGGGGTCCCTCTTCATCTGAGCCCCACCCTGGGTCTGGCTCTGCCTGACCCTGACCCGCCACTCACCTTGTCACCTTTTCCCCTGCTGTAAGGCTGTTGTGCCCAGACTCTGGCTTCCCACCCCCCACCCATCCTGTCCATCTCCTGCTCTGTACACTCCAGACTTCACCTTGACCTCTGACCCCTCTGGCTCTAATACCATGGAAGCCTGCCCCTGCCCTTTCCCCAGGTCACACTGTCCTAAGAGTGCCACACACTGGTCACAGCCCTCGAGTTTCCTGAGCATCAGTGTGTGATTCTGCCCTTTGACCTCTGGACCCTTGTGGCCTTGCCTTCTGCAGGGTCCCCCAGCTCGGACAGCTGCCCAGGCCTGAGTAACGGGGAGGAGACGGGGCTGGAAAAGCCCAGCCTGGAGCCCCAGAAGTCTCTGGGTGAGGAGGTCCCGAACCGGGGCCCTGATGTCCTGGGGTCTGCTGACCGTGAGGATGAGGAGGAAGATGAAGAAGAGGAGGAATCTACAGACCCCAAAAAACCCACCACAGATGAGGTCAGGCCCACAGGCGGACGGGAGCGGAGGTTATACATATTCCCTTCTCAGATTTGCCAAGTGCCCACCATGTGCCAGCGTATTGGTGGGTGCAGGGTACTCCTGACTGTGTGAACACCCTAGTGAGTGTGTGTGCATACGTGTGCTCTTCATTCAGGCACAATAACAGTGCATGCACAGTTATTCTCATAAGCCAGGCATGGTGGTGCATGCCTGCAATCCCAGCAGCTTCAGAGGCTGAGGCAGGAGGATCACAAATTTGAGGCAGTCTGGGCAATTTAGCAAGGCCCTGTCTCAAAATAGAAAATAAAAAGAACTGGGAGTATATCTCTGTTAGAATGCCCCTGAGTTCCATTCTAAATGTCCCTCAAAAATGAGCAGCATATCCCCATTCCCAGTATCCCCCAGGAAGGGGTGAGATGCGGTCGGTGTGGGATTGTGGGGAAGGGGAGTCTGACCTGGGGCGGCGTTGGGGGGGCAGACCTCAGGAGGTGGGAACAGTTCATGCAAAGCCCTGGGCTGGGCTTCAGTTCAGGAGGGGCCAGTTCAGGGTGAGAAAGTGTCATGAGGAGCATGAGCAGTGGAGGTGAGAGAGTCAGTCTGGCTGTTTGGGAGATCATATTGGAGAGGGGCCCAGAGTGGGGGTGGTGCGGGCAGAGCTGTCTGTTTGCGAGGTAGTGTTGGAAAGTGCCTAGGAATGGAGATTGGTGGTTCATATGCTCAACTGAGGGGTTCCAGCTTCTGGGGGTCAGGAGAAGAGAAGGATTGGGGGACTGTTGTGGAGGAGAGGGATCCCAGGCATGGTGCCCAGGCCTGGAAGAGGCCCTGGACTGTCAGAAGACGTGGCCGGGGTGGGGGCATTATGGCCCTTGGGAAAGCTACTTGCGAGGCAGCAGTTGGGGCAGGGTCAGCGCCTCCTTGGGAGGCAAGCGAGGGACTTGCACTGTTGATTGGGGCTTGGGGTTTGCAGGGCACGGCCAGCAGTGAGGTCAATGCCACTGAGGAGATGTCGACGCTGGTCAACTACATCGAGCCTGTCAAGTTCAAGTCCTTTGAGGCTGCTCGAAGTGAGTGGGGCTGGTGGTGGGTAGGAGCTGTTCCCACCAGGCCCCGCCAGGCCTGACACCCTCCCTCTGCCAACCCCCAGAAAGGAACAAGTGCTTCGAGATGTCCTCCTTTGTGGAGACCAAGGCCATGGAGCAGCTGACCAAGAGCCCCATGGAGTTCGTGGAGTATCCTCCGGGGCCTCGTGGTGGGACAGGGTGATGCTCGCAGCTACTCTGCCTAAGCCCCACCCAGGGTCCTGGCCCAGCAGCACCTGGGCTGGGCGGGTCTGGACCATCTGGGGGGCCTGGCTAGGCTGAGCAGTGGAGGCCAGAAGGGTAGCATGAGCCCACCTCCGCCAGGGTTGGGTGGGGGACTTGCAGGAGTGCAGGCTCAGGGCAGGAGGGGGAGGCCAACGGGGGTTGGGCACCAGTACCTGCTGCATCCCTGACCGCCAACCTCAGATACAACAAGCAGCAGCTCAGCCGCATCTACCCCAAGGGCACCCGCGTGGACTCCTCCAACTACATGCCCCAGCTCTTCTGGAACGTGGGCTGCCAGCTCGTCGCTCTCAACTTTCAGACCCTGGGTGAGCCCTGCCCTGCCTTGACCCTATACCATGGTGCCCCAGGGCCAGGCACATCTTGCCTGAAAGGACTGCTTACTCTGTCTGAATTTGGACCCTGTGATACCATTTGATCCCACCCCTGGCCCTGGCCCTTGGACTTCACTTACCCCCAATGACCATTGTCCTGCCTGACTCTGACCTCATTCAGCCTGCTGACTGACCCCTGTCCATGTCACCCAGATGTGCCAATGCAGCTCAATGCAGGTGTATTTGAGTACAATGGGCGCAGCGGGTACCTGCTCAAGCCTGAGTTCATGCGGCGGCCGGACAAGTCCTTTGACCCCTTCACTGAGGTCATCGTGGATGGCATTGTGGCCAATGCCTTGCGGGTCAAGGTGGGGCAGCAGAGGGCTTGGGCCGTGGGTGTTGAGGGGCAGGATGCTCAGCCACCGCCTCACCCTCTTGGCCCGCCCACCCCAGGTGATCTCGGGGCAGTTCCTCTCTGACAGGAAGGTGGGCATCTACGTGGAGGTGGATATGTTTGGTCTCCCCGTTGACACACGGCGCAAGTACCGCACAAGGACATCTCAGGGGAACTCGTTCAACCCCGTGTGGGATGAGGAGCCCTTTGACTTCCCCAAGGTGAGCAAGCCTGACCCACCCTGGCTCTCAGGGGGGATTAGGGTAGGTAGGGTAGGGTTAGGGTTATTTCTGTCACTGGAGCAGGACCAGGCTCACAGGTGGCCAGTGAGGGTTGGAACCTGGGGGAGGGGGTCCTGAGACCTCCCAGGCCCTGCATGTCCAGAATCAGGCTTGGGCCTTCTGCCTACCTCTTGGTGACAGAAAGAAACAGAAAGGTGAGACTGAGAGCAAGGACCAGCAGGAGGTCCCACAGCCTGCCCAAGGCGGGAAGCTCTTGCTCAGGACCCACCCCTGCTCAGTCCCCCGATCTCCACGTTCTCACAGGATCTGGGGAAGGCAGAGACAGGCAGACTCCATGCTGGACTGGAGCTCACTGTAGTTCTGGGCGGTTGATGACCTGGCCTGTCCTGCGGTGGCCTGAGGGGGTCTGTCTGCCTGTACTCTTGGTTCAGGGCCCTGAGGGCCCAGTCATCCATTGGGCCAGGCCATGGAGATGTGCGGTCAGGTTGGTCAGCTTGTATCGGGACCTGCTCTGGGCGTCAGGCCTTAGTGACTGGTGTGGTTGCCCCGTGGCTCGGGCTCTGCCCCGTGGCTCAGCCAAGTCTGTCCCTCAGGTGGTGCTGCCCACGCTGGCGTCCCTTCGCATTGCCGCCTTTGAGGAGGGTGGCAGATTCGTGGGGCACCGGATTCTGCCTGTCTCTGCCATCCGCTCAGGTGAGCCTTGGCGGGTTTGGGCAGGACGGGGGCAGTATGTGGGGGACCTGCCCAGGCCCCGCTGACTCGCCCTTCTGTCCCCCAGGGTACCACTACGTCTGCCTGCGGAACGAGGCCAACCAGCCACTGTGCCTGCCAGCCCTGCTCATCTACACGGAGGCCTCTGACTACATCCCTGATGATCACCAGGGTGAGCTGGGGGCAGAGGGGCAGCGTGGAGTGGGGACGACAGCCCTGAGGGCAGGTTCCTACCCTGCTGTGACCAGAGCTGGTGGGGAGGGTGTGACCATCTGAGAGCCTCACCTTCTGCCTCCCCAGACTATGCAGAGGCTCTGATCAACCCCATTAAGCATGTCAGCCTGATGGACCAGCGGGCCAAGCAGCTGGCCGCTCTCATTGGGGAGAGCGAGGTGAGCCTGCTGGCGGTGGGAGCAGGCTGGGAGGTGGGCAGGGCTCAGGCTCCCCTTGACCCTGGGACCAATGCACACAGTTGCTGTGGGTGTGGGTGCAGGTGGGCTGGCTATGGCTGACCTCTGGGCATGGCCCTGCTGGAGCGGTCCCTGCAGCCCCCAGCTCTCCACTGTGTTTTTTTCTGGTGCTGGGGATGGAACCCAGGGCAAGCGCTCGGCCACAAAGTAGCACCCCATGCCCAGTGGTGGGATCTTAGGAGACAGAAGCATCCGAGAGGCCTTTGAATCAGATTGGACTAGAATTTCTCCCATTCTCAGTGACCCAGGAGGCTAAGGCAGGAGGATCACAAGTTTGAGGCCAGCCTCAGCAATCTCATGAGACCCAGTCCCCACCCCCCCCCCCAAAAAAAAAGGCTGGGGACATAGCTTAATGGTAAATCACACCTGTCCAAAAAAAAAAAAGGGTTCCTGGCTAATTCACCAGGGAAGTTTTGAGGCCACAGAGCCCTTAAGAACATGGGGCCTGTGAGCATGGAGGAGGCGGTGGCTTCTCTGAGGAGGGGTCGGGTGCAGAGGTTTAGCCGCATGCCCGGAGCCATTCCCTAGGGACCTTCGGCGGTGGGAAGAGATTGACTGCAATTAGGCCTTGGCAGAGCTGTTAGCAGGAGAGACTGGTGCCCGCTCTGCGGTCATTTCCTTCGTTGATTTAATCAGGAGCTGAGCAGTGAGGGCGAGGGACTGGGCCAGGGTGGAGGGATCCAGAGAGCAAGGATTCTTGGAGCTGGGCCAGGCCTTTCCAGAACCATCTGGGAGTTCCTGAGCACAGGCAAGGGGCTGGGCACCTCCCAGTCTTATGCCCTAGGTGGACAGGGGCTTGGAGGGGTTTGCTTGATCCACTTTATTCTCATCGGCAAACAGACCAGAAGTTGAGCAGCCAGATGGGCTGGGGAGCTGGCAGGGTGGGGGGCCTGGAGACTGAGCATGGAAGGGCTTGGAGAGAACAGCCTTTCTGGAAACAGTGTCCTCTTCCTCCACCCCCAGGCTCAGGCTGGCCCAGAGACATGCCAGGAGACCCAGTCTCAGCAGCCAGGGGCCCAGCCATCCCCAAACCCCACACCCAGCCCACTGGAGACTCCCCCTCGCTGGACCCCGGGCCCTGCCACCTCCCCCACCAGCACCTCCCTCAGCAGCCCAGGTAAGGGGCAACCCGGGCCGGGGGTGAGCTGAGGGCGAGGCCCCCACCCTTCCTGCAGCCTCTCACAGCGGCCTCTCCTCTCCAGGGCAGCGGGACGATCTCATTGCCAGCATCCTCTCAGGTAGGGAGGAGCGCCTTGGGTGCGGGGCCACCTGAAGGGCACCTGCCCAGCCCGGCCCCTCCACCACCCTGCCCACTTGCACTCTGGTTCCCAGAGGTGGCCCCCACTCCGCTGGAGGAGCTCCGAGGCCACAAGGCTCTGGTGAAGCTCCGGAGCCGGCAGGAGCGGGACCTGCGGGAGCTGCACAAGAAGCATCAGCGCAAGGCCGTGGCCCTCACCCGCCGCCTGCTCGATGCTCTGGCCCAGGCCCGGGCTGAAAGCAGGTGCCAGCACCCACTGGTCCCATGAGTCTCCCACAGACTCTGCCACCCGAGCTGTGCCCCCTGGCAGGAGTGTCGGGCCCTGTGTGCACATGGTTTCCATGGTGGGTGGGCGTGCCGAGCGAGGGGCCCCGACCCCACAGGAGTATGTGGTGTATGACGGGACCCGAAGCTTCCCACAGCAGCCCCAGAGTCCTTCTCCTGGGGCTGACATTTCTGTTGACGTCCCTCTAAGGAGTATTGGCCACACAGGCTTCTCCTCCTGGGTGGTGTCTGCTGTTGCTGCTACCACAAGCGCTGTCCCCACTGCCCTCCCGTGTGGTGGACTCAGCATCACCCAGAAGGTTCTCCCTACAGGGGTGGGGCCGCCGATGTGGAGGACGTGAAGGAGGAGGAGGAGGCCAAGAGGTATCGAGAGTTCCAGAACAGACAGGTGCAAAGCTTGCTGGAGCTGAGGGAGGCCCAGGCGGACATAGAGGCTGAGCGGAGGCTAGAGCACCTGAGACAGGTGAGGGGGCATGTGGTGGCCAGGGAGAGCCTGCCTCTTGGATTAACCTGGCGTTGGCCTGTGGCACCCATTGGCTGCTGTGTCCCCAGGCTCAGCAGCGGCTCAGGGAGATCGTCCTGGATGTGCACACAACTCAGTTCAAAAGGCTGAAGGAGATGAACGAGAGGTGAGGCGGAGACCTCGTGTGGGTGTGGCAGGGACTCCTGGCCCAGATGAGGACCGGACCAGGACCCTGCCACCGACCTTCCCCTTCCGCTACCGGCTTCTCCAGGGAGAAGAAGGAGCTGCAGAAGATCCTGGACAGGAAGCGCCACAACAGCATCTCTGAGGCCAAGACAAGAGAGAAACATAAGAAAGAAGTGTAAGAGTGCTGGGGCCAGGAGTCGGGGGCCCGGGCAGGCAGCACAGTGCCCAGGCCCTGAGTCCATCCCGCCTCCCTCCTCGCAGGGAACTGACGGAGATTAACCGTCGGCACATCACCGAGTCCGTCAACTCCATCCGTCGGGTGAGTGCCACTCTAGCCTCGCCCTAATCCTTCATTCATCAGAAATCCCTCTCCTAGCGGGGCGCGGTGGTGCTGGAGTGCATGTTATCCCAGGCCTCAGGAGACTGAGGCAGGAGGATCAGGAGTTCAAAGCCAGTCTCAGCAACTTAGAGAGGTTCCAAGCAACTGAGATGAAAAAATAAAAAGGTCTGGGGATGTGGCTCAGTGGTTAAGTGTCTCTAGGTTCGATCCCTGGTAAAAAAAAAAGAAAAAAGAAGCCCATCTCCTTGGTGTCTGGCCTGGTGGCACGCTGCCCTCCAAAAGCTGATAGGACCTTCCTCCAGGGTCCCAACAGCCCCCTGGTGCCTGCTTCATATCCAGGGACAACTGTCTGCACCAGTGCCCAGTGGCTTTGGAGCCCCCTGTAGGTCATGCCCAGCCTGAGCCCCAGGACCCTGACCTCCCTCAGGGTCCCTCAGCTGAGCCCTTGCCCACCCTCACAGCTGGAGGAGGCCCAGAAGCAGCGACATGACCGCCTAGTGGCTGGGCAGCAGCAGGTGCTACAGCAACTGGCAGAAGAAGAGCCCAAAGTAAGGCCCTAAAGGAAGCTGGTGGGCAGATGCTTGGTGGCCTGGCCTCCCTGTGACACCCATCTTCCTGTAGCTGCTGGCCCAGCTGACCCAGGAGTGTCAGGAGCAGCGGGCGAGGCTGCCTCAGGAGATCCGACGGAGCCTGCTGGGAGAGACACCAGAGGGGCTAAGGGATGGGCCCCTGGTGGCCTGTGCCAGCAATGGCCATGCACCCGGGAGCAGTGGGCACCTGTCTGGTGTTGACTCGGAGAGCCAGGAGGAGAACACGCAGCTCTGACCTGGCCGGGCAAGAGGTGGCCACAGGGCCAGGGTGGGCGCTGGGCAGAGGGCAGGAGGTGAAGACACTAATGCTTTTTTTTTTTTTTAACTTTTTATCTTTAGAAATTATATTTTTTTAAACCTGGGGCAAGTGCCCCACACTAACTCCTTTCATCTTCCTGGGGCCCCGTTAACCCCCAGCCCCTCCTTCCTAACCTCAGTCCTAGGGAAGGGGCTGGGCTGGGCCGGGCCTTGCCCCCATGACACCCACACCCAGATGGGCGTCCTTCCCTCACTTCCCAGGGACCACACGGAGCTCTGGGAAGCAGGGGTCACAATCTCTATGCTTTGGGGATTTTTTTACATGAATAAAAGTGGATTTCAGGGAGCCCGTGTGCGGTGTGGTTGAGGACTCCAGGTCCTGGACCCCGGGCCTGGAGTCCAGCTCTGCACTTCCCTTGGGTCCCAGGTTTCCTCTTCTATAGTTGTCCGTGGGGTCGAGGTCAGGCCCCCCTCAAAAGCTGGTGGGCTTGAACTTGGCTGCTTTGCAGTGACCTTCCTCAATGCCACAGGAGGCTCTGGTTTCCCCCAGACCTTCCTGCCTCTGTGCCCTGTGACCCCTGGGCTTGTGTCCTGGCTCTCCCTGTCCTCCCTTCTCAGAGGTACAGGCTCCTTCAGGAAGCCTTCCCTGCCCCCTTCCTATTGCCTGATATGATCCAAGCTCCCACCACCTTCTACTGGGCGGCTCTGGGGTCTCACGCAGGCAGTTGAGGGGGTGGTGGTGGATAGCCTGGTGGAACTGGGCTTTCATAAGTAAGCCAGTCAGGGGCCTGTCTCTGACCCCTGGAGATGGGAAACTGACAGTCCCAGACATTGTAGGGACTGGGACAACATGTGACCCCCTCATCCCTGTGAGGGAGATGTTTTGCCTGTTTTACAGATGAAGAAACTGAGGCCCTGAGCAGAAGCCAGGTGGTGCCAGGCCACAACTAAGTGGAGATGTCCTGACCTGGAGGCAGGGAGGGCACAGACCCTCTGTGGCAGACTGTCTTCGGCTAGCCTGGAAGACCTGCTCCATACCTCTGACCACGGAGGAGCAGCAAAGACCCCACAGCGAGGGTGTGAGGGCGTGAGGGCCTGGCCCGGCGGGCTCCAAAGCAAGGCCAGGCTGGCACCTCTTCAAGGCCTCTCCCAGCTTCCTGGCGCTTCCCGGGCTGGCTGCTCCCTCCTCCAGAGGAAGGCAGCCTCTTATCTGGGCTTATCTCCTGCCAATTGAGTGTTTTCTTTGCTTTGTTTTTGCTGCAGCCTCCTGCAAACAGATGGGGTAGGGAGGCCAGAGAAACCAGGCAGCCGAAGTAGGGCCTCCCCAGGGCTGGGACCTGTGCCCTGGGCCCTTCCTCAGGGTGGATACTATTGCCTAAGTGGCCCTCCTCCTGCTGTCAGACCTTGTCCTGTCCCCCAGTCTGCCAGTTCTCCTGTATGCCCATCCTGGCCCCACAGTGGTCAGCCTGCTCCCTCCCCCCCCCACACTGGCCGGCCTTCACTTACCCAAACACTCCATGTGGGTCCTGAGTCCTCAAAACTACCCTGTGTGCTACTGAGCCCCTCAGAAGCCTGGCCTCTACTGCTACCCCATCTTTCCTGGGTCCCCTCATCCTCTTCTCTGCAATGACAGTTCCAACTTCAGCCCACCCCCTCCTGGCAGACCTCCCTGACTGTCCTGCCAGAGGAGGCTGACCCCTGTCTGGTTCTGGAAGCCTCTGCGAGCCAGGCTGTGGAGAAGTTCATCTGTGTACCCAGCACAAAGCAATGGCCTGGACTACAGGGGCGCCAATAAATCTTTTGGAACAGAGCCCTGAGCCAGGTCCCCATGCGAAGCTTCTTGGTTCCCTAGTGATTGCGCTGCCCCTGCCCTGAGCACTCTGCCAGGTCCCCAAGCAGAGCTGGCCTTAGGCCGGCCACACAGTAGCTGCTCGAAAGTACTGACCCAAATAGGAACAAATGACCCCTCTCTGGGGAGCCACGGCATGGTTTACAGAGCGCGGGAATTCCAGTGGCAGCCGAGCCTTGGTTCCCAATTACCATACTAGAGATAAGCGCCTGGCAGTCTTTGGGGCCCAGTCGCGTCGCCCCACCCCGAGGTGGCTCTACTTACTGCCTTGACCCATTCCCCATATTTGTCCCTGGATGTCACCCAAACGAGCCTGTTTCCTGCATGTGTAAGCTGGGGGCATTTTTTTTAAATGTCAATGATAGAACCATCCTGGTCCAACCCCAAGCGACACACAGAGGCGACGCGGCGGCACAGGTGTGACTTTTATTAGCATGTAGGTCGCTGGGCCCACAGCTTCCCGGCGGAGGAGAGGGCCCTGGCGAAGTAAGGGTTAAATCCCGGCTCGCAGCTTGGGCGGGACTACCCAGCGCCCGAGGGCGGGGCGGCCAGCCGTGGGCGGAAAACCTTCAAAACTTGCGTGGACCTACCCTCTGCGCTCCCACGCGCCTCCCAGCCAAGGGACAGAAGGGTCCCCTCTGCACAGGCCTGCGGAGATTTCCGCCCACACCCAAGATGGTCGCCAACGGCGACAGGAACCGGTGGAGTTTGGGATGTGGGGACGGTCACTGGGAGGGGGCGGAGCCTCGCCTCCCCAAGTTCCGATCCCACCAGGACTGGATGAAGCGCGTCCAGCTGGAGCTTTGCCGCATCTGCGACGCTGTGCCCGCGCTCCTCGGGCGAGGAAGTCCCTTGGGGTGGGAGGAAGAAAAGGGTTAAGTTAATCGGCTTACCCAGGCGGATCGAATCAAGTACCTCCATTTCCGGAACCCAGTGTAGAGGAGATCCGGGGAGACGTAAAAGACCACGGCCTCCAGCATGTCCTGTACCGAATGGTCAGGGAGCCAGCCACAGAGGACGCTTAGGCCCTCAGGAATGGGGACTGTTTAGAGCCAGAGCTGGGGACTGGGAAAATGCCTAGGGATCTAAGTGGAAGAGCCAAATATGTAGCACCTAGAAGATGGGACCGCAATTCAAGAACTGACGTGTGCCCCACGCGACGGCGCACGCCTGTAATCCCAGAGAGGAATTACAGGAAGGCTAAGGCAGAGGATTGAAAGTTGGAGACCAGCCTCAGCCATTTAGCCAGATAGTGTCTCAAAAAACGGGGGGCATTGGGGATCTAGCTTGATGGTCAAGGGTCCCTGGATTCAATTCCCAGTACCCCTCCCCCCCAAATTGAAGAAATATCCCAAGAACCTTGATACCCGAAAGAGGCGGTCCGGGACTACAGGTCCCAACGTGCCCCGGGATATGACAGGACCTGGCGGGTAAAAAGTGATCCGGGACTACAGGTCCCAGCATGCCCCGGGACAGAAGGCGGTCCGGGACTACAAGTCCCAGCATGCCTTGAGACGTGGAAGGATCTGGTGGGGGCAGGAGGTTCGAACTACAGGTCAACGCATGCCGCATGCCGCAGGGCCAGCGCTCACCTTAAAGGAGCCCTCGAATTCGTCGCTCATCCTCCGGAGCTCGCGGCCGTAGCGCTGTGCAGCCCAGAGATTGGGGGGCGCCGAGCGCGAGCGGCCGCGGAAGGGGCTGGGCTCCTCTTCCATCTCTTCATCCAAATCGGTATCTGCGGGGTACGAGCTGTGGCGACTCCGGGTCTCCGTAGCCCCAGCGCCTGCAGAAGGGTTAGCGGGTTGGGGCAAAGTAAATCTCTGCTCCTCTGCGTCCCCCTAGCTGCGAAACCCTCCTGTGTAAATGGAAGGAAGCTCGGGGGCTTTTGTGGGAAATCGAGTCAAGGCCTCACTAAACCCGCACATCTTTGCTAAGTGCCAATAAGGGTCGAGGCCTTTTAGCCCATTAAATAAATGATTTTACACTGTGCTTGGAATTAAAGAGGCAGTGGTTGTAATTACTAGGATTAGGGAGGCGTCCTGCACAAGATCTGCAGGGGTCTCCAGAGGATGAGAACCTGGCAGCAACACTGATGCATCCCTCATCACACCTGCTTTGAAGAAAATGTCCAGAACTGTTGACTTTTCTTTTTCTGTTTTGGTACTGGGGATTGAACTCGGGGAGGGACACTCGACTACTGAGCCGTATCCCCAGCCCTATTTTGTAGTTTATGTAGAGACAGGGCCTCACTGAGTTGCTTAGCATCTCGCCATTGAGGCTGGTTTAGAACTCCAGATCCTCCTGCTTCAGCCTCCGGAGCCGCTGGGGTTACAGGCATGCACCATTATGCTGGGCTGTTTGTTGACTTTTTTGATGTGACGTTTATGGAACACTTACTATGCATTAATTCCCTCCTTATCTTCCTAACCACCCTGAGAGTTGAGTACTACCACTGTCTCCGCTTTACGGATGAGATGACTGAGGCTTAGAGAAGACTTATAAGCCCTGAGGCTCGAAGTCCCTAGGTTTGATAGAATCCTGTGTCCACTGGGATGGACCTCATTCCCTGTCCAACCATCTTTAACTCTGAACAACTTCATCACCTTCATGAGGGCCTAATCCTAGCTTTACTCCCAGCAGGTGTAAAAGAGTCACACCTAATAAGGAGTGTGGAGATGCTCTGTGACTTGCCAGCACTGTAGGTCAGTATATTCAGAAGGATCTCTTGTTGTGAGGTCTGATCTGGGTACCGTGTGCCACTCTTGACTCCTGCCAACTATACCTTGCTGCTCACACCAAGACCTAGGAATACTTCCAGGAGAAGAAAACCCAGAGCTAAGACAGCCTGGGGCACACACTTGGCATTCACAGACAAGGATGTCGGTCAGGAAGTCTTTGGAGGAGGGAAGATTTAGGCCAGGTGTGGAAGCTGGGGTGTATCAAACAGAACATCTCCCCTCTCCAGTCAGATCCCCCCCACTTAGAAGAGGGTGGGAACCAAAAAGGCCCACCCTGAGGTCAGGGAAGGGTACCTCAAACCCTCAGAAGAGCCAGATGGAAGTAGGTACAGACAGCTAAATCAGGAATCAACTGGGATGGGGCTGGAGTGCCAGGAACAGAAAAACTCCTGATAAAAAATGGGCCTCTCCAGGGCTTGAGTTGTGGCTCAGCTGTAGAAGTGCTTGCCTCGCATGTGGAAGGCACTGGGTTCGATCCTCAGCACCTCATAAAAATAAAATAAAGGTATTGTGTCCATCTATAACTAAAAAAAAAAAATTCTTAAAAAATGGGCCTGCCTGCTTTTCATTTCTATGGGACGTGGGCAGTGGAGCAGGGATCAGTAATTCCGTGGGTTCAGCCAGGACCATGTTCCTGCTCTGGGACCTTGAGCCCGTTGGGGTCTTAGTGTATTTCTCTGTGAAATGGGGGCAATCCCTGTCTCCCAGGACCACTGGGAGAACACAGGAGAGCATCCCACCCTGTCCTTGCACATCCCCAGTGAGGCAGACACCAAATCCTCCCTATCTTACAGATGAGGAAATAGAGGCACTGAGGTTAGGAACTTTCCTGAGTCACAGTGGCACACCCTGCCTGCCACCAAATGTCCAGGCAATGTCAGCTTCTGAGAACTCAACATTTGACACCTGAGTGATGACTTTCCAATGAGTAGTGCTAACACTATCACTCTCCCAGGAATTAAGACAAGCAGAAGAGGCCTGGAGGATAGCTCAGCGGTAGACCACTCACCTAGCACGCTGGAGGCCCTGGGCTGGATCCCCAGCACCACAAACACAACAAAAAACAAGCATAAGGGGCTGGGGATGTAGCTCAGTTGGTAGAGTGCTTGCCTCACATGCACAAGGCCCTGGGTTCAATCTCCAGCACAAAATAAATAAATAAAAGTATAGGAACATGGGCTAGGACAGATTGGATGTTTCCAATGTATGAATTCATTTAGTCCTCATCCTGTGCTAACAGGAAATTTCCTCACGGTCACCATTTTACAGAGGAGGAAACTAAAGCAGGACAGGGTAATTTGCCCAAGATCATATAGCAAGTGGCAGGGATGAAGCCATGTGTGGTGGCGCAGGCCTGTAATCCCAGCCACTCCAGGAGACTGAGACAGGAGAATTGCAAATTTGAGGCCATCCTCAGCAACTTAACATGGCCCTATGGACTTAGCCAGACCCTTTCTCAAAATAAAACAAAAAACAGATTGGGGATATGGCTGAGTGGTTAAGTGCCCCTGGGTTCAATCCCAGGTACCAAAACAAACAAAAACAGCTCAAAGCCTGTACTATGGGATGGAAGATTCTCAGCAAAGTAATGAATTTGGCAATATCAAGCCATGCCATCATCAAAATGATGCCCATTTGCATAAAATGGATTATTATTTTGTAGTACTGGGGATCAAATCCAGGGGTGTTCTACCACTGAGCTATATCCCCAGACTTTTTTTTTTGTACTGGGGATTGAACCCAGAGCACTTAACCATTGAGCTACATCCCCAGCCCTTTTAAGTCTTTGAGACAGAGTCTCACTAAGTTGTTTAGGGTCTTGATAAATTGCTGAGGCTGGCCTCAAACTTGTGATCCTCTGCCTCAGCCTCCTGAGGCGGTGGGATAATAGGTATGCCTCACCATACTTAGTTGGGAAAACCAAAAGTATCTGTTTACTGGGGCAGGGGGGTGGATCCAGAAGATTTTCTGTGAACTCCCTAGGGAAAGAGGTCAGGTGTGCCTAAGCCAATTTCCCCTCTAGGGGAAGGGAGTGCTAGAGCCTGGGTGGATACCCAGTCCTGCCCACTCAGGCCATCCACCTGGAGTTTAGCCTGAGGCGGGATAGGGTGTGGGAGGGGACTGTGGTCTAGCAACTCACCTCCAGCTGTAAGCTCTGACTTACCCCCCAGGCTTCTGGGCAGCAGGTGGGGCCCAATACTTCCACCTTCCCGCTGCCACAGGCACCCTCATAAAAACAGTGCAGTTCAGGTACTTAGAAGCTGTGACGCTTCCCCACTAGGCAGAGCCAGGCCTAGATCCCATCTTTAGGATGCTAGGCCTCACAAGCCCTACTACCCTGCCCTAGGAGGCAGAGGTTGCGGCCCCAGTGCTCTGTCCCACCCTGACCAGTGGCCTCACAAGCCATCAGCATCCTGTAGCCCCTGTGGGCTGAGACAGCAGGCCCCCACTCGGTCAGAGGGGATGAAATCAGAAAGCTCTAAGATGGGGGATGGTTAATATTTTCTGTCAAGAGCTAGGAAGCAAATAGTTCAGGTTTGGTGGCCACAGTCTCTGGGACAATTATTCAACTTTACGCTCACAGCTTGGAAGAAGCCACAGCCATACGGAGCTGACAGTACATTGCTGGGTTCCACTACAGCTTTATTTGGGACACTGAAAACTGAATTCTATGTAATTTCCCCTGTTAAAAATACTGTTCTCTAGATTTTTGTCCACTATTTTAAAAAGTGAAAAATCGCTAGATGCAGTGCCACAGGCTGTAATCCTGGCAACTGAGAGGCTGAGGGGAGGATAGTAAGGTCCAAGCCAGCCTCAGCCACATTTAGCAAGATTCGTTCTCAAAATAAATACCCAGATACTTGGGAGGCTGAGGTATGAGGACCATTTGAGCCCTGGACATTCCCAGGTGCCCCAGGCCCAGCAACTGCACCTGCAGCTTTAAACTCTTCACGGCCCATTCTTAGACAGAGATTTACCAGAGGCTGTGGTCTGCCAGCCCCTGCTGTAGGCCCAACTTCAGCCATCTTCACTTTAAACCTCCAGTGGGTCCTATTGAAGGTTTTTAATGAAGGCCATGGAGACACAGGACAGCAAGTGCTTCTGCACCTTCCCCTACGCACTGTTGGTAAGCAAGCATCAGGTCCTTCCTGCAAGGGAGGCCACCTGAACTCCCATTTAACAATCCAGCAGGAGCCCAATGGCAGGAAATAGAAGGGCAAAGAGATCCAATGTGAGCTGCCCTGCCCAGGTAGAAGGTTCCAGGCCACACAGTACAGGCAGGCCACTGGCCCTTGTGATCTTTTTTTGGAAATCACTTGATTTTAAGACACTGATTATTAAATCAAACAGAAACATTTAAACTGGGTGTGGTGTCACTAGCCTGCAATCCCAGCTCCTCAGAAGGCTGAGGCAGGAGGATCAAAAGTTCAAGGCCAGGGCTGGGCTATGGCTCAGTGGTAGAGGGCTCGCCTACCATGTGTGAGGCACTAGGTTCGATCCTCAGCACCACATAAAAATACATTGTATGCACCTATAACTAAAAAATGAGTTTTACAAAAAATAAAAAAATAAGTAAAATATAGGGGGCTGGAACTCTAGCTCAGTGGTAGAGCACTTTCCTAGCATGTATAAGTCACTGAGTTCGATTCTCAGCAAGGCATATATATAAAGAACAATAAAGGCCCAGTGACAACTAAAAAAATATTATAGCTGAGCGTGGTGGCACACACCTTTAATCCCAGCAATTTGAGAGGCTGAGGTAGGATGATCCCAAGTTCAGGCCAGCTTGTCTCAAAATAAAAAAATAAGAAGAGCTGGAGATATATCTCAATGGCAAAGTGTCCTTGGGCTCAATCCCAGCACCAACAGAATTTTTAAAAAGCTGTGTGCCAGCCTGTCATCCCAGCAGCTTGGGAGGCTGAGGCAGGAGGATCAAGAGTTCAAAGCCAGCCTCAGCAAAATCAAGGCCCTAAGCAACTCAGTGAGACCCTGTCTCTAAATAAAATATAAAATAGGGCTGGGGATGTGGCTCAGTGGTCAAGTGCCCCTGAGTTCAATCCCTATTACCAAAAAAAAAAAAAAATTTTTTTTCACTCAAAGTCCCCACAGACTGAGTGGGGCCTCAACTACCCTTCCCCACCTCCCTCCCCTGGGAGGCATACTAGCTTGAGGCAGTCTTGGCACCTGGGCCTCCCCATCTGCTCTTCCCTGTATCTGGAAAGGTCTTCCCACAGACATCAGAATGGCTCACCCATAGCCTCCTCCAGCCAGGCCACCATGTGGCTTCTTCCCAAGATCCACCCCAGTGACTCTGCCAGCCCCCAGGACTGTGCTTCTCTGTACTCTCTTTTGTGCTCCGACCCCAGCACACACCATCTTCTAATGCATTCCATGTTTCCAGCCTATCTCCCCCACCTCAGAAGAGTGCTTAAGCTCCACAGGGCAAGGACTGCTTCCCACTCACTGAGGCACCCCAGCAGCCAGAACGGACTTGGCTTTCACAAGACCTCTCTGTTCCAGGTGCCAGCCCAGTGCCAGGCACCAGGGAGATGCAGGCTACTGAGAAATGCCCAGGCCCTCCTGTGCCCATCCTTCCATATGACCCCAGTGTTTCCCAACTCCCACACCAGTCACATAGCCTGGGAGGGCTGTCTTCCACTTGGGGATCAACTGCCCTTCCCTGGTACAAGGGCAGTTCCCTATGGGTGAGCCTCAGGGTGGAAAAGCACACACCTACCTGGTGGAAGGCTCTATCCCAGGGAAAAGTGGCACCCTGTGGCAAGCATCAAGTATTCTTCCAACCCACCTCCTATTTAGGTAATACCAAGCTCGAGTGACCTTAGGAGAGTCGCTTGCCTTTCTGGATCACTGCCTGCCTTTCACCGATTTCTGTTCCTGGTCCCATAACAACAGATGCCCTTTTTGAGCATTTATTACGCACCATCTCTATAATCAATGCCTTCTGCCTATTCCTGCCAATTAACTCAATAGTACTACAAAGTGGTGGTGATTGTTTGGCTTGCAGAAGAGGAAACCGAGGCTCAGAGAAGTTAGGAACTCCCCTCAAAGATTTCAGTGAGTGTGGGTGCAGCTGGAGTGTAGGGAGTGACTGGGCTGAAGGCAAAGTTGATAGGCAGGTGGTGTCAGTGGTGGGGAACCTACCTCCATGGTTGCTGCTGCTGGTTGCCTGCCGCTGCTGGTGACCTGTGTCCCTGGGGAGGCCTGGAGCCAAGCCGCAGCCTGGTGGTTGATTCTTGTAGGGGCCTGGCCGGTCCCCTGCGGGGCTGGGGCCCAGGCCCCCTTCTGCGGAGCTGGAGTCTTCCTGCTCACTGGGCTCAAACTCTGGGATCTGGAACATGCTCTGGGCTGCGAGGACAAGATGACAGGTAGTCAGGGTGCAAAACTGGGGAAACGGCGGCGGTGGGAGACAAGGGACAGGTGTCCCTTTCTCCCTCTAATACCTTAGCTCATTTAGGCCCGCCGGTCCTTCCAGGCCCTCATCTATCTACTGCATCTGGTCGGGCAGGGAGCTCAGGGAGTTGCCCAGGACCTAAATCTCCCCTCGGGGCCCAGGTGCTCGGGAGCAGCCCCAAACCCCTACCTAGGCCCCGCCCCTCCCCTCCCGGCCCTGCCGGTGGTTTGGCACACAGGTCTCACCCCAAGCCCGTTCTCAAGGCCCCTGACCCGGGCCCGCCGCCTCCCTCTAGTACTGAAAGTGCCCGGCCCAGGTTTCCTGGGTAACTGGAACTGTCACCGACCTAGTCCAATCAGCTCTCGGAATGAATCGCGGGTTGGCCCGGAGGCGGGGCCAGTCCAGGCCGGGTGCCACCCTCGCCGCCGACCTGCGGGTCCTACCGCCTTCCTTCCCGGTCCCTCCTTCCTCTCCTGTCGCCTTTACTTCCTCGCGCCTGGAGCGTGCGCGGAAGCGATGAAGGCTTTTTCTGGGATCCCCATTTGGAACCTGGAGGCCCGCTTCTGCGGACGAATCCTTCAGCCCCTCAGGGCCTTAATTTCCCCCGTGTAAAATGGAGATAATGACACCTCCCTCGGGGGCCGGTGAAAATTTTGTAAACAGAGTGGTGATTACTGTGGGTGAAAGCACTTTGTAAAGCCGTAATTGACGCTCAGCCGTCGGATGTAATTATTGCTGCTGTTATTGCTTCGCCTGGACCGGGTGACCGGTCGGGAAGTCCCACTCTCTCCTCCTCCTCGCGCTGCCCACATCTGGGACCCCTCCCAGCGCCATCTCGGGAGCACTTAAAGATAAGAGAGGGCGCCTCCTCTCTGGCAGGATGAATGCCCGGGCGCGGGAGAAGCGACGGGGGCCCCTGTGAGAGCGAGCCGTGGGGCTCTCGGAGCTCTGCGGCTGGCAGGCAGCGTGCAGGCGGCCGGCCAGGTGAGCGGGCCGGTGCCCGGGTCTTGCGGGCCCGCCGGGGGCGTCCGGAGTCCGCGGGTCCGGGCTCAGGGGGCGGGGCCGGGGGCCATCTTGGCTATGGGCGGAAGTTTCCTTCGAGACTCAGTGAGGGGAAGTGGTTGTCGCCCCCAGCCGGGCGGCGTCATCCTAGTTTGAGGATAGGGAATTTAAGCGTGGGAACGGGCGGTGTTCCAAAGAAGCAAGGGCCGGCAGCCCAAGGCACGGACCATCCTGGCGCACGTTGGGTGCGGCGGTGCCTCCGCGTCTCAGCCGCTTGCCGGCTCCCGTAACCCCGGGCGCCCGTTGGTGGCGCAGCCGGCGCCGATTCTCGAAAGGCTCCACGCCGGGCGCGGCGCCGGGCTGCGGAGCCAGGGCGGGCCTCTGCGCAATTTGCGTAGCGAACGATGCCCGCGCAGGCGCAGGAGGGGGCGGAGCAGCGGGAGCCGGGGAGCTGGAGCCCCGGGTCCCGGCGACCGGAGCCCGCTCCCCCAGCCGCGGCCTGAGGATTGGGCATCGGCCTTTCCTGCCCCCCGAGGGCTGGAGGGTGGAGGCGGTGGGCGGGGGAGAACGGCTGGATTCTCAAGGACAGAGAAAGAAGCCCCCATACGGATTATTGGAGGAGAGAGAGCCCCCAAGCTTGGGGATGGGGAGAGCCGGGCGTTGGGCGCCCCCGCAGCGATCGCTGCTCTAAGCTGACCGGTATCGGCCGGCTCTCCCCCTCCTGCCAGGCCGACTTGAGCGACCAGAGCCAGGGACTCCTCTCCTTCAGCCTCTGTATCCCCGCATCCCCCTGGCTCTGAGGCCAGCCCAGGGAGAGACACCCCAACCCCCCACCTCCTTTGCCCAGGAGAGGACTGCCCTTCCACATCCCAGAGCCAGGGGCCCAGGTTGCCTGTGTCTCCCAAGGCAAGGGTCTTTCTGTTGAGGAGGAAGGCCCTGGCCAGCCACAACTTCTATCCTTTTGAGTTCCCATCTCTGTCACTGCACCCTCCGTATTTATTTCCCTGCCCCCTTGCCAGTCCTCCATCTCTTTCTCTGGGATTCAGGCCTCCTTCCCTGACATGGAGAGTAACCTGTCTGGCCTGGTACCTGCTGCCGGGCTGGTTCCTGCCCTGCCGCCTACTGTGACCCTGGGGCTGACCGCGGCCTACACTACCCTGTATGCCCTGCTCTTCTTCTCTGTCTATGCCCAGCTCTGGCTGGTGCTTCTGTATGGGCACAAGCGTCTCAGCTATCAGACGGTGTTCCTGGCACTCTGTCTTCTCTGGGCCGCCCTACGTACTACCCTCTTCTCCTTCTACTTCCGTGACACTCCCCGAGCCAATCGCCTGGGGCCCTTGCCCTTTTGGCTTCTCTACTGCTGTCCTGTCTGCCTGCAGTTCTTCACACTGACGCTCATGAACCTCTACTTTGCCCAGGTAATTGTGGTAAGGGGTGGGGGATGAGGGGGGCAAGACTCAAGAGCCCAAAGGAGTGATGGGCATCTCTGCTCTCAGGTGGTGTTCAAGGCCAAGGCGAAGCGTCGGCCAGAGATGAGCCGAGGCTTGTAAGTATTGGGGCACTGGTGGGCTCAGCCCCAGGTCAGGGGCAGGGAGAAGCCTACTTTTCAGGGCTTAGGCAAGAACAACACAGGGAATGTTTGTGAAAGAGCTTGGAAAAGCTAAAGCACCTGGCACAGATGGCTCAGCAGAGGCTTGCATAGGTGAGGGTCGACAGTAATAGAAACAGTTGTATACTGTGAGGGGAAAGGACACCAGTGTCATCCATGATGGAGAAAGAGCTGGAGGCTCCAACCCATGGAAATCACAAAGCCCAAGTGCACTTCTGGGTGACCTTGGGCTGCAGTACCCCTGTCACTGCACATTGTCTTCCAGTTCATAAAGAACTTTTACAAACATCTTTCTTTTAACAACTTACCTGAGAAGTTCTTATCTTTATTTGCAACTTGAGGAAACTGAGGCCCAGCCAGATAAAGGAGCGTGTTCAAGGTCACAGAGCTGGCAGGAAGCAGAGCCAGAGCTCAGATCTAGACTTCTGACTTCCAATCTGGTGTTTCTTTGCAAGATGCCACAGCTATCCCTCACCTTCTGACCTCTTTGGGCCTCAGTTTCCCAATCTGTAAAACTGGAAAAGCAGGTTTCAGCCTGGATGATCTGAATTCTGACAGACACTGGGGTCTCCTGAGGGCGGTAGTGTGGTTGGTGAATGCCAAGGGCAGTCCATGGTCTGAGGCTGACTGTGCTGTGGGCTGCAGGCTGGCCGTCCGAGGAGCTTTCGTGGGGGCCTCGCTGCTCTTTCTGTTGGTGAACGTGCTGTGTGCAGTGCTGTCCCGCCGGCGACGGGCACAGCCCTGGGCCCTGCTGCTGGTGCGCGTCCTGGTGAGCGACTCCCTCTTTGTCATCTGCGCCCTCTCTCTTGCTGCCTGTCTCTGCCTGGTTGCCCGGCGGGCCCCTTCCACTAGCATCTACCTGGAGGCCAAGGTAGGGCCACAAGTCCTGATGCACAGGTATCCTTGGGGATCTTTGGGCAGTGGTCATCAGGGTACAGAGGAAGTTGGGAGCCTCCTCTCCCTGAGGATCCTCTGTTGTCGTCCGTGCCAGGGGACCAGTGTGTGCCAGGCGGCTGCAATGGGTGGCGCCATGGTCCTGCTGTATGCCAGCCGGGCCTGCTACAACCTGGCAGCCCTGGCCTTGGCGCCCCGGAGCCGGCTGGATGCCTTCGATTACGACTGGTACAATGTTTCTGATCAGGTGAGTGTTAGGCCGTTTACCAGCTGTGGCACCTGCTCTCAAGCTGGCCTTGCTCTGTCATGGTGCTACTCAAGTGGGATTGCAGACTGGCACAAGCTCCTGCCTTCCCACAGGCGGATCTGGTAAATGACCTGGGGAACAAGGGCTACCTGGTGTTTGGCCTCATCCTCTTCGTGTGGGAGCTCCTGCCCACCACCCTGCTAGTGGGCTTCTTCCGTGTGCATCGGCCCCCGCAGGACCTGGTGAGGGTCTCCATTCCCCTCGATGGGGCTAGTGGAAAAGAGTGGACCCTGGGAATCCTGGGCAGGTGTCCAGGGACACCTGTGGGGGACAGGAGAAAGCACTGACGACAGTGACATTCCCCCACCCACCCACAGAGCACCAGCCGCATCCTCAATGGGCAGGTCTTTGGCTCCCGTTCCTACTTCTTCGACCGAGCTGGGCACTGTGAGGACGAGGCCTGCTCCTGGGAGCATAGCCGGGGGGAGAGCACCAGGTAGGAGTCCTTCCTGGCTCCTGGCCTGCTCCATCAGCAGTAGGATTGGAGAGCCATGTCCCCCCAGCCCCCACCTCACATCTAGCCGTTGTTTCCCCATCTGTTTTAGGTGAGGCCCCCTCTGGGTTCCTAGTGCTAAGTCCTCCACCTCCGTCCCTGGATGCAGTTTACCCTGGACCCAGGGGGGGTGGGTTGTAGGGACTCCGAGCCTCTCTTCCCCTGCCATTCTCGTGATTGTGGCTCTGGTCACTGCCCTGGGACTGACCCTGCTTCTCTGCCTGCAGCATGTCGGGCAGCCTAGGCTCTGGCAGCTGGTACGGCGCTATCGGGCGTGAGCCAGGCTGGTGTGGGGGCAGCCAGACGAGGACCACTCCTCTGCTCTTCTCCCAGGTGCCAGGACCAGGTGGCCATCACCACAGTCTCTACTCGACCCCACAGACGTGACCCCCCCTTGTGCTCCCCCCCAGAGCACTCAGACCCCAGTCCCCCTCACCTCAGACCCCTGTGCCACGTTTATCTGCCGCTTCTTGCCCAGGATCCCGGGGGCCATGACAGGCACCCCCTCTGGCCGGCTCCTTGCTGCTCCTGTCGTAGTGAGCTAGTGCCATTGCCCCTAGGATGGGAGGGCACGGCCCTAGCTGCCAGATGCCTACAGCACCCTGGCATGACCTGCCACCTCCGCTTCCACATTGGAGCCAGCTACCTCTCCTGTGCCTGCCACTCAATAAAGTGTCTGTGCCCCTCTTCCGTTCACCTGTTGCATCTATGTTTTGGGTTGTTCTCACCTTTGCCTGTGCGGTCACAAGCTGATCAGACTCTGGCCCTTAAAGTGGGCTGCCGGGCTAGACAGGCTGGAGGGCACAGAGAGGGAGGGATCTGCAGCCATCAAGGGGAGGCTGCATGGGGCTGGGGATGTGGCTCAAGCGGTAGCACGTCCGCCTGGCATGCGTGCGGCCCAGGTTCGATCCTCAGCACCACATACAAACAAAGATGTTGTGTCTGCCAAAAAAAACTAAAATAAAGAGAGAGAGAGTTTAAAAAAAAAAAGGGGAGGCTGCACATGCTTTGGTTCTAGAAGCTCTGCTGAGGTAGGTTCCTCCCATTCCTAACAATTTCTTCTCTTTTGTAATATCTTCCTCAAGATTCCCCCGCCCCCGTGGTTCTGAGAATTGAACCCTGGGGTGCTCTACCACTGAACTACATCTCCATCTCTTTTTATTTTATTTTGAGATAGGGTTTTGTTAAGTTGCCCAATCTGGCCTTGAACTTGTGATCCTCCTGCCTCAGCCTTCCAGGTAGCTGGGATTACAGGCATGTCTTACTTTTTTTTTTTTTTCCTTTTTTAAAATGGGCTCTCACTATATTGTCCAGGCTGGCTCTGAACTCCTGGACTCAAGCAATTCTCTGGCCTCAGCTTCATCGCAGGTAGCTGAGACTACCGGTGTTGTGTGCCACCATGCCCAGCCCACAACATCTCCCTGGGGCTGGGGCTGTAGTTCAGTGGAAGAGCACTGGCCTAGCATGCACAAGACCCTGGGTTCAGTCACCTGCACTGCCCTCCCCCAAATCGCATATTTTATGAAGCTGAAGCCTTCCATCTTCTGGTCAGCAACTAAAGCCCTTCTCCTGAGCCCCACTGCACTGTGGTTATGTGACTGGTGCATCAAAGTGATGGGGCTTGTGGAGGCCTGGTTGGTTTCTCTCTAACCACTCCTAACCTAGCCTTCAGGTGCCAGGGCTCAACGAGGACTGACAGAGAAGGTGTTGATGTGGGATAGAACGGTATCTGGCTCCCAATGAGGTGTGAGTGTGCATAATCCCTGCTCTGTTCCTGCCTCCCTGGCAGATCTGTCTGGTAGCTGGGAGTTATTAGAGGTCTGATTCTTGAGGGTTCCAGCTCCTGAGAATCCCCAGGGTCTAGCACTAGCTTGCCTTGAAACTTTGTGCTTAGGGTTGTTCTGGGGGCCAGGCCTGCAGGGCCTCTGCAGAGCTCCTCTGAGAACCAGAGAATTAGCTGGAAGTTGGACAATCACTTTGCATTGAAAGGAAAGTTGCTGACATTTCTAGGACACTTGATTGGGTGGCCAGGCTCTGTTTTGAGCATTTATAAACGCTGACCTCTCCAATGCCCTGAACAGCACCTGAAGTGATAATTAATTATCCTTTTTCTGTAAGTGTGAACAGGGACACTCCAGAGAGCTTGCTAACCTATCCAAGGCCCTACCAGTAGGGGGCAGTGGGCCTTAAAGCCCAGGTCTAAAATCACTCACCACGAGGGCAGAGGACCCCAGGAGGCAAGAGGAGGGTCTTGGGTGAGCCCAGAGGTTGTAAAGAAGTGGGTGAGAGCAGGGTGAGGGAAGGTTCAAGACCCCCCTGGGCCTTGGCTGTTCAGACAGATGGAAGAGAATACTGGCACCTGCAGCTTAGGCCCCTGGGGCTGACTCCTGGGCATGGCCTTGGAAACCAAGGGCTGGGGAAAGGAGAAGAGGAGTAGGAGAATGCCCACTCCAGTGACTTCTCAGCTGGGGCCCAACCCTCATCATTGGCCAAATTCAGGTGGCCTCATGGCCAAATCCACTGAGCCCAAGGGACAGGCTGTCCCCAGGGATATAGACCAGGCCCTTCCCAATCCTGTAATGGGCTTGGAGGACGCCAGGAGATTAGCGTGGTTCCTGTGGGCCAACTGATGCCCAGGCCAGGGCGGCCACTGGCCACACTGGGCTCTTGCCTGAGATTAGAGGGTTGGACCCACAGCGACCCTTCTCCGGTTTTTCTGCCATCCACTGTCGCCGGCTAGCGAAGATCTGGGAGCCAGGCGGCCGCAGGTACAGGGCTTAGTGCGAGAGTGGTGGCGGGGAGCGCCGGTGGCTAGGGCGCGGCACTGAAGAGAGGAGCGGCGCTGGAGGGGTTAAAAGCGGGAGGAGGGGGCTTCAGTCGGGGAGGGAGGGGGTCCCAGCCCGGGCGGCCGCCCGCTCCGCCCCTGCTGCCGCTGCCGCCTCCGCGGCCCAGCCGGCACCGGCGAGGCGGCGCGGGAGCCCCGGCCGCAGCCGCAGCGGGGCCGACAGTAAGTGCGCGGCGGGCGCAGGGATGCAGGGAGGACTCCTGGGGATCTGTGCCCGGAGGGGGCGCGTGACAGGCCCGCTGGACGCCCACCTCCGGCGGGTGGACACCTCCGGGAGGGGTGCTTCCGCACGTCGCCCGTCACGCTCCGAGGGAGGACGCGGGGGAGGCGGTGGGAGCAAGCTGCGGGAGTGCAGCGTATGGGGTGGAGGGCGCTGCGCGGTGGCCCTGGTCGGTGTGTGTGCGCACGTGTGCGTGGACCTTCTGGGGTACAGAGGCACGGCGAGCTCTCCCGTGGGAGTCCAGTGTGCCCAGGGGCGACGGGAGTGTGCCCGCGGAGTACTGCGTGCAGCCTGGGCAGTGAGGCGGGCTGGAGCCGCAGGGTGAAGCGTGGGCGCGCGGGTCTTTGTGCCCGCGTGTGGTGGAGCAAGTCAGGGCGAGCGTGTGCGTGTGTGGGGGCGCCGCCTCCTGCTGTCCGGGGAGCTGTCAGCTGTCCGGGGGCTGCTGCATCGGTCAGGCCCTTCCCGCCCGGCGCCTGGTCCCTTCCGGGAACCCTCCCTCTCCTGGCTCTCAGCCTCTCCACTGCGCTGCGGCCGGGACCCGCCCCTGGGTTCCTCGAAAGTCCGGAGGGGTGCTGGGGGGGACCCTAGAGGCTCCCTGCCTGGCCCGTCGCAGCTACCCTGGGAGCCAAGAGAGGCGGGAAGAGAGGGAGGCGCCGCGAAGATGCTGCCGCAGCCACAGCGGGCGAGCCGTGCTTGGACCATCCACGTCCCCGCCCTGCGCACCCAGCCTCGCCTCCCACTTTCTCTTCGTCCCCCTCTGCCTTCCTGGGAAAGCCGGTTTCCCCACGCCCCCACCCCAGGCCCTCGGCATTCCTCATCACCCAGCCTCTCCCGAGGCAGGCTGTCTCTCCTACCTTCTCCCTTCCTGATGCCCTCCTTTTCTCACACCCTGGAGCCCCTGGACAGGGGCTGAGGGCCAGGCAGTGGAGGTAAGAGGGAGGGTGGAGGTGGGAGGGCTGGGTGTTCCTTCCTACTAGACGGATGTGAGGGGTACAGCCATGTATAGAAAGGCTGGAGGTTTTGAGGACCTTGGGTATGTAGAGGATCAAGAAGGAGGGTGTGGGTTATCAGGCCAGTTTATTGACCCTGGCAACCCTGGTTCTGCCCGCAGTGACCGCCGCTCCCCAGGAGCCCTCTGCCCCACCTCCCCAGGCGGGCGGCGGAGCTGGCACTGCCCCTGGACGTGCCATGCGCAGCACCACACTACTGGCACTGCTGGCATTGGTCCTGCTCTACTTGGTGTCGGGTGCCCTGGTGTTCCGGGCCCTGGAGCAGCCGCACGAGCAGCAGGCCCAGAGGGACCTGGGGGAGGTCCGAGAGAAGTTCCTGAGGGCCCATCCATGTGTGAATGAGCACGAGCTGGGGGACTTCATCAAGGTGCGTGGGGGGCCAGGGCCCCTTCAACAGACCCCCACTAGGTCCCTGTGCTGGGGTGCTGCTTCCAGATGCGTACCCCTAAAGACTGGGTACAGCTGGGGTGGGGGGTGCTTGGCAGAGACTGGGATCCAGATCTCAGTTTTCAATATGGCGGCCACCCGGTCCTTTGTTTTGCTGGCGGTGCTTGGCACCTTGCTGTGCTCCTGGAATGTCTTCTTGAGTGTTCGTGGGTAATTGAATGAAGGAAAAATGAATGAATAAATGGCTGGAGCACATGGGATGTTACTTTTGCTCTGGTCAATTCATCCCATTTAGGTTGCCAGTTAAAATCCAACAGGCCCAGTTCCCCGTGAATTTCAGCTAAACAACCAATGCCATTTTAATATAAGTATGTCCCATGTAATATTTTTACTTCCTAAAGCTGGCAACCCTCCTCCACTGGCTTCTATACATTTTTGGAGTCACAGATGCCTTAGAGAAACCCAAGAACACTGTGAACACTTCTCTCCATCCCCCAAGTGTGCATAGAAGCATACACAGATGATTCTGGAGTATTCCTGTTCTGGCACTGGGGAGAGGGGTTAGGGACCCCTTCCCCCAAGACACAGGCTTACCATAGCAGACAAGTGGGTGGGGCCAGAGCTCAGCTTCCCTGAGGCACTTTTGGTCAACCTCCATCATTAAGGAAAGCTCTGAGCTTCAGCTTTCTGGGTTCAGTTGATGAGCTCCGCTCCTTTCTCTGATTTCTGAGTCACTGTCATATGACAATCTATGATTTAACTTTAATAAATTAATAATTATTACTTTACTGATGAGCACCCCTGTTCCCTGCCTGTTCTTTGTTGAGGGAGGGGCTTCTGTTGGGGAGCCTCAGCATTCCAGCACATTCCCAAGGTGGCAGGAACAGGGTAGAGATGGGGGGGGAGAGGGGCCAGCCAGGACCCAGGTGGCCTGACATGCCTTTGACACTTCCAGAAAGCAGGACAAGGCTGAGAGGCCTGGGCGCAGAGAGTGTGTCTGGCCAGACCACAGGGCAGAGGGAGGGAGGGAATCTGACCTATTTTATTTGCACAATGGAACTGCTTTTTTCCTGGATAAGAAAGAAGAAAAGGAGGGGCAGGACCTAGAAGGGAGGGTGGTGGCAACTGCTTTACTTCTTTTCCACCATAAGAGTTAACTCTCTGAATTAGTCAGTTGTGCAGCAATTGGACACCTACTGGGTGCTAGTATGGGTTGTGTTGGGCAGGAGAGTGGATCTGGGGGTGGAGCATATGCAGACTCTGCCTTGGAAAAGGCCACATCTAGGTGAGGAGAGAGGTCCAAGGACAGACCGGTCACTGTACAGTGCATGGAAATGGAGTTTCCTCTCCTTTTTTAAGCACTCATGTGGGCTGGGTGCAAGGGGGTGAGAAGAGAGATTCAGGGGCCTTGGGGATAGCTGGCACATGAACAGAGCCAGGTGAGAGAGATAGAGTTTAGGGACTGCGGACAAATCACTCCCAGTTGAACAGCATGGGTAAGGGCGTGGAAGCTGGAAAGCTCTGGAGTGTTTTGCAGAACCTGAAGTTAGCAGATGCCTAGTCATTTGAAGTAGAAATTAGAACACAGGATGACGAAGGACTTTTTCCCCCTAAGTGGTGAATTTATTGGAAAAGTGTTGCAAAATAAAAGTTAAATCACTTTTAATTAGTATTTCACCTCTTGCTTTTATTTTAAAATCATCATTAAAGGAAATGGAATCATCTTAGATAATCTGGGGGGAAGGCTGCTGTAACATGGGGTGACAAATCAGAGTCCCAGGAGAGAAGACTGGGGAAAGAGGTGATTGGGACCAGCTTGGAAAGGGGTTTGTGTGCTGATCTGGAGAGTCTAAGCTTTATTCTAACAGAAGCTGTTACTTTAGTAAGATGAATTTGGAAGGGGTCTTGCTAATGAGAACTGTAGTCAGGGAGAAAAGAGATGGCATATGCCAGACACTGTCCTTGTGCTCCTCTGGGGAAGGTCCCTCTACACAGCTACCTCCTTATGCTCTGACCTCCCATCATCTAGGGCAAGCACTCTCAGAACACAGACCCTATCCAGCGAATCTGCAGGCTAGCAAGAGGGGCAGACAAATGGACACTTCATTCATTCTCTAATATTTATTGAGCACCTAGTATATAACTTCTGTGTGGTGTGCATGTGTGAACATCCTAATATTGGAAGCAAAATTTGCCAGTATAAGAACATTTTTGGAGGGAAAGTCCATAACTTTCTTTAATTATCTAAGGCAAGGGACTCAAACTGAGTCTCCATGGGGGCAGTGGGAGTGGTGGGGTCTGTGGAAATCTGGAAATCACAGGATGAGATTGCCACATGGGAAGTTATCCAACAAATACACCAGGCTCACTCTGTTCTAAGTGCTTTAACTCTTGGGGACAAATCTGTAAGGTTGGTACTGCAATCATCACCAGTTGATAGATGCAGAAATGGAGGCACAGAGGGTCAACTTGCCCAAGGTTGCACAGCACCAAGATTTGAACCCAGGGAGTCTGGTCCTGACTATAAAATTAGCAATCTATTGTGTGAAACTAGGGGTCTGGTGACTTGAATGTTCCTGAAACATTGTGGAGGTCCCACAGACTTGCCTGCAGGTAGATTAGCTACCCAATTTGCATCCTTGGCTGTAAGGGACCATATTCAAGGAGATGAGAGGGAAGGGGAGAGGTGTGGTGGGGGATAACACCCTAAAGGCTGGTGGTGCAGGGAATCGGCCCAGATAGGAAGGAAGGACTGAGGTTCCTCCTTCTGTGCCTTGTCCTGCAGGATGTGGCTAATGCCCTGGGAGGGGGTGCAGACCCAGACACCAACTCGACCAGTAACAGCAGCCACTCAGCATGGAACCTGGGCAGCGCCTTCTTTTTCTCGGGGACCATCATCACCACCATCGGTGGGGGAGGAGATGCAGCATGTGGAGGGGGGCAGGGGCAAGGAATTTCCTTATAGGGGAAGATGCAGGGAGAGGCAGAGGGTCCCGTGGCAGCGCCTAGACTCCTTGCACCGCCTCTCTGCCCAGGCTACGGCAATGCAGCCCTGCGCACAGATGCTGGGCGCCTCTTCTGCATCTTCTATGCGCTGGTGGGGATCCCGTTGTTTGGGATCTTGCTGGCAGGGGTCGGGGATCGACTGGGCTCCTCCTTGCGCCATGGCATCGGTCACATCGAAGCAATCTTCCTGGTGAGCTACTCCACATCCTTCCTACCCTCATGCTGAGCTGGGATTGCCTTCCTTAGGTACCTGCCCGGGAGCACACACCCTCAGATGGCACAAGCTCCTGGGGCTGGGGCGGGGGGATGGGCGTAGAGGTTGTTGGTGTCTCTGTGGTTCTGCCTACCGCCCCTCCCTGCAGAAGTGGCATGTGCCACCAGAGCTGGTGCGAGTGCTCTCTGCGATGCTCTTCCTGCTGATCGGCTGCCTGCTCTTTGTCCTCACGCCCACATTCGTGTTCTGCTATATGGAGGACTGGAGCAAGCTGGAGGCCATCTACTTTGTCATAGTGACGCTCACCACCGTGGGCTTCGGTGATTATGTGGCCGGTGAGGCTGCTTTTCCCTATCTGCTTTCTTCTTGTCAAAGAGCTCTGCACTCTCCCCTCTCTGAATTCCAGGAGGCACGTTTGCTTCTACTCCTAAATCCATCAGGAATGCACCATCACAGTCTTCCACTCATGCGACACATTAACATGCACATTGACATCCCTGCATGTGTGGGTCCCATGCATCCTCATACATACAAATAGTGCACCTCGCCCACATCATGTTCTTGCATGAGATCAGCCCTGCTTGCATGCTATTACCTTGCATGCCTTCAGCTTGTACACGCTGATCTTCCTGCACACAGTCACACACTCTAGCAGATCCCCTTTCTCCTGGGAGGGCGTGCTCTCTCAAGGAGCTTCGAACAGAGGCAGTGAAGCCCAGCAGTGAACCTGGGCTCACAGGCTTGCCCTCAAATCAACTTCTTTCCTTCTTCCCTGGGGCTATTCCAGGCGCCGACCCCAGACAGGACTCTCCAGCCTACCAGCCGCTGGTGTGGTTCTGGATCTTGCTCGGCCTGGCCTACTTTGCCTCGGTGCTCACCACCATCGGAAACTGGTTGCGAGTGGTGTCCCGCCGCACTCGGGCAGAGGTACGAGCTCTTGGGTTGGTGTAGCACTAGTGTGCATTGCACTCCAGTAGCTCGTTGGCCAGTCTCTCTCCCTTCTAGAGTGTGGTTTCTTCACACTAGGGCTTTCAGGCACAGACTGAGACCCCATATGTGTCCTGCTGGAAGCAGAGCGGTAAACTCAGATTTGAGTTTACTGGCTGTCTGCCCTCATGGAAAGGGTTGGCAGATTTCTGCAAATAAACATGGAGAAAGTCATGGGTTTTAAGGAGGCTATTGAAGAGGCTGAGGCAGGAGGACGGCAAGTTGGAAACTAGCCTGGACGATTTAGCTAAGACCTTGTCTCAAAATGAAATAAGAAAGGCTGGGGAGTACCTCAGTGGTAGAGCCATTTCCCTAGCACATGTAAGGACTTGGCATTTGTTCAATAACAAAATTTTACTATATGTCTAAAAAATTGCAAGAGATATACTATTCTAAAAATTTTATTTGCTATTTATCTAAAATATACATTTAAGGGGCTGGGGTTGTGACTCAGGGGTAGAGTACTTGCCTAGCTTCTGTGAGGCACTGGATTCGATCCTCAGCACCACATAAAGATACATAAATAAAGGTATTGTGTCCATCTACAACTGAACACACACACACACACACACACACATTTAACCTGTGTTTTGCAACCCTACTGAGAGCAACCAGCAGGACAGTGGTGCAAAGCTCTCCCAGTACTGGAGGGGATTCTGAAATAAACATGGGGTTTTCTAAAAGGTGATTTGGGGCTGTGCAAGAGGGGAGAGCATGAAGCCTAGGCGAGGAGCCCGATCCTCCACCTGCTGAGTCCGGAGGACCGGGCAAAAGGCATCCTGATGGCTGGTTGGAGAAGGGACAGGCTCCTGGGGTTGTAGAGCAGGTCAAGGACCCCTGGTCGAGGATTACTTTTCCTCCCCGCGCAGATGGGTGGCCTCACGGCGCAGGCTGCCAGCTGGACTGGCACAGTGACCGCGCGGGTGACCCAGCGAGCCGGGCCCACTGCACCACCGCAAGAGAAGGAGCGGCCACTCCTGCCCCCACCGCCCTGTCCAGCGCAGCCAGTCCTCAAACCTCAATCCCCTTCACCCCCGGAGAAGGTCCAAACGCCTTCCACGCCGACAGCCTCCGCCCTGGACTACCCCAGCGAGAATCTGGCCTTCATCGACGAGTCCTCGGACACGCAGAGCGAGCGCGGCTGCGCGCTTCCTCGAGCGCCGCGGGGTCGTCGCCGCCCCAACCCGCCCAGGAAGCCAGCGCGACCCCGGGGGCCCGGACGTCCCCGAGACAAAGCCGTGCCAGTATAGGGGCAGGATCCCCGGCCTCTCAAAGGACTTCGTTCTGCTGTGTCCCCGGCATGCTTGGCTTGTTTGACCAAAGAGCCCTCTTTCAATGGGACTGAAGCCTGGGAGGAGGCTACCGGTTGCCCGTCAGCGACCTCTCGCCCTGGCCCCTTCCTCACCTCCACCCATTTCCAGACCCCCAAGCCTTTCTGCCTCGCTGCTCTGGCCGGGCCTGTCCCTCACAACACCTCACGACTGTGCCTCAAAGCCTGCATCAATAAACATCAGTCTGCACCGCCGCGGGCGTGCGCTCGGGCATGCGGGTGGGTGTGGCAGTGCTTTCCTCGGGCCACCGTGGTGGGGCACATCTGCCCTCCCGTGGCCCCGGGCTGAGGGCCCCGGGCCATCACTTCGGACAAATTGGGTTGCACTTCGGCTCCAGTCCTTCCTGGAGGAGACCGGGTAGGGTCCGGCGTGGGAACCCACCGAAACCAGCTGGAGTCTCCCACCTCAGCACCTGGAAGAGGGATGGGTGGGGAGGGATGGGAGAGCGGTGGGGCATCTGGTGTGGAGGGCTGTGGTCTGAAGTCTCCGGCAGGCACGAGACCCGCTATTCCGGAAGGACACGCTGCCCCTCCCCCCTCCTGGAGCGTGACCCCCTCCTCCCCGCCCTGAGGCCTGTGGCGACAGTGTCCGTTAGGGCTGAACCATGGAGGAAAGGCCTTTAAAAGTAAGAACTCTTCCCGGACCCCTACCCGTCAGCCCCCCAAGTTCACCCTAGGTCCCATCCAGGCCCCTGGTGTCACTCTCAGCCCAGGCTCGGAGCTGCTCCCACCCATCCCCACATCCCACAGAGTCCCAACCGGGTCCACTCAATGTCCCCGCCCCAGCCTGCCCTCCCTCCCCGCGACCCTTGGCTTCCCTCGTTGTGTGTGGCCCACAGGCGTCGTCCAAGTCTTCACAACGCAGCGGCTCCGATAAGCTGAGCCCTCACCCCGACATTCGGAATATGTGGACCATGGCCTCGCTGTCCGAGACACAAACGAACGTGCCGCTGTCCCAGGTCTGCAACAAATACTACGAGGAGGTCACAGTCCCAGGCGACAAAACTCGCCGGCGGGCCACTTGGAAGGGCCGCTGGAAGGACGATGGAGAGTCCCTTTCTCTGAGGGACAAGGTCAGCTTCAAGACAGAGAATTTGGAATTGAGCTCCAGCAGCTCCCAGCAAAACCACGTGGATGAGAATACCAATTCCGAGTTAGGTCAGTGTGGCCTCGCCAGGTTGTGGGTGCCCCCAGGGCAGGAACTGGCCAAGGCCCCAATTTCCCTTGCTATAAAATGGGGGTGGGGGTAAGCTGAGGGGATCCAACTTTCCAGGATTGCCTGGGAGGGGCGCCAGGACGACTTTAAATCAACCAAACATTCCTGGAGCGCCCCCTACCGGGAAGGCATCTTACCAAACCCAGCTCTAGAGACTGCACCAAAAAGTTCCAAGTCAGACTTGTACCATCTTTTTTTAAAATTTTTTTGGTACTGAGGATCCAACCCAAGACTTTCAAGCATTCTGGGCAAGCACTCTGCCACCAAACTACATCACTACCTCCCCTCCAACCCCCAACCCTCACCCCTGCCCCAAGGCACTAGGAATTGAACTCTAGCGCTCTACCACCAAACTACATCCTTAGCCCTTTTTATTTTGAGACAGGATCTCCCTAAGTTGCCCAGTTTGGCCTCGAACTTACTAACCTTGAGCCTCAGCCTTCCCATAACTGGAATTACAGGTGTGCATCACTCTGTCTGGGCACTGGTTACAATTTTAAGCATCTAGCACATGCCAGACACTATTTGGGATTTGCCTCTTACCTCTTTACTTTACCCTTTCTACTTTAATCATGGAATTAGAACCAAGAATATAACATGAGAATTAATACATACTGAGTCCTGGCTCTGTGCCAAACACAGGACTTTGCTTGTATTGTCACCTTTAAACTTCATGATCTCCATAGAGGCTTGCTTTTTATATTTATTTCAGTATTGGGGATTGAACCCAGGGTGCTCTAGAAACTGAGCTACACCCCCAGTCCTTTTTATTTTTTATTTTGAGACAGGGTCTCACTAAATTGCCAAGGCTGGCCTCAAACTTGCCATCCTTCTACCTCAGCCTCCTGAGTCACTGGTGTTACAAGTGAGTGCCACCATGTTGGGCTAAAAACCACTCTTTTCTTTTTCATCTTCATCTTCTTCTTCTTTTTTTTTTTAGTTGTGGACCTTTATTTTATTTATTTACATGTGATGCTGAGACTGGAACCCAATGCCTCACACATGCTAGGCAAGCACTCAACCACTGAGCCATAACCCTCACTCCTGCAGTCTACTCTTATGACACCATTTTACAAATAAAGAAAATGAAGCCCAGAAAGTTTAGTCACTGGCTTTAAGTCTCACAGAGTGGGGCAGTAAGAATGAAACCCATGTGGGTGGGATTCTTAAAGCCTAGGATATAACCATTGTCCCATACTATCTCCAATTAATGTAGCCCATGGAGCTGGTCTTTGAACCCCACTTCCTCTCACCACATGCCTACCCATACATCTCTGCTCCAAGGAAACCCAGGAGTCTGTGGATAATTGACCCTCTTTTTTTTTTTTCCCAGAAAGCTCTTCCTCAGTATCAGCGATCAGTATCTCGAAGTACATGCCCCATCGAGCCTACTGGGCAGAGCAACAGAACAGGGTTGGAGGGGCCCAGGGAAAGGGGTAGAGGGTGTTATGGGGTGGAGGATGGATAAGGTGAGGGCTGCAGCAGTGAAAGGGTGGGGGTGGCTGGCAGGTTGGTCAGGGGTCTTGGGGCTGCAGGGATGGGGGGCATTTCAGCTGTGGGCAGAACTGGGGTCCTCAGAATGCCTGAGCCTATCACTGCTTTTCCAGCTTCCGCTGCCCCTGATGGAACTCATGGAGAATGAAGCTCTGGAAATCCTCACCAAAGCCCTCAAGAGTGAGCTCCCCTCCCCTGAGGACTTCCAGACACACACACACACACACACACACACACACAAAGATCCTGGTGGATTTTACAGGGTTTAGGTCTGTGGGAGTGGGGTTCCAGGATGTGTATGCACTGTCAGATCCTCTTAGTACTCAGAAATACTCGAAGGGCCCTTCAAAAGTTAAAAGTTGAGAAACCAGATACAAGAATACCCAAGGAGAGGGCATGGGGTGACCATTTAGTGGAGCTCCATTTAATGGAGCCCTCTTTTTAGCAGTCCGGTTTTCCAAGGCAGTTTCTCTATCTGGCCAAGAGAATGACAGCTTTTCTATGACTCTGGCTCCCTGCCAGGTGGGAGAGCTGTGAGGACTCAGTGGATTATTTGGGTAAATTTCTCCTGTTTATGATATGAATGCGCAGCTGGAAGAAGGGTCAAGACGTTTAATTACAGTAGGCGGTGCAGGTGTCCACCAAGCTGCAGGCTCCCATCTCTCTAGTTCTGGTTCTGGCCTGCAGCTAATTCTCCAGCCTTAATACTCAGTACCGGGGAGATCCAAAGTTCCCAGTTCCTCGAATCACACATGAGGCGCCTGCTAGTGGGGGGGCCTTGCTGGAGCTCCTAGAACTGAGCCAGTTCTGCCCTCCTCCAAGGTTACCGGTCCTTGATCGGCAGGGACCATTTCATGACTAAAGAGCTGCAGCGATACGTCGAGGGGCTCAGGAGGCGCAGGAATAAGAGGCTGTACTGCACTTTTCAGTGAACTCCCGACTCCAGCAGCCGCCTGACTCTAACCCTTGCCCTGCCCTGTCCCCAGACCCAACCCCATCCGCGTGGAATTTTAGCCCTAGAGAAATTAAAAGAGTCTATACGTGCTTTGTGAGTCAGTGCGTGGCTTCCCGCGTGAGGCGGACGCACGTGGCCCCGCCCTTCCCTGTGACCTTCATTCGGTCACCGCAGTGACCTTGAGTTTTCTCTGTCCGGGTCTTAACGGCCCTGCCTTCCAGGGACTCGTAGTCCAGGGATACTTGCATGTTTAAGGTCAGCTTCTCCCACCCTGGGTTCCGCAGCTTTGTGGGGATATTGAGTCTGCGGTTCAAGTGCCCAGCAGGCGTTATCTTGGGGGAAGGGGAAAAAGAAAAAGGGGCAGCGCCCCCGTCGCTGTTCTAGGTTCCACCCCTCATGCATATGCAGATACCCCAACCTCTCCGTTCGTCCCGCCTTCTCATTTTCATAAGGATTTCGTCTCTCACGGCAGCTGCGGCCACTGATCAACCTCGCCCACTCCTTCCGCGCAAAGCGCGCCCCGCCTCCTTCGTTACGAAAGGGCGCTCCAGGCCCACCCCCACCGGGCTCTAATCCCTGGAGTTCCTCCGCATCTCTAACCCGCCCTCTCGGCGGCCGCGTAGGCATGTGCGCCGCTGAGGTTCGGTGGTGGGGCGAGACCTGTGAAGGCCCGCCTACTGGCTCCGCCAGCTCCGCCCCCGACCCCTCCCGGTACGCAGGCGCTGCCCGCCTCACTTGTCTGATTAGCATAGGGCGCCGGGCCCCGCCCCCTGTTTTGCATGCGCACGGCCGGCCCCGCCCCCGCTGTCAGCTGGAGGAAGCCGAGTAGGAAGCGGCCGCGATGTCCTTTTGTGTCCTACAAGCAGCCAGCGGCGCCGCCGAGTGAGGGGACGCGGCGCGGCGGGGCGGCGCGGCCCGAGAAGGAGGCGGAGGAGTGGCCGCCCGCGGCCCCCGGCTCACCCCGGCGTTCCGGGCCTCTCGGCCCCCATGCCTGCCCGCCCGCCCTGCCGGAGCCCCAGGTCCGGGGGCGAAGGGGAGCGCTGTTGCGGGGGTGGGCGGGCGGGGCGCGGGGGCCATGTGCGAGCGCGGCAGGGAGGCGGGCTCCAGCGGGTGCCGGCTCCGGTGCCGGCCCTGTTCACGACCGGAACCTGGTCGAGAGCTAGACTGGGGTCAGGGTCTGATGGGATCCGGCGTTCGGGTCCTGGTGGGCTCTTTTGAGTCAGGGTCTGTCTCTGATTTGGGCTGCTGGTCCTGGGCCCGGTCAGTCTTGGGCCTCAGATCCAGCCCCAGGGCAGGGTTCAGTCCGGCACTTGGAGAATGCCGAAGTCCCTGGGGCGGGCTGAGTGGAAGCTGGGGAGGGTTCTCTGTCAGAGAAGGGGCTCTGAAGACCACGTGGGGGCGCTCGAAGGGGCCTAGGGCCACCCTCTTCTCTGGGTCAAAGGTCATCGCACCGGCGGGGGAGAACTTCTTCCTCCTCGGCTCTCCTCATTTACTTCCTGATAACCTGATAGACGTTCCCGGCGGGCTGAGGGGGAGGGGAGACTAGCAACTTTAGGCAACTTCCCTTAGGTGTGCGCAGGTTTACGGGGGGCGGGGCGGCCCGAAAGGTGGTGGACTTTGCGGCAGCTGGAGTGTGAGAGTGAGTGTGCAGGCCTAGGGTGCAAGGGGGTGGAGCCGCGCCCGACTGTGAGCCTGGGACTGGGCATGCTGGGGCAGGAAGGGGCGGTGTGTCAGGGGTGTTCTTTCTCACAAATCTGTACCTGCGTGTGTGATTGTGGGGACCTGGTGTGTGTATGTGTGATATCAGGCTTGAGTGTGAGTTTGTGTAGTGTGTCCTTTGGGAAGAGTGTGAGACAAGTGTGAGAATGAGTGAGGGCTGGGGTTTGGAAAGGGCCATGTGTGTGAAAGTCCCCAGCAGAGAAAGCATGTGTGGGCATGTGGTGACACCTGAGAACCCAGGTGAGAGTGTGAACATATATCCACGCCTTTGGGCTTGTGTGCCTCAGTGTGCTCTCTCGAAGAGAGAGCAGCCATATGAGGGGAGACCTCTAAGAATGGAGGTGTCCCTCTTCTGGCTGTGGATTCCAAGGGGGGTTGACAGTTGCCTGGGGACTGAGGTTCCTCTGCCCCCTGACTAGGGTGGGAGTAGGGCTTTCCAAGCCTCTTCCAGGTTCCCAAGAGGATACCTGCTGTCACTTACTGATCCTGGAGGCTCTGGAGACTCTGTTCCCATGGCAACAGCTGGGGGGGGGGCTTTTCATGAGTAACCCTTCCTTGGACTCTGCCCTCCTCCCTCCCCAGGACGAGCCTGGAAGTCTGGCCCAGGCCCAGGGTTAGGCAACTCATGTGGCTGGGTGCCTCTCTGTGACCTGACGGTCTCTCACTGCAGGTGACCAGCGCCATGTCCAGCCAGGTGGTGGGCATTGAGCCTCTCTACATCAAGGCGGAGCCAGCCAGTCCTGACAGTCCAAAGGGTTCTTCGGAGACTGAGACTGAACCCCCCGTGACCCTGGCTCCTGGTCCAGCTCCTGCCCGCTGCCTCCCCGGGCACAAGGAGGAGGAGGATGGGGAGGGGGCTGGGCCTGGTGAGCAGGGCAGTGGGAAGCTGGTGCTCAGCTCCCTGCCCAAACGCCTCTGTCTGGTCTGTGGGGATGTGGCCTCCGGCTACCACTACGGTGTGGCATCCTGTGAGGCCTGCAAAGCTTTCTTCAAGAGGACCATCCAGGGTGAGCCCCCACCCCACTTCTGCATGCTTTGCCCTTTGCCCTGGCTTGGCACCTCCCAATTGGTACACGGCTAGGTGCAGTAGGTCCTGAGACTGCCAGACGCTGTGAAGTTGGCATCTGGCGGGACTCCTCTTAGAAGTGAAATAAACACAGCAGCATGTGTGGCGTACTGGAATGGGATGTTAGAGGACACAGCCTAGGTTTCTGAGTGCTGTAGGCCCAGCACCTTCAACAGTGGTTCTGAAAAATTCCAAGGCAGCCTCTGCCTGTTCTGAAACTTTGTTCTTGACTTGTTCCTGCTTCAGGTAGCTGCTACCCAGCAGAGAACATGGCCCCCTTTTCTCAGTTTTTCCAAAGCAGCACCAGTGCAAGGTAGATTTTGCTAGATACCTGAGAGAGGCCACATTGTATTTTAGTTCCTGACTTAAAAGATTGTTAGGGAGTGTGGGGTGTGGCTCAGTGGTAGAACACTTGCCTAGCAAGTGAGAGGCCCTGGCTTTCATTCCCAGTACTGAGGGTTGTATGTATGGAGAATATATATATATATATATATATATATCACCACATAAACATGATTAGGCATTTAAAAGTCACTGGTTTTGTGGGACATGGTGGTACATGCCTGTAATCCCAGTTACTCAGGAGGCTGAGGCAGGAGGATCATAAGTTTGAGGCCAACCTCTGCAACTTAGTGAGACTCTGTCTCAAAATAAAAATTTGGAAGTACTGGGGATATAGCATACAAAAATTCAGAGGGATGGTAGTATAGCTCAGTGGTAGAATACTTGCCAAGTATGTGCAGGGACCTGGGTTCAAGCCCCAGACAGGCGGGAAATTCAGGGAGTAAGATGCTGATGTAAACATTACCTAGGATGAATGGGCTGCTAGTTAAGTTGCTATGTGATTTATGTGATAATTGGTTACTTTGGGGCTGTACCAGGCACCCTGCCCTTTTGCTCTTTTTTCGGCTCCCAACCAACCCTATGAGGTGTCAGTGTTGTCATAGTTGAGGCCTACAGAGAATTATTTTATTTTTTTTTATTTATTTTTTTTTTAAAATATTTTTTTTTTTTAGTTTTCGGCAGACACAACATCTTTGTTTGTATGTGGTGCTGAGGATCGAACCCGGGCCGCACGCATGCCAGGCGAGCGTGCTACCGCTTGAGCCACATCCCCAGCCCCAGAGAATTATTTTAAAAAATATTTTTAGTTGGACACAGACTTTCATTAATTTTTACGGGGTGCTGAGGATCGAATCCGGTGCCTCACATTGTGCTAGGCAAGCGCTCTGCCACTGAGCCCTAGCCCCAGCCCAACCCTACAGAGATTTTTGAAGCTTTGTTCAAGTCTTACAGGTAGAAAATGGCAGAACTAGGATTTGATGTGGGTCCTGAGCTGGCTCTCAAATCCCAGACTGCTGCTCTACTTATTAGTAATAACTGGACTTTGGACCACTGATTGTGATATGCCAGTGAGTCTGAACATGGCCAAAACATGTTGGCCATAAAACTCTGGGTTCCCTGCTGACTCTGAGGACCAGTGAGGCTGCAGATCTAGGTCTGGGTGTCACCTTGGAATCTTTCATCCTAACTGTGGACACATATTTATTGTTAGCTATCGATTATAGTCACTTACTGAGCACTTAAGTGCTGTGAATTATGCTAAATGTTTTACATGGATTATCTTCTTTAATTCTTACAACCTGCCTTTACAACAAGTATGATTTTTTTTTTTTTTTCATTTGGTGCTGGGGATGGAACCCAGGGTCTCGTATATGCTAAGCATGTGCACTTAGTACTGAGCTACACCCCTCAACCCCAAGTATGAGGTTTTTTTCATGCCAATTTGATGGCCGGGAACTTGAACTGAGAGTTCCAGGTGTTAGATCTGGGACTTGCCCAAGGTCACACAGTTGGTAAGGGGTAGTGTTGGGCTAGACCAAGGTAGCCCCAGAACACTTTGCTCTTCACAACCAGTGTTCCGGGTCCTGGGACTGAGGCAGAAACAATGAATTGAAACAATAAATTGCCCAGAACTGCCCTGTTACACTGTGGCACGTGTTGGAAGGCCAGGAACAGGATGTGGACGGGAGGCCTGGTCTGAGTCTGGGGCTCCAGAGGGCCTCCCTGAGGACAGGTCCTGAGCCAGGTGAAGCCCTAGCAGGGCTAATGCACTAGTGGCCTGTTGGCTGGTTAGTGGTAGCCCTGCGAGACTGGGAGAGCGACAAGCTGTCAGCATCTTCTGTGTTAGTAGCACTGGGGACATTCGAGGCCCTAGTGACACTGACACTGAAGTGAGAGAGAGGTAATACACGGGATAAATAGGTTGCTCTGTAGCATCTGAGGTGGCCCCAAGAGCTGAGAGGAATCTTCATAGCAGGGCTCAGGCTGGAAGTGCCTGCAGAGGGGAGATTGGGTATTGTCACAGGTGGCCAGGGAAGGCCTTCCTGAGGTGACAGGGAGGAGGTAGGGGAGGCTGTGTGCCATTAGGACCAGAGCTTGAGGCAATCCCTGTGAAGGCCACAGGTTCACTTGGGCTTTCACTCAAGGAAGTCATTGGGTTTGAGCAGAGGAGGGACAGGAGCTGACACAGCTCTAACAGGATCCCTCAGGCATTGAGCAGGAGGCCAGTGAGATGAGGGGACAGTGACTGGTGTCAAGGGTGGAAAAACAGTAGCTGAGGGCAGGAGTTGGATTCTGGATGGGTAAGGTCAGGCCCCCCGCAGGATTTGCCAGTAGGTTGGACGTGGGTGCAGGGGAGTTGAGGGTGCTGCCCAGCCTCCTGCCTGAGCAACTGGATGAATGCAGTTGCAGGCTTGGGAGTCTGGGGGCCATTTGGGACATGTTAGGGTTGAGAAGCCTCCTAGACGTGCAGGATGTCAGGGGGCCGCTGGATATGAGTCTAGAGCTCAGGACAGGTGTAAGCCCCAAGACTGGAGTGGGTGGTAAGTGAGGCTGAGGAAGGCCAGCCCTGGGCTGTTCAGTGGAAGGAGCTTGGGGAGATTCACAGAAACCACAAAGCGGCCAGAGAGGTGGGAGGCAGAGGAGCGGGTGGAGTCCTAGAAGCAAAAGCAGTGTTCTAGCACCGAGACCCAGTCGTGCTGTTAGATTCTCCTCTTAGGCAAGTAAGATGAGGATTGAGAACTGACCAATGAATTGAGCACCCTAAAGGTCATAGTGGCCCTTGATGGGCCCAGATGAAGGCAGTGTGGCCCAGAGGTGTGACCTGACTAGGGGCTTGGGACAGAGTGGCAGCCTGATTGCCTGTGCCCAGCCCCTCCGTTGCCCAAGCAGGGACCCCACCCAGTGGCAGTTCCCTGCCCTGCCCTGCTCATGGCCTCCTGCTCTCCCCTTTCCTCCCCGTACCCCCAGACCTGTGCTTGCCCCGGGTGAGTGAGGGCTCTCCTGGCCGCTGGGCCCACTCCTGGCCCTGGGAGGCCGCCACTGGAGCCCTGCCTCTTCCTGGCAGGAAGCATCGAGTACAGCTGTCCAGCTTCCAACGAGTGTGAGATCACCAAGCGGAGACGCAAGGCCTGCCAGGCCTGCCGCTTCACCAAGTGCCTGCGGGTGGGCATGCTCAAGGAGGGTGAGCGTTGGGCAGGGGCCTGGGCCGGGGATTGGGGCTGGGGGCAAGGCCTGGGAAGTTCAAGTGAATGGGCTGGGGAGGACAGCTCTGCAGGGCAAACCTGCCTCAGCCCCATCACCGCAACCCTGTCCTACAATTCAAGGGGTGCGCCTGGACCGTGTCCGAGGTGGGCGACAGAAATACAAGCGACGGCCAGAGGTGGACCCGCTGCCCTTCCCAGGCTCCTTCCCTGCTGGCCCTCTGGCAGTGACTGGAGGCCCCCGGAAGACAGGTGAGGCACGGTGGAGTCCTAGGGCTCCGGGGCAAGTTGCCCCCAAGGGCCTGTTAGCATCATTATAGCACTGGACCCGGATTCCACTTTCACTCACTTATTCATTTCCCCAAGGAATATTTGTACAGTAACTTTTCATGTGTCGAGAACCAAGTAATGTAGCTGGGTCCAGGGAGAGGTTTAATCTCAGTCTGTTCAAGACCGAGTCGCCTGGGGAGGTGGTGAGCATGCTTCCCTGGAGAGAGCTATCTCCCATCTGGCTAGTGGCTCTCAAGGAAGGCCACAGGGGGGACTACCTAGGAAGATGCAATCTCAAGGGGCCTCTAAGGCCTGCTGGACGGGAGTGCTCCTGACAGCCCTCCACCTGTCACTGCAGCCCCGGTGAATGCACTGGTATCTCACCTGCTGGTGGTAGAGCCTGAGAAGCTGTATGCCATGCCTGACCCAGCGGGCCCTGACGGACACCTCCCAGCTGTGGCTACCCTCTGCGACCTCTTTGACCGAGAGATTGTGGTCACTATCAGCTGGGCCAAGAGCATCCCAGGTAAAGGGCCCAGGAGACCTGGGACTCCCCTGAGGCCAGGCCATGTTTGGCTGGGGTCACTCGCTCAGCCGGGCCTGCTCTCCACTGCCCCCCAGGCTTCTCATCACTATCGCTGTCTGACCAGATGTCAGTACTGCAGAGCGTATGGATGGAGGTGCTGGTGCTGGGTGTGGCCCAGCGCTCACTACCACTGCAGGATGAACTGGCCTTTGCTGAGGACTTGGTCCTGGATGAAGAGGGAGCCCGGGCTGCTGGCCTGGGAGAGCTGGGGGCGGCCCTGCTGCAACTGGTGCGGCGTCTACAGGCCCTGCGGCTGGAACGAGAAGAATATGTCCTGCTGAAGGCCTTGGCCCTTGCCAATTCGGGTGAGTCCAGAGCAGGCATCCAACAGGAATCTCCACGAGGCCCTCCAACTGTTAACTCCATGATGGTGGCACAGTCCCATTTTGCAGATAAGGAAAACTGAGGCTTAGGGAAGACCAATGACTTATTCAAAGTCACAAAGCAAGCCAAGGGCAGGCCCTGAACTGCACACAGGATTTTGAGCCCTAGTGCCGTGCTAACCTGGAAAGGTAAACAGTGTAGTGGGAGGGAAGGTGGGGAGAGGTGGCCATAGTTGAGGGAGAAAGGGTGGCTATTGGGTAGGAGCAGTGAGTGGTGCCCCTTAGTCAGCCAATCAGCTAATCCATTTGGCCCCTCCTTAGGCCCATCCAGCAGTGCCCCAGCAGATGTGGGTTCCGCCTTTTCCAGAGGCAGCCCAGGCCAATAGCCCTCTCCCCCTCCTTGTAGACTCAGTGCACATCGAGGATGCTGAGGCTGTGGAACAGCTTCGAGAAGCCCTGCATGAGGCCCTGCTGGAGTATGAAGCTGGCCGGGCCGGCCCCGGAGGAGGTGCTGAGAGGCGGCGGGCAGGCAGACTGCTGCTCACCCTACCACTCCTCCGCCAGACAGCGGGCAAAGTGCTGGCCCATTTCTATGGGGTGAAGCTGGAGGGCAAGGTGCCCATGCACAAGTTGTTCTTGGAGATGCTAGAGGCCATGATGGACTGAGGCATGGGGTGGGAAGGGTGGGGGTGCTGGCAGGAACTGCCCAGCATGGGGTCAGCCCCAAGGGGGCAGAGCTGGGGTCTGGGCAGTGCCACAGCCTGCTGGCAGGGCCAGGGCAATGCTATCAGTCCCTGGGAGCAGGCCCCATGCCCTCCTCTCCCCCTCTTAAGGGGGTGTCAAGCTGGGAATGTGAATGCCCAGAGTCTGGGCACAGCGCTGTCCCTTGCAAGCCATAATGTGCCCCCAAGAGTGTAGGGGGCCTTGCGGAAGCCATAGGGGGCTGCAGGGGATGTGGGAGGCAGAAGCCTGATCTCAGGGAGGGAAGGGGATGGAGGCCACAGTCTCCCAATGGGTGATGCTTTTGCTGCTGCTTAATCCGATCCCCTCTCCAGACTAGAGGGGTATTTGGAGAGCAAAGGCCCCTGCCCCCTTCGCTCCTCCTCATTTGCATTGGGCATTAATGCCCCCCCTTGAAGCAATAACTCCAAGCAGGCTCCAGCCCCTGGACCCTGGGGTGGCCAGGGCCCCCCATCAGCTCCCACCCAGCCTCCTCAGGGGGTGGGGAGAGCACTGCCTCTATGCCCTGCAGAGCAATAACACTATATTTATTTTTGGGTTTGGCCAGGGAGGCGCAGGGACATGGGGCAAGCCAGGGCCCAGAGCCTTTGGCTGTACAGAGACTCTATTTTAATGTATATTTGCTGCAAAGAGAAACCGCTTTTGGTTTTGAACCTTTAATGAGAAAAAAAAAAAAAAGATATACTATGGAGCTCAAAACCACTGTGGTCAGTGTGTCATTGGGTCAAGGGCTGGGACTACACACTGTAGAACTAGCAAACAGAATATGTTAACAAAAATACACACGGTCACAAAACGTAAAACTGGTGCTGGACATGGTTAAGTCTCAGTTTCCTCATCATTCAGCAGCATGTTGGGGATCCCGCGGCTGATGGGGAACACACGTCCTGACTCGGGGCATTGCAGGGTGCCCTCCAGCACGTCCACCTGTGGAAGGGTGGGGCAGGGCTCAGCACTGGCAGCCTCAAGGGCGGGGCGGGAACAGAAGGCGAGGGTCGCTTCTCACCTCCAGCAACACGTGATGCATCTTTCTCAGAAATGTCTCGTCGTTCATGTAGCCCTCAGTAGGCTCTTTTGGAACCTCCACCAGGTGCAACTGCGGACAAGAAGCCTTAATCATCCCTGGGCATGAAACCCTGCCCACGCCCGGCCAGACGCAGGGCTGCGGGCGGGTACCGGGGGCCGCGGTAAGCCGCCCCCCTTCCGAGGCAGGGACCACGGGGACAGGTGCTCACGGTGTCAGCCGCCTCCAGAAGCGCCGCCCACTCCACCTTGGGTATCATCCGCGCCACGAAGTCTGGGTTGAACTCCACGGGATTGATTCGGACTTCGGTGGCCTGCGGGGCGGGGAGGTCTAATGAGGCCGGGGCCGAACCCGAGTTTCTCTATCCCGCCGGAAGAGGGGCGAGGCCCGGGGCTCGTACCTGGAGGCGCAGGGGGAAGCCACGAGGCCCCACCCCCCGCACATGTGAGCTCAGTAGATTGTGGGTGAGCAGCTTCATGTTTCCACAAGGGCTCCTCCGCTCCGGAACCGGAAAGAGGCCACTCGGAGCTCACGTAACTTCCGGGGTCGCCGGGTCTTGGGTACTATTGGATGGCCGGAGGAGCGGAAGTGGCGAACTTGCTGAAACTTGCAGGAGCAGAAGTACTTGAAAAATCTGGTCCGGTCAAGCGCTGCTACCGGAAGCGTCTCGGCGGGAAGTTGCTGCGACGCACAGCAAACTCCACTAGCCACAAATCATATGTAACATGCAAATCATATGGAAAGTAGCTGCAGCGCAGAGGCTCTCGTTGAATGTAACATAAACATGTTTTAGGCCTCCACAGGCCCGTGATACTATCATTTCCCGCACCTTGCTTTCGGGTAAGGAACGGACACACTGCATCAGTAAATCAGGTCCATTAAAACAGCAGTAGCTCTTCCTTGCATGCAAATTAGCTGCGCGAACGATGAGTGCTCCGCCCCACTTACACTGCGTCATGGCTCAGCCCCTGACGCACGCGAGCCCAGAGTCCTGGAGCTCCTTTCCTCGCGCCGGCGCCCTTGCCTGCGCAGCAGGGGCGGCCGCCGGGGCGGGGCGCCTGAGGCACCGCCCCCAGGAGGGTCCCGGGGTGGAGCAGGCTCCAGGCCCCGCCTCGTGTGATGTCTGGGGCAGGTGGGCGGGGCGGCTGCAGGTCTTAGGGCGGGCATGGGGCTGGCGAACCTGGGCGTGCTGCGACGCCGAGCCTGCTTGGTAGTCACCAGCGCGGCTGCTGCAGAGTCCGCGGCAGCTACAGCAGGACGGCGGCTGGAAGGAGGAGGGTGGGCGCGTGGAGGGGTCCGCAGTTTCAGCAGCACCGCCGCAGCCATGGCCCCGATCAAGGTGACCGTTGGCCCTTTTCCCCGTCCCTAAGCCCGATCCCAGTCCCTCTTGTCTGGGGTGACCCTGTCTCTTGCCCTTCGTACCCCCCTCCTCCGCCGTCCTCGGGGACTCTACTGCGATCTATTCCTTTCGTCCCCCCAGCAAGACCCCTCGGCTCCCCCTCAGTTAGGGGCCTCGACCCTAAGCCCCTGAGACATTCCCCAAGGCCCTCGAGCCCTCCCCTTGTAATCCTCCACAGCCACCGTGCGACACCCAGTGACAGGTCCCGATCGTTTTCAGGGGATTGAATACCATGGCATCTCTCACATTCTTCCATCTTCGCGGCTGGGCCCCTTTTCAGCTTTAAAGTGTCCTTCACTTCCCCTGCCCCACACTTTTGTGAGAGTGCTGGGCACCCCTTCACCCCATCGTCTGAAATAACTGTGGTCCCTCGGAGCCCAGCCATGTTTCCTCGATTCCCCCCCCCCCCCCCCCCCCCCGTCTCCATGGCTGATTCCTACCCTTCACTGTTCTTTCACTCATCTTCTGGAACCAACCCAGCTCCTCTGACCTATCCCCTCTGTCTGACCTCTGCTGAGACCCTCTCCATCTTCTACTTCATCCTACTCCAACCTCTGGGGTCCTCAGACTCCCCAACTTCTGAATCTCGCCTTTGCCTCCTCTGGCTCCAGGAATCCCTCACCCACCCCACGTGGAGAACCCCACCCTTCCCCTTCTCTATCCCCATGGGTGTGTGTGTGCGGGGGACCTGGATATCTTCCCTAACTCTTCCACCCCTCTTTGTCTGAGTGACCAGGCCTTCTCCCTCCCGGTTATCAGGACTTCCTCCTCATCCTCAAATGCACCTCTCTGCCCCCTCCCCCACTTTATTCCAGCTGCTCATTTTCACAATATTGCAACATTTGGAAAGAACTTTCTTTCCTTTGTTGTCACCAAAGGCCAATAAGCAGAGCAGGGCCACCTGGAAAGCAGGAGGATGTTGGGTAACTAGGTGGTATGGGGGAGGAGACAGGGAGTGACTCCTGGTTTTCTGAACTAGCTGATTGCCAGCAGCAATCTCACTCTGCATTCCCTTTGGTTCTGGTTTGCTGCACCCCCCCCCACCTCCCCTTTGACCTCAAAGTCCTTTTATCCAGGTGGGAGATGCTCTCCCCTCTGTGGAGGTGTTTGAAGGGGAGCCTGGGAACAAGGTGAACCTGGCGGAGCTGTTCAAGGGCAAGAAGGGTGTACTTTTCGGAGTCCCTGGGGCGTTTACCCCTGGCTGTTCTAAGGTGAGACCCTCCCCTTCCTGGGGTCTGGGAGTGGGATCTTTTGAATTGTTCCCGAAGTTTTGTGTGTTGCCCCAGGGCATTTTGCTACAAGAGTCTGTAAATGATGCCACAACTGAAAGGGCTTTTCAGTGCCTCCAGAGGTAGGAGGAAGGGGCTGCACTTAATCCAACACCTCTTACCGCGCCTGCTGCGTGACAGGCACTGCACAAGATATTTGGGACTCAGGCAAATAATCCTGCCCATGGGAAGTTCAAGGTCTTGACCACAGAACATTTAAGTCTGAGCTTCCTAGTGGTGAAGTCAAAAAGAGAGTTGTTCACACGGCTGTCCTTTCCTGATTCAAGACACTGGGTCAGGGAGGGGCAGAGCCTGGAGGTGAGGGTGGGCTGAGGCCCCACACTGTGATCCCTTAGTTGACCCTTTGTTTCCCCTCCTAGACCCACCTGCCCGGGTTTGTGGAGCAGACTGGGGCTCTAAAGGCCAAGGGGGTGCAGGTGGTGGCATGTCTAACTGTGAACGATGTGTTTGTGACGGGAGAGTGGGGACGAGCCCACAATGCAGAAGGCAAGGTAAGATGTGGAGCTGGCAGGGGTATGGGCCAGGCCCTAGGAGGTTTTTCTTGTGACCTTTACTTTCCTGTCCCTTCAGGTTCGGCTCCTGGCTGACCCGACTGGGGCCTTTGGGAAGGTGAGTCTGCCCCTCTGCTCCGGGAAGTTCCTGTGCAGAGCCTAGAAGGCAGAACCTGAGGTGTGGGGAGCAGCCCTTGGCCTGTTCTGGGGGTTCCTGAGGCATTTCTCTGTCTTTCCTCTTAGGAGACAGATTTATTACTAGATGATTCATTGGTGCGCCTTTTTGGGAATCGCCGGCTCAAGAGGTAAAAGGGGGAGAGTTCTGCAGGGGCCTTCCCTGGAGCCCTGGCTCCTTGCTCCCTCCGGTCTCCAGGCCTGGGCTGATGCAGCTGGTTGGCCCCTCTTTCGCGCAGGTTCTCCATGGTGATAGAGGATGGCAGAGTGAAGGCCCTTAATGTGGAACCCGATGGCACAGGCCTGACCTGCAGCTTGGCCCCCAACATCCTCTCGCAGCTTTGAGGCCCTAGCCTGGACACACTCCCTCTGCCCTCTCCTGGCTCACCTGCCCAGCTGTACCCCAGTTGGGGCCACCCTGCTGGAACCTTGGCCAGATTTCCGCCATTAAACTCTCCTGGCTCAAGTGTGTCTCCTTGGTTTGCAAACACTGGTTTGCTGAGGGTGGGGCTCATTCCTTAGTCATAGTTGAGCTGAGGCTGTGAGGACAGGGCTGAAGGCCTCTTTATTTGCTTGTTTTCTAATTTTATTTGCTGAGTTCTGGGGTGGAATCCAGGGCCTTCCACATGCTTGGCAAATGCCATACCTCTGAGCTCCATGCCAGCCCCTGGGAATGCCCCCTGAACCTTCCTCCTGGAATCTGAGAAAGAGCCAGTGTCTAGGGTGGAAGAGGCACCGAGGGAAAGTCCCCAGCAGATGTGAGCTTGGCGCATACCCTGACCAACGTGTGTGTGTGTGTGTGCGCGTGTGTGTGCATGTGCGCGCATGTGCGCTGGGGTGTTGGTCAATTTAATTTATTCCAGAAACCCCAGTGTTGGAACCTTGGCCCTAGGCTTCTACATCAGGGTGACTTCAGCCCCTTCTCAAGCACCAGGAGCAGGAAGGGCCCCTTCAGTGCAGACCGCTGTCAGCCAGGAGGGCTCCCTGGGCGAGGAGGCTGTAGGTGGAGCCTGACCAGGGGTGGGTGGGCAAGAGCCAGGGGCCCTAGCAGCGTTTGGGGCTGGGGCCACTGTGGGCCCTGCCTTTGGGTCTGAACATTGCCCTGAGCCTCTTAGGGGAGTCTGGATTTGAGCAGGCTGGCCATGTGCTCTTGTCGCCTGCAGTGAGCTCTGCCTAGTCCATGGCTCTAGAGCAGGCCATAATCGGGGAGGCCAGGGAGAGGGTCAGGGAAGGACCTCTTAGAGGAAATGACCCTTGTGGTGGCAGAAATGGCAGAGAAGAGCCTGGGATAGAGTGGAGGGTGGGACAGCTCTAGGCTGTGTAGTACCCAGTGGCAAAGTGGGTGGGGTTGCTGGGAGAGGCTGCCAGGGCTGGCCTTGGGATCTAGGAAGCTGGTAGCAGCCTGTCCCCTGCCCTGTGGGCACCTCGGGCCATTGGAAGTTTGTGAATAACCCTGGGGGTGGGGGTGGCACCAGCAGGGCGTTGAGGGGAAGGCTCCACAGGGGGAAGGCTCCACAGTCGTCGTGACATGGCTCGGGGAAGACGACTCCTGTGTGTTGGGGCCATGGCAGCAGTAGGAAGGGCTGGTGGTAGTGGTGGGGTCTGTGGGTGGGGTTCTCAGTCAGACGACACCAGCCACCTTGCGTGGGCCCCAGTGCTCAGCCTCCTGAGTGCCCAGCACTCCTTGGTCCCTGTGGTTCTTGCCCCAAACTCTCCACCCCTGGCCTTCCTCTTGTCAAATTCTGGGCCCCAGTGAAGCCAGATTTAAAGTTAGGTAGTCAGTGTAGTTAGATAAATCGGGTCTAATATCGAGTGAAATCTAAAATGGAGGCCATGCGGAGAATGACTCAGGGAAAACACAGGACAACTCATGGAATGTTAATGAAGTCCCGAAAAGGCCCTAGGCCAAAGTCCACCTCAAAGAAATGTTAATGAACAGCCCCCAGCAAAAAGGTGCTGACTCAGAAGTCCTTCCTGACCAGATTACTTCTTTGGCCCACCTGTGTCCCACCCCTCGGGCCTTCCCACCTACATTCCATCACTGAAAGAACTATAAAAAGGGGAGACAACATCCCTTCCACGGATTCCACCTCTTGGGTCCCCTTCTTCCTCCCGGAGAAGTCTTTTCTGCTGTCCTTTAATAAACTTCTAATTTCTACTCTGACCTTGCCTCGGCGTGCTTCTTTGGTGTTACTCTTCAACATTGGGGAAGCAAGAACTCGTCACCGGTCAACAGCGGTAACACCAGTACCTGGGGGATTCAGGGACACCTGAAGTCACTTAGCCAGGGCAGTGTCCTCCGTGGGTAAGACTCTGAAGTCAGTCCCAGTGGGCTTCCTTAAACACAGGTTGGGACAAAGCTGGCTCCCTTCTAACAACCTGCATGACCTAGGGACCCCTCGCGGACTTCACCCCCCACCCCAAGACTGGCCAGATGCCTGAAGGGAGGAAGTGACAGCCCCAGATAGTGAATGGCTGAGCTCCCTGAGTGAGCCAAACCAGGAGAAGGCATTACCAAGGACGCGCGAAGGTCAAGGCAGGCACAGGGAGGAGCTTCAACATTTTCCTTGGCCCTTAGGTGCTGGGGACTGAGCCCAGAGTCACTTTGCCAGCAAGCCATATCCCCAAACCTTTTTATTTTTTATTTTGAGACAGAATCTTGCTGAGGTGCCACAGCCAGCCTTAAACTTGAGTTCTTCCTGCCTCGTGCGCCACCAGGGTCTCTGACGCCATGTCCCTTAATCTTTTTGGTGCAAAAGAGGGAACTGAGGCTTAGGGCCTCCTGCCAGCCTCGGTGTCTGCAGCAGTAGGTGGGGTGGTGAGAGAGAGCCCACCCTCAGCCAGGCGCCCTTTTCCTCTTCTGAGGCTTCATGGCATCTGGCAGCTCCTGCCACCAGGGGAAGCCCGATCTCCATTTCTGTCGTTCTAGCCACCTGTTCCCTCCACTCTTGGGCTTTTTATCTGAGCTGGTTGGGGCCCAGCAAGGCCTCAGGGGAAGGTTCTCTCTAGAGTCTTGCCACTGGGTGGCCCCTAGAGACAATGTGGTGGGGACTGGGTAGCATTGGCTGCTAAATGTTGTTACTTAGCTTCCTGGGATGCGGGGTGACTGGTGGGGACGTCTTCAGTTCTGGAGATTGGGCCCTTGAGGGCCTGAGATTAAACAGCACCTGGCAAGAGGATCCTGCAGTGGGCTGGGGATGTGGCTCAAGCGGTAGCGTGCTCGCCTGGCATGCGTGCGGCCCACGTTCGATCCTCAGCACCACATACAAACAAAGATGTTGTGTCCGCCAAATACTAAAAAATAAATATTAAAGAATTCTCTCTCTCTCTTAAAAAAAAAAAAAAAAAAGAGGATCCTGCAGAGTTCTATCTGCAGGACAGACAGGCCTGGAGCAGGGAGGAGGGGTGGGTGTGGCCTTCCCCAACTTTTGATGGCCAAAGGGCCAACATTAAAACAACAAAAAGAAAAAACCAGCCAGGCAAGGTGCCACGTGCCTGAAATTCCAGTGACTGGGGAGGCTGAGGCAGGAGGATCACAAGTCTGAGGCCCGTCTCAGCAATTTAGCAAGGCCCTAAGCAACTCAGTGAGACTCTGTCTCAAAATTTAAAAAAAGGACTGGGGTATAGCTCAATGGTAGAGTGCCCTGGGTTGGATCCCTAGTATCAAAAATAAGAAAGTAAACAAGTGAACAAAATAACCTGAAACCTCCATCAGTATGTGCCGTCAGCTCAGCTGCTGCTGCTGCAACAGGATGGCTGAGGCTGGGTAATTTATAAGAAACAGAAGTTTTTACAGTTCTGGAATTTGGGGAATCCAGGGTCAAGGGGCTATATCTGGGGAGGGCCTTTAGCTGAAAATTGGAATATTCTATCAGTACAGTTGAGATTTCTCTCATGACCTTTGTGTTTTGATTATCAACTCATTAGCCTTAAAACCAAACTTTTTAGTTACCATTATCCCATCACTTTAAGCTGACTTAGGTATAATATTCCTGCTTACATGTATCAAAGCTCCTCTGAACAGTGATTTGCAGGTTGCAAAAGAGGATTTTTAGCCGGGCACTGTGGCGTACTCCTGTAATCCCAGTGGCTCAGGAGGCTGAGGCGGGAGGATCGCAAGTTCAAAGCCAGCCTCAGCAATGGCAAGGCACTAAGCAACTCAGTAAGAACCTGTCTCTAAATAAAATACAAAATAGGACTGGGGATGTGACTCAGTGGTCAAGTGTCCCCCCCTCCCCAGTTCAATCTCCAGTACCAAAAAAAAAAAAAAAAAGAGGATCTCTTTTTTTTTGCACCTGTCTATAAATCTTTGTCCACAAGTTAAACAAAAACACAAATAAGTGCTACATATTTTGTTTTTTGATCCTAGTTCCTGGCTTCTCCCTCCCCACCCAAGGCAGCCACAGAAGGAATTTGTCTTCCCTGCAGTAGGTCATAGAAATTCTGATCTTCCCGCCTTAAAGAAATTCTCTGGAGCTGGGTTGTGGCTCAGTGGCACAGCACTAGCCTCACACGTGTGAGGCGCTGAGTTTGATCCTCGGCACCACATAAAAATAAATAAAATAAAGGTATTGTGTCCAACTACAACTAAAAAAAAAATAAACAAAATTTAAAAAGTGTGAAAAAGAAATTCTCTGATTTACCCTTGTCCCATAGTAGGTCATAAGACCCTCCTCATCCCAGAGGGGTCTGGCCCATATCCTGGAGGGAGGTGCAGCACACAGATGCTAAGAATCTGGACAGACAGACCTTGCTGGGCTCCTGACCCAGGCTACTAGCATTAGACCTTTCCCTTTCTGTTCAGTCACACCCTCCCGCTGCTGTGCTGCTTCAGCGGTGCCTGTGCAGTGCGGTCTCCGTGAAGCCCGTTCCCATGGGCTTCGGAAGAGCATGAGCAGGGTTTCCGAGCTTCCAAGAATGTGGAGGTTCCTGTAGGTTGAGGCGCCCAGAGGCCGGGGAGGCTCCAGGCCCCTCTTCTCATGCCTTGCGCCCTGCATGTCTTCATCTTCTCCTTTAGAATATTCTTGTTTCTTCTTCTTTTTTTCTTGTAGTACTGGGCCCTGTGCATACTAGGTAAGTGCTCCACCACTGAGCTACATCTCCAGCCCAGTAATATTCTTTATTAAACCAGTAAGCAGGGGCTGGGGCTCAGTGGTATAGCGCTTGCCTGCATTTGTGAGGCACTGGGTTCCATCCTTAGTACCGCATAAAAAAATAAACTAAATAAAGACATGCTGTCCATCCACAATTACAAAAAAAGGAAAAAGAAAAGAAACCAGTAACCTTAAGTGTTACCTGAGTTCTGTGAGCCACCTGAGCAAACTAATTGAACCCCGGCGGGCAGAAACAGGTAAAAGGGGCTGGGCTTGCAGCTGGCCTCTGAATTGGGCAGCCCAGGGACACGGCCCAGCCTGTGGGATCTCTCAGGTGGAGAGTCAAAGCTGAATTGGATTAGAGGACCCCCAGCTGATGTCCGCTGCTGAAGCATGGGTCACTTGCCAGTGGGGTAACCCCCTCCCCCAGATCTGGTGTCAAACATCTGTGTTGACTTTAGTGGTCTGACAGCAGAGGAGAACAGGACACTTGGGTTTTTTCCCCAACACACAAGGACAGAGAAACAACAGTAGCTCATAATAAAACAGGAGGATTACAACAATGTACCCTACAGTAACAAAGTGGCCAGCCTCACTGCTCTTGCACTTTATGAAGTAAACTAAGGAAGGAGTATTGGAACGCAAGCCCCGTGACACTATGATAGTTCATCTGAGAACCAAGACAGCAACTTAGTTACCAACAGAAGGGCAGCTGGTACAACGTGGACATGCTAGACGGGTGGAGCAGGACCTGATTCATCATGCTCCTCAGAATGGCACCCAGCTTAAAACCTGAATGGTTAATTTCTGGAATTTTCCATTTACTATTTTCGGACCATGGTTAACCGCTCACAGCTGAAGCTGTAGAAAGGGAAACCTTGGGTACGGGGCCTACAGGGTGTCTCTTCCACTTACATCTCACTGGACGTGACTTAGTCACATGGTAGCTGCCCGGTGACACCAGCTTTATTCCAGGGAGACTTGTGTTTAACTGGAAGGCGGGGGGCTCCGGGGGGCTCGGTTACTAGGCAGAGAGGGAAGAAAGACATTGGGTGAACAATGAGCAGTGTGGGCACTGGGGTCACCTCTGAGAAGAGGGACCTTTGGGGACTCCATGGCTCCCATGAGTCACTTCCCTGCTTTCCTTCCCATGGGCTTTGCAAAGGCGTGTCCTGAGCTGTTCCCACTTCTCTATGGCCTCCTTCTCTCCCCAGGATGCTGCTTCTGCAGGTCTCCGTCTCCAACCCCTTCAACTTTGGCCTCCACAGTCACCCTGACTCCCCAGGTGGGTCCTCGCATCTCCTAGACAGTAGTCACCTCCTACATGGGACCCCCCCAGCCTCCTCTGTGCAAACCCTGCTAATCGTCAAGCCCCTGAGTCGCCCTGTTTGGTAAGGACAGCAGCCCTCATTTCTGGTTCCTGCTCTCCGTCAGTCCATGTGGGGACTGGGCCACACAGCTCAACTTTATCAAAGACGGAGTTTTCAAATTAACATATAATTCATGTTTCGTAAAATTCACCCTTTAAGGGTATGTACAGTTCAAGCTGGTGCCGGGGCCCACACCTGTAATCCCAGCGGCTCGGGAGGCTGAGGCAGGAGGATTGCGGGTTCAAAGCCAGCCTCAGCAACTTAGCAAGGCGCTGAGCAACTTAGCAAGGCCTGTCTCAGAATAAAAATAGAAAGAGCCGGGGATGTGGCTCAGTGGTTAAGCACTCCTGGCAACAACAACAAAAAGTACGGTTCAGTGGTTTGTATTTTTTATTTATTTTTGGTATCTAGGATCAAACCAGCTGGGGATGTGGCTCAAGCGGTAGTGCGCTCGCCTGGCATGCGTGCAGCCCGGGTTCGATCCTCAGCACCACATACAAACAAAGATGTTGTGTCCACCAAAAACTAAAAAATAAACACTAAAATTCTCTCTCTTTCTCTCTTTAAAAAAATAAATAAATAAATAGGATCAAACCAGGGGTGCTTAACCACTGAGCGACATCCCCAGCCCTATTTTGTATTTTAGAGACAGGGTCTCACTGAGTTGCTTAGCGCTTCACTTTTGCTAAGGCTGGCTTTGAACTCACAATCCTCCCCTCTGGGCCTCCTCAGCTGTTGGGATTACAGTCTGTGCCATGCACCTGGCTTTTCTTATTCTTTTTGTACTGGGAATTGATTCAAAGGGTACATCCCGAGCCCTTTTTTTTTACTTTGAGACAGGATCTCACTAAGTTACTTAGGGCCTTACTAAGTTGCTGAGGGTGGCTTTGAACTTGGGATCCTCCTGCCTCAGCCTCCAACTGCTGGGATTACAGGTGTGTACTGCTGGTTTTTAGTGTATTCGCCAAGCTGTGCAACCATCAGCATACAAATCCATATAAAGATGGATTTTTAGTCTCAGTGACTTCTCCCAAGATGAAGCTGCCTCTTTTCTGAGTATTGCAATCCTTACATGGTTATGAGAGGCCTGATCAGATGTTTGGGGGTTCTACTTTCTCACCACCACCGTGGTCACTCACAGTCACACTGCTGAGTCATCTGGGTGCCCGGCACTCTGCTGGGCTCTAGGGTCATACGGTGTGTCCTCCAGGCCTGAAATCTGCAGTGCCATATGGGAAGGGTGTTCTAGGTGGTGGGAACAGCCTAGGCCAAGGCCTAAAGGGGAGGAGGGTGAGGGACGTCTGGACTGAGCCTCAGTGAGAACAGAAATGGGATCTTGCCCACGAGCCCTGGTTCAGCTGGATCCTCTTGGTGACACGGGTGTCTCCAGTATTTAGCGGGAGGCAACTTCAGACACATTATTTGTTTCCTTTTGGGCTCCTTCCTCAGGGCGTGTTCCCAAATGCCAGTGTTGGGTCCAAGGGGTTGGGCCATTTTATTGGTTTCTGGAAACTCTGAGGCCACCTTAAGGTCCACTGTGATGTGTGCTCGGTTCTCTCCCCACAGAATGCCAACGCCTTTGACCATCTGGATTTATTTTTCCTAGCTTAATGGACACGTAATGGTAACTTGGAGCAGAATTTAATGCACATATCTTTAATTAGGAGGGTGGCTGACAGCCTCAGGGCTTGACCCTGGGTTTTGCCTGGATGGCCCGAGGGGCTGGGCCCTAGGCTTGGCCTCTCACGCTCAGCGCAGGCAGTGGAGCTGGCTTGGGGAGCTGGCTTGGGGACATGGGGAGCCCTCCGAGCCCCCAGAGGCGAGGACTGGGCTTTACCCGCTGCTGCCCTACTTACCCCTCCCCCTCTGAACTTCACTTTCTTGTTTGTTTTGTTTTGCGCACAGGGTGTCACTGTGTGGCTCAGGCTGGTCTTGAATTCCTGGGCTCAGCTCTCGCCAGCTCAGCCTCTCAACTAGCTCAGTACAGGCCTGAGCCCTTGTCCTGAGCCTTGCTTTGTGTGTGTGTGTGTGTGTGTGTGTGTGTGTGTCCTGGGAGCTGAACCCAGGGGAGTTTTGCCAGCTCCAGCCCCACCACTTTTTTTTTTTAAGACAGGGTCTTGGGGCTGGGGTTGTGGCTCAGCGATAGAGTGCTCACCTAGCATGTTCGAGGTCCTGGGTTCGATCCTCAGTACCACATAAAAATGACTAAATGTATTTGTGTACAAATAAAAAATAAATATTAAAAAAAAAGACTGGGGTCTTGCCAAGTTGCCCCCTGCCGCAGTCCGGCTGCAGCAAACTAGCCGGGGGATGACGAATAACCTGTGTACTTGATACAGCAGGAGTAGGAGCCGTTTATTGCAGGACAGGAGCAGTATTTATACATTCCACACAGCTTATCTAATTAGCATAAACTAGATACATCAGTCAACCAATAAGGAATCTCCACACTTAATGGCTCGCTTTTGTTACTTCTCAAACCACTCCCTCTGGCATTTTGCCAGGCACCATCCAGACTTGTTTATGAGCTCTAACATTCCCCTGGCAAAATGCCAGGTGTTATTTTTGACTTGTTTACAGACTCTAACAGCCCCCATTGGCCTTGAACTTGCCATCCTCCTGTCCCCGACTCAAGTCACTGGGATTACAGGCGTGCACCACTGACCCAGCTGAGCCTCACTGTTTTTTTGTGTTTTTTTTTTAAGTGTCTGCAATAGGAATTCACTTGTTCAGAATTATTAATTTGGCCGCCTTCTGTCTTTTGGCTTCGTACTTTCTGGCTCTGCAGCCTTAAGCAAGTGGTTCAGCCTCTCTGTGCATTATTTTCTTCATAAGTTGAGTGGGGGGAATGGAGGTACCAATACAGGTGCGTGCTTGGAGTG